TTGAATCTGCTGAAAGACCGAACTACTTCCTGTATGTACACGACAATGAAACCATTGGCTTGGAGCAGTGGCGGGCAAGTGCCTGCTTTCAGAGACGAGCCACCTTCTTCCACCACCAGGGTCTCTGGAGTCCAGGGCTCAGTGCCTTCGAACTGCACAGTAAAAAAGGCTTTTTCATCATTCTCACCTCATCCAATGTTAAAGCAGAAAAGTACGATAATTCAGAAGAATTCAAACGTTTCAGTAGCTTTAGTATTGAAGGTAAATTTTCCATAATGATCAGGGATAAATATTCTTTTTCTGCTTGTCTTCAGAGCACTTTCTTTCTTTCTTGCCTTTCATCATAAATAGTAAAAATATATCCTATTTTTAGTTACTCTCTTTCTTGGTCTTCCATTCCATCTCAAAATGCTATTATTTTCTATTTTTTTCAGGTATTTATATCCACTTTATCTTTAAACATTTTAATTGGTTTAGTCTTTCAAAATGAAAGTGGCATGTCACAAAATGATGCATATTAATATGTCATTAATAATCTATAGATATCTATTCTTTTAAATGAATTAGTTAATTGTGTTACATCTGCAACCAACAGTACCTTCACTATGTTTAACTGATCTTCTAGGTTTTAAAACAGAGTATATTTTAAAAGTGAGTAGCTGGTTTTATTGTTAAAGCTTGAAATGTCTTTTAGCTTGAACGAATTTAAAATACTTGAAACTGAACAAACTCCCCTATTTGAAAGTTCTGAAGAACTTGTCTACTTGGTTTTAATTTCTTCATTTATCTGAAAATCCCAGTATGTGTTGTAGAAAATGCTCTAAATTTATTGTTTATTGACTATAGAATTAATAAATAATACCCTTTCTTTCCTTCTCAGAACTCAGTGCTTCTGTGCCTTATCGAAGGATGTGTGAATGGCGATACGAATCTTGTGCTAATCCTTGTTTTAAGACATGTAGTGATCCTGAAGGAATAGCATGTAAATTTCTTCCTCTGTAAGTAAAACTAATCTTATATTGCTACTATATATTTTTTGTAGTAAGCATACAGTATGCTTTCTGAAAATTACTGCTTCTACAATATCCATTTATTTTTACTATCCAGATTTCAATAGCACTCTTGTGATAAGGTCTCACAAGTCATATGAAAGCATTTGTAACACACATCTAATTTCTCATGGTGTATATTCCTGTTTACATGCAATCTTTCTACACAAGAATAAGAGGGTTTGTATTTAGCCCAGAGGATTAGCTTCTGATAGTTGTTAAATAGAAAGATATTAAATTAAATGAAGGCTGTCTTCTATGGCTTCATGGTTGCATCCTAAACCAGCATAGCATGATGCTAAAACGACTTCATCGTTCTGGTGTTGATGCAACAGAGATCAAAGACGGTAGGAATATTAAGGGAGAAATACGCCCTCTCCTGTGAGAAGAGGGAACTTTTATACTGGGAGAAGCTCAGTAGCATGAAGAGAGTGATTTCAGAAAGGTGATGTTAGCTTGTGATTTAGTAAATAGATTTCCTGTCTCCATGGTTCTCCCCTGGCCTCTATGAAACCACAGCAAACAAAAAGGAAAAATGCCTAAAAGCTCAAGAGACAATGTGGTGAAAAAGAAAGGATATTTTGAATTTCAGGCTCCCTAGGTATTTGCAATTTATGATTAGTAATGCTTCTAATATGGCTAATTTTCTCTGCTGGCATTCTTAGCTTTTTTCTTATGGGCATACTGGTTAATATGATGATTTTCTTATTGAAAAGTCCTCTCAGAATTTAAAAAAAAACCCATGGAAATATAGTGATTTATCTGCACTCTCCTCTGTTGAAAGGACAGGAGAAAAAGGCTTTGTAGAGTCAGTCTAAATACTTAAAAATCTCAAATGAACATACCTGGGTAGTCTTGTAGAGAAGCTCATCATTCTGTGGACAGCCTTACTGCTTAGGGATCCAAACTTCCAGGTGGCTGTGGAAGCAGAATGGTCAACAAGCTGTCATGTTCATCAGCCCATGCAATCAAACAGTTTAGAAATAGAATTTTGCTGCTCAATAACTTTTTGACGTTGAAATGCCTCAAAAATCTGCTTTCATAATTTCTTTGGAAAGTTCTCAGAACTCTGATAGGTAAGACATTCTAATAGTTTGTTTCAGCAAAGTAAAATAATTTCACATTAACTTATACTTCTAATATGGCTTTAGAGCTGACTATGCATTATTTTAAAGGGTTGAAGGATGCATGCCATACTGTCCCAAAAACATGATCCTTGATGAGGTCACACTTAGATGTGTTTATCCAGAAGACTGTAAGTATTCTTTTTTTATATCTATCTACTCTAAAAAATTACTCTAGAGAATCCCGGAAGGGATTAATCAAATGTGCATTTTTAAAACTTAAATTCTTGATCAGAACATCTTTCTGTTGAAGATTGTCTCTCTGAGACTTCATTCCCAGTCACCCAAAATACAACTTCTGCATTCAAAGAAGCTATCTTTTAAGTTGAATTCTCTTGTATCTCTAATAGTGAGTAATAAATAACCAATTGAGATTATTTTATACTCAGAGCAACTGTATTTGACAGTATAATCCTAGTATAGTACACATCTATAAGGGAAAGATCCCAAAGGAAAGAACTGCTGCTGTGACAAAAAATTCAGTCTTTTCAGATGATGACACACCACTAACAAATTCAACTCATCTATTTAATAACTTCTGGTGATAAAGATACCACATTATTTGCTTATTTTGGGGGATAAAGTTTCATTTTAACATTAAAATGCCATTTTAATATTATGTTATTTTACAAATTTTCAATTAATTACATTATGCTTGGTATTTGCTAGCACTAAGTTATCTTTTATCTTGTCTAGTATACTATCTTCCAATGATGTAATGTATGTATTCCAAATATTTTAATATTTTGGATTCACTGAATTTTCTATAGAATTGCCTTGTTGCTTCAAAACTACTCTGCAAAATCAAGTTTTTTTGCAAATAATAAGAAATTAACTACTTCATTTGCAGAGAAAATTAGAAAATATTTTGAGTCAGCTGAGTTCCTCAAAGTCATCAGACAACCTGGAACCATGGGCAAGATCTGATTTGCTAATATATAAATGGGGTTTGAGTAGAGAGAGATTTGCTATTTTTCTTTACTAATAATCCATAAAAGACAGTTAAACACACATTTTTTCCTTTTAGGCATACCTATGGCACCTACTGAATCAGAAATTGGACTGAAACCTTCACTGTTTGTCTCTCACATGGATGCTACCCTGGAGAGATTTCCTCAGACAACTCCTTTATTTGTTGCTTCAGGGAATGAGTCAACTCACATTGGTGTGACAGACAAAATAACCATGAATGCAAACACAACTTCAAGAGGAATGGATGTGTCAGCACAGTCCATTACAGACTTTTATTCATTGGAAACATCTAATGCAGCCACCTATTCAACATTTTCATTACCAAGTACAGTGGAGCCTTCTGATGTACTACACAGCACAGCCAGCCCTACTGTCCTTTCCAAACTCATCTCTTCAACAAATTTTCCAATTCTTCTTCAAGCCTCAGCAGTCACATCACATATAACTTTACCCATTACAGTAGCAACTCCAACAACTCTGTTCAGTGCAAATCCTATTCCAACACATTCTGCATTATTAACACCCACTTCTCTAGTGGTAGTTCCATTTTCACTTAAAATATCAACCACTCAGCTAGGAGCAGTTCACCCTTCCTTAGCGCTAACAAGTTTAACCTCCAAGACATCTTTTGTCACTTCTGAGCTGCCTGCAGGGATTGGGAAGAGTCAAAGTCCTTCAATAAGTCATTCCAAGGGAGCATACTCCRAAGTGTCTTTGTCAGGTTTGCTGGCTGATAGAGCAACTTTCACAAGACTTTCTTCACAAGACCCTGTATTTCTTCTAGGTCCACAATTGACACTAAGCACATCTGCTTCTCCTAGATCTAGTTTGTCCATTAGAACTAGGTCTGCCATTGGTCAAACTGCAGTTTACCCGACACCCATTTCTGCACTGACTTCAACTGTTCCTCAGATTCGTATGATCGCTAGATTTTCTAGCTCTGAGACAAGTTTTCCTCAATTAATCACAGTCTCTTATTTTAAAACAGCAAAGCCCTTGTCTAAAACTTCTCTGATATCATTAGATGCAGCTTCTTCAGTTAATTTTTCTCCAAAGCCATTTTCATCTTCAGTGAAAATTTCAACGACTGTTCCCAGGCAGACATCTCCATTAAAAAAGGGCAGTATTTCTGCTGCTCTGCCAACAATGACTGTATCTTCACCTCAAGTTGTTTCTCAAGTCACTAAAAACACTTCTGCAACATGCACAGTATCTACACCAGTGCATTCTCTGTTTACCTCCTTGAAGCCCAAATCTGTGGCAGATGCCACCATTGCCTCCAAAAGTCTTTATAAATTTCCTTCTGCTGCTTCCAATCCTCTGGTCAATTCAACAGTCTTTGATATATCTGTAGTAAGTAAAGCCTCAACAGAAAATAAGTATATAATGCACACTGATTCCTTTTCATTGTCATCCGTTTCTAAAAAGCCAATGAAATCCATTATGTCTACAGTCTTCCCTCTCAGGATACTGGTATTACCTCTAAATGCTACATTAGTAACTGCTTCATAACTTATAGAGTACCCAAAAAGTTCAGATAGAGAATTGAAAACTGACTATTTGGCTCAAAGTTCAGGTACTTTCATTCCTAAAAATCCTTCTTTTACAAGGTCATGGTCTCTATTTACAACCTTGTTATCAACATCAGTACCATCTTATGTGACATCTCAGACTAAAAGTTCTTCATTGATTCCCATGGTCAGTAGCACATCATCCCTAACACAAAATATTACTGCTACCCAAGCATCAATTTCATCTCTAGATATGCAAAAAACTTCAAAACTTCTAGTCATAGACGTTGCAACTTCATAGGTGGATTTTACTAAATTCACTTTAAAAACTGGTCTCTCTACCAGCCTTTCAGCAGCACTAAAACCATCCTCTTTACTAATACCTACAGCTTCTGAAGTCACTTTAGAAAGCCAGGCCTCTATGCTTCCACCTCCTCCTAAGAGTACTCATATCTCTAATGTTTCTCTAGGAAAACAGAGTTCTTCGATAAGTTCTTCAGAAGAAGATGGAACATTCTCAGCCGTATCAGCTGGAATCATCACTCCATCCACTACACCAATGATCATGAACACAACAGTGAATGCTACATCCTCAAAAGCACCTTATATTTTTGCAAAAATTCTGCCTATTTCTTCAGCCAGTTTATTAGTTACTTCAGGCACTACCCTAGGCTCTAGGATTACTACAAAAACCACTGATTCTTTTGTTGTCAATTTGGATTTTTATATGGCTTCAGCTTCAGTTCCTACCACCATAAAAACACACAAATCTTTATTTACAACTGCAGTAACTCAGGCTTCACAGAGCACTAGAGAAACTCCAAAAATTAAAATCATGAAAACAACTGGTACTACAAGTCCATTATCACAGAAGAAGAGTACCTCATACATAGCATCAGAAGTTAAATACACAACTTCATTTGAAAAAACTGTGGATATTTCAGAAGGTGGTCAGACTTCTCATGAGCAAAGAAATGCTACCAAGACAAAGACAACCACAACTGACAAATCTTCCCAACCTTATTTGCCAGTAACTGCAGTTGAGAGTTTGCGTTTTTCAAAAAATACAACCCCAGTCAAAAATATCTCTATTTCTGGAGTCCAGGGGGTGACAACATCAGATAGGTCCAAAATCCCATCACAGAAACCCATTACACCTTATTTTAGTGTAACAAAGGCCATAGAGCCGCAAACCAGAAGTGTAATAGATTTGTCTCATTCTAGTGGTAGAATGGCTCTGCCTTCCTTTTCAGAAACGACAGCTGTAGCTGACAAGGCTTACTTTGGCACCATGATGCATACACTGATGTCTACATCTTCTGAGTGTGTGGTATGATCAGTTTTATTTGCACCTACGTGTTAAAATATATATTAATTTTCAGTCTGTCCTGTAATGCTACATATGTTTTACCAGAGATTTAAAATAGTTCCTATTTTCTATTTAATTTGCTTGTTTAAAAATACTTAGTTATTCTTAGAGGATAGTTTTATTGCTGCTGTTACACTGCCCTGGTATATTCTGAAACTTGGATCTATTACTCTGAAGAAAAAAATTACTTTGAAGCTATGTGATTGCTCTAGATGGCTAAATATATTTCTGAGGTAGAAAAAGCCATAATCCTTGGGATTTTGGTGTTTGTGCATAGTCTCACCCTGTATTTCCTTTTTGAACTTGTCTCTTTGTCATAYGGTTAAGAATTATGGGAATGCATGATTTTGTGGTTCTTAAAACGCTTCAGATTATTAATGATCCTAACATCTAGCCTCAATGCGTAATGCTTTAAACAGGGTATTCCACCAAAGGGAAGGGCGTGGGTGAATGGACATGCATTGTTATCACTGGTCACAAACACACAAATGCAAACCATTCCAGAATAACTGATGAGGGGCAGGTAGATGGGCTGATTCTCTCTCAGGGAGATGGACAAGTAATCACTTGGACTTCATAAGGCAAATGACCTGAAAGTCGAGTCTGGGTTTTTTTTTGTTTCTTTTTTTATGTGACAGCCAAGATACCTCGAACCTGTCGACAAATGTAGCCAGTATGTGTGTGTTAATATGGGTTGGATGTTGTACAATCTTTCAAGGAACTGCCCTAAGGATGTGCAGAAGCCAGACTGTGGTTTTCGAGGAATGCCAGTTCAAGTCAACACTGATAGCTGTTGTCCAGAATGGGAATGTCCCTGTAAGTCACTGTTTTATTTTTAGATAAAACATGGAGCCTTGATTTATAATTTTCAAGTAGTGAATGAAAGATTTATTACAATGGAAATATGAGGTTAAATATTGGAATGACTTAAAAAGAGCTATTCATCAGCAAAGCACAATGAAATATACTGAATGTTTTGATACCTTTGAATCAACATTCAGGAAAATATTTTTTTTAATGAAAATATTGAAATGACATCTCCAGCATGAACATCAATATTTTTTGGCTTAGAGTTTTCAGAATTTCTATCAGTAGAAATGTTAGGATTTCAACATTCCATGAAGAAAAATAAGTTAAATACTAGCTTTTCTGGAAGACAGAGCCCCAATGTTTCATTTAGCTCTGATTGCAGTTTTTATTCATTATTATAAACTGCTGAAACTGGTGGATGAGTGTCTGCCAAGGGATCAAAAAGGCTAAAGAGAAGTAATATTTAAATCCATGCAGCATTAATGAAACCGATATTGCACTTTACGCTTGTTTTAAGATAAGACAGATAAATCCTTTGCAGTATCTAGAAAAAACCTTATGTTTTTATGTGTATATTTTATCTCACACTTTACAGATTCATTGACCTTGCCGGTGAAACACTGACTTTGGTGAAAATTTCACCAAAATTTTCACAATTGTGAAAATGTTTACCAAATGTAAACATTCTCCCCTACACTGGGCACACAGAAGCAGGTTAAATTATTTCCACTGAGTGACCTACACATTTCTGCTTATGGCTCAATATGTTATCTGCAGAACATGGTCGTCTACCCATCCATCTGTCTATCTATCTGTGAATGTAAATGCAAAAGCAGATCTGTTAGAACTGAAAGTTTTTAGAAATGCCCTGTATTCAGTTTTGTGGTAACCTCATTAAATGACAGTTCTTTTTTAGGTCAGTGTTCTGTACTGTCTGAACTGAGTGTCATTACGTTTGATGGAAACAACGTAGCCCTCTGTAATATGGCTTCCTATGTTTTAGTCAAGTTACCAGGAGAAATTATTGTTGCTCATATTGAAAAATGTCCCACTAATCAGGTAAGGTTCTTGCACTTCTGTAATAATTATAATTGTTTCTTAAACTTTTGTGTTATAGTTTTGAAATTCTGCAAAAATGTGTCAATTCAAACTTATATATAAAAGTATATATATATATACTATATATATAGTATATATATAAAAGTATATATATATTATATATATATATTCAATAAAAAATGCCAAGCTATTTAATTTTCAAGAGGCATGCTTAATAATACTGTCTAGAGGAAGGAATTTTATCCTGAGTTAAACAGTAATTGTTATGTTAAAGGAAATTCAAATGTAGGTTCCTTTTAAATTATCAGAGGTGATATAATTTCTGAATATGCATGTCTTCTTTCAGGCTCTCCACACAGAAGTGTTCTTGTAACCTCTAATTTATACTTTCCAATATGGTCAAAATAATAAAACCTTTTTAATAGTCACAAAATATATTTTGCCATTATTTTAGGAAAGTGTTAATGACTATATGATGTGTTGTTCTTTGTAGTGAGCTAACTCAGCATTGTCTACAGAGGGGATACAACTTCTTTTAAGATTGCCAGTTTAGGTCAATGCAGTCTCATCCTTGGAGTCTGTACATGCATTTCCTTCTCATTTCCCTAATTTATGCAGCCCTTGAACAAATGGATTGAGTTTCCATCTTCAGTTTGTAGATACACCAGTCAGTGATGAAGGGCTTCAACAGGCTTCTTTCCTTCCCATCCCTCTTATTTACTCTCACTGGCCAACTATACACTTGAACTCTAAGACTGTTTAGGGCCACAGTCTTGCATTGTTCTAGGTGTTTTCTATTAAATTGCTCTCTTCACTGTTTCCTGATTGCAGTCTGGAGGTGGGAATGCAGAACACATACACAGACAAGCTTTAAATTGTCTGTATTTTTAGTCTTTAAAAAATATTTTTGGAAAGGCCTTTCAGCATATGCACTGAATTACCTGGAAAGTGTGTATTTTTATTATTTATAAGGAATATATTAGATTAGTTTAATTATGTAGCTGATTGTAAAAGAACTTGAAGGACAATGAAAATAGTTACTTATTTTTGCTAAATAAACTTATTTATTGGTAAATAAAAATGCTGCATTAAAAATTAATTTATTTTTAATGTTTTTCAGAGTGCAAATTCAATCAGAAAACTAGTAAGTGCTTGTTTATTTTGCTATTTATAAAATACAGAAATATTAAAAAAATTAATTAATATAAAGAAATTCCAATAGTGCTGGCACAGAATTAGAAAAACAATAGTAACTGAGCCTGTTTGTCGCTTTTCTTTCAAGGTGCCACCTGCAAACACGTCAGGGCTTTGTTTTAAGAAATTAAATGTCACAACACGCACAAGTCAAATACTTATCAATCGTTTAGCAAGAAAAGTAAGTATATATCAACTGTGTGCATACTCTTAGAAATAGCTGGAGAGTGATTCTGTTGTAGAATGTGATAAATCAGTATTAAAATAAAATACTACAAGATTAGGATTACTTTTGCAGTTCAGGTTCCCAGTAATTCAAGGTATGCTAGAAGCAAAACAGTATCTGTTTCTGATACCATGTTTCATTTAAATGAATTTAAATGAATTTCCAATTCCATTTCAATTTCCAAAATGACACTTTAAAGTTCTTTTGAGATTTCAATAAAGGTGCAAAAGCAGGTTTATACTGCTGGAGACTACTTCCAGAAACCCTAGAAATATAGAAATGGTAAATACTTAGGTTGCTTTTCCTGCTAGTCAATAATGAGAGATGACTTTGAATAATTGGAATGAGGTTTTATCATACAGTATGTGATAAATAAGATTTATTCTTTCTTTAATTAGTAGTTTGTTTTTTTTTTTCTCATGCCTGTTTCATTTCCAGTTTTTGGAAGTGGCACTGATGGGAAGCTCTTTAATTAAGTACTGTGACTGTTATATGTGGCAGAGGCTGTGAAAAAATATCTTCGGTTATAAAACAGAAATACATATAAAATACATATTTGCAATCTGGCTTTGTATCTAAAATGTGATTGGTTTATTTTAGGTAGTCGTGGATTCTGTGATTCAGCTATTACCATTTGCAAAAGAGGGGCTGAGTATTCAGGATACTGGTGCAATATATGTCGTTAATACCCCAGCTGGTGTTAGCATCAAGTGGGCTCATGTTACAGGCATCATAGATATACAGTATGGATTACACTCCAACACTTCGAGGGAGACAGAAGGACTTTGTGGTGAGCCAATAGTGGCAATTTTTTTCTCATTCAATAACTTTCCAATTGAAATTTGCAACTCCCTTTTGTGTCTGTGGCCAGCTGTCCCTATAGCTCACTTTGTGACCCTCCTTAGCTGTGCTGACAATCCTATGTGAGGGCTTGTGAAATAGTGTTGATTAATAATGATAAATTAATCATTCTGCTTGAAAGCACTGCAGGCTAATAAAATACTTCGCAGAACAAGAGTGATCAGTACATTCTATCTAAATAACTTAAAAAAATACTTCTTTTAATAATTTCTGCCTGTTTTAAGAGTATTGTTGAAGTCACGTAAAGAAAAGAAAATTTTTAGTGAAGAGGTGGCTGCTAAAGAAGTTCAGGTAGTGACAGTATATTTCAGTGATTATGGAGAAAAAAATAACTCTGATGTTAGCAGTGGCAGCTTATTGCTGTGAAAATACTGACAGAAGTTGTATTTTGGGAAGGGTCCAAGTCTCCTGAGGACAGCGAATTTAGAATCTGAATTTAGACCTCTTGAGGTTTAGCCTAGTGTCCAAAACTATGCTGAGGTATCACAGTCTTGAATTACAATGACAGTAAATTTAGAATATTTCAGGCTTCCCTAAAGCCTCTTAATAACTCTGCCAGTATGGAAAATATGGAAAAGTGTAATCGGGTAATTCAAAATTACTTTAATTTTTTAATAAATGTTCATTTTTCTGGCAGTTTGTAATTTTACATAGTCTACCCCGTACTGAAAAGGAAAATGAACTTTTTTATAATCATTAAAACCGCTTTAGTTTTAAAAGCAAACAAAGCAATTCAGATACCTTTTAAGTATAAATATAGACAAATCAAGTCTTTAAAATCAATGGCTATATTCTACTTGAACAAAAGGAAAGTTCTCCTAGCACTAGTGAGAGAAGGTAAATGCTGGCTGGCCCTGCATCTTTCCCCAGTATCATGCTATCTTGTCTATGCATGCTGAAAGAGTGGGATGAGGTCAAATGTAGGAAGAATTACAGAATAGTTCCTCCTTGTATCATGAAAAGATAAAAAGAGGAAGACTATGCAGGCAATTCCAAACTTAGCTTAAAATGTTGCGCTACCTGTTATTTTGCGGTATGCCTGAAGCCTTCTTTAGTTCTTCTTTCCCGTTCTCTTGTCTGGGAATCTCCAATCCACTTCCTCTCATACTAGAAAAAATCATAGGACTATGTGGTAAATGGGCTTTGTTTTTAACTGTACTGATTCTGTAATTCTGTAGCATGGCCTTACAAATTCTAATTTCAGCAGTTTGTGATCTGCAGCAAGAGGCAGAAGAGTTAAGAATACTGGAAAGTGGTGCTACTGTCAAATGCTTCTTATTTAAATGCCATCCTCTCTATTTCTCCATATAGGATGGCATTTAAATAAGCCAGAAATAAGAAATACAGCGGAAGGCATTTAAATACAGAGGATTCTTTAAGCTGTCTAAAAGAGTATCATCCTGTCACACCAAGCCAGTCTAGTTCTAACAAAGGACCCCGGAGAGCATTAGACTGCAGGGCTGAAAACACGAAGGAAAGGGCTTAGGCAATGGTTAATAGTGCAGAAGTGAAAACAAGATAGAGGAACTTTGCCTGATCAGTTCCTGAAATGTAAAACACCAGTATGAAGTTTAAAGTTTTGAAATTAGTCACTTTCTATGTGCTTATAGAGATCATATATTTTAATTGATGAATCAACAAAATACACACAATAATGAATTCAGGTAGACAATGAGTGTCAGTGGTCTGGGAAGGTTGTTTTATACAGTGGTTTTGTAATAATAAATTGAGAAAGAACAATATTTTCTCCAGGCAAAGCAATTTGTTCATCAAAAGATTCCTTTCATAACTTCTTGCATTTAGAATGTTCAATTAAATTTCAATAATGTCCAATCATCTGTGACAAGCAGTTAATTTGGAAACCATTCATTACTCCCAAGGAGCTGACTGCCTTTCAGTAGAATGAGATCAGAACTAGTGCCATGTCAGTGAATTAGCTTCACTCAACAGCACATTTTGGTAGCAGTTTCTGTGAAAAGTTAATTGTTGTGAAAGGTATAATGAGCTATGTTTTATGATCTGCTTGTTTTACTGAGCTATTGAGCTGAGAACTAAAAACACAAGCAGGAAGCTGGAGCTACATTGGACATAGAGCTGCTTTAATTTGGGAACTCAGGTGACTAAGTTGCACAGGTCAGCCTGATGCAGTGTTGTTCATAATTTATCAAGTGCTCTTTCTTTCCCAAATGAAGGCATGTGGCATGTTTGTTTGTGCTTTGAATATGATGCTCTGTCTCCAGGGGTGTGTAATGGAGATCCTAGTGATGACCTGAAAATGCAAAACATGACCATAATTACAAATATGGAGGAAATTGAAATGTTCATTAAGAGTTGGGAAATTGAGAAATCACTTGATGTAACAACCAGGAGGCCTGTAAGAGACTGTACTGAAGATAACTGCACATACTGTATGGAACTGTTAAATAGAGACATTTTCATCCCTTGTCACAACAAAGTGAGTACAAAGAACAGAAAAATTATAGAAGCAAATAAAAGTAGTATAATTAAGAAAAGAGTGACCTTTTTACTATTTTGCTTATTTTTATGACTTGACAGTGGAAGGGTATCTTTACCACTGTCATACCCCTGGTGTCATACCCCTGTCATGTTGGCTTTAATACTTCTGTTGTGTTGTTGTGCTGTCCATAGTAAACACACATCTGTATTGATCCCTGTGCTACTATACTGTTTTTTAAAAATTATTTAATAGGCAATTCTCAAAGGAGAGACACCAGATATCAGGTCAAGATAACACATTCATTCCAGAGATGTTTTTAAAATTAAATTCTAGACATGGATCACTAGAACAGAAAGCCTCATGCTTCTGCACACAACAGCGACTCATAGTCTGAGGCTTTTCCAACTAAAGAAATTCCAGTTAAACAAATTTTGACATAGTCGCTATTATGTTGACAATTTTGTAGCTTTTCTTACAGAAACCATTATAATTTGTTTTTACAAACTGTACTTTCTAATGGGGATATAGTTGTAGCATGCAGACTGTCACTAGAGTTGGTTAATTACCGGAACAGAAAATGAGGAAGCCCCAAATCTCTGAAGTCTGACTGACTTTCCCCACTTCATTCAAAATAAAAGGGATTAATTGCTCAAATGGCCCTTTCTTTCTGAGAGATAGATGTGTTCAGATTCCTGATTCACTTCTTCTTGTTTTGCCTTTCCACCCTTGGTTTTCATTGTTTTACACTTTGGTTTTCATCACAAATTCTGTTAAAAATATTGCAGGCAGCTGAGCCCCTACTTTCTAATTCTTGAGACCTCTCCTCACTTTCCTGAGCTAGAAAAAAGTGCAGGGAGTTCTTCTAAAAGGAAGAAACTAAAGTGTTTTTTTAAATATGTTAAAAAAAAAAAAGAAAAAGAAAAAGGTATTTGCCACAGAAACTTAGTGGGAAGGAGCAGTTGTAAGCAGTTTGGAACCAAGAAGGTTCCAAAAGAGTAGCACCAGTGAGTAGTAGGATGCTTTGCATAATTGTTTTGACATATTTTATAATAATGTAAGGCAATCTGATGAGTCAGAATTTCTACTGCATATGTGTTTCCAGGGGAACATTTAGTGCATATTTTCCTGGTTTATAGCAGAAACTGGCATACCATCAAATTTTTCAAGCCTTTGAAAAGCCATTATGTAAATTTTTTTTTTCATATGCATGATGGTGGCAGAGCCAGAGGGGATGGAGTGTGTTGTGCACTCGCTTGCATGAATCAGTGGGTCAAGGATGGGTAACAGCCATCAGTGTAATGAACTTCATGGCAGAAGTGAGACACTGCTTGAAGAGTTGCTGAAATGACAGGGAGAACAGGGCTGTAACACAAGTGAACAGGCAGAAGAAATAAAATATTGATTTTATATCTTGTTACAAAATAATGTGAACAAATCCAACAGAAATAAGTTTGCACCACCTGCATTTAGACTCAGTAACATAGTCTGTCAGGTCCAACAGACACAGAAACAGAGTAATGAGTAATTAATACACAGCAGGATTGTATGGAAGCAATGTTTAGCAATGTTTAGCTGCGACTGTTCACTTTTAGTTGACAGGGCTATACTGAAATCTCATTAGGGCTACATTCTGTGTCTACTGATGAACATAGAAAATTCTGGCAGTTTAAATTTTGCAGAATGAGTGTTCTGACAAAAAAAGACATTTTTTAATGTAGACACTGCAAGCAATTTTTCCCCCTTGTGGCTGTATTATTTCTCTTAATTACTGATTTATTTTAATTACAGGAAATCCTTATATTTGTTAATTCCCAATTGCAATTTGTTCCTAGGTGTCACCACAGGAATTTTGTGAGAAGATGTGGATCAACAGTACCTTTTTTTGGAATTATGAGTGTGATGCACTTTCTGCATATGTGGCTTTGTGCAATAAGCACAACATCTGCATTAAATGGAGGACACCTGATTACTGTTGTAAGCAGATAGCCGTATTCTGTACTTCTATATGGCTTTAGTGATGAGGTTTTATTAGTGATGAAGTGTTTTGTGATAAGTTAAAAATATATTTTTCTATTATTCTTGTAAGTAATGACTCATTTTATCACAGCATTGGTAAATCAGGGTACAAGTTCTTGAGATGTATTCTTTTAGTCATGAAATGAGTTTTAATCTTCGTTGAATTAGCTGCTTACCTAAAGTACTGTTAAAAGTATAAATGCATGCTTTCTGTGATAACTCACTTGTTCTTACTATCTTTTTATCCAACGAAATGCTGAAAGAATACAGTAGCAGTCAAAGTCCTTTTGCATTCTTTGCAGCACTGAGTTGCCCTGAGGGCAAGGAATATCAGCCTTGTGTGCAACCTTGTGAAGCCAAGACATGCTTGAATAAGTGGTTCTATGAAGATTCTCCCTGTTCCTATTTAAGAGAAGACTGTGTGTGCAAAAATGGCACCATTCTGCATAGAACAGAGTCTGACCTCTGCATACCAGAAGAAAAATGTAGTAAGTACAGTAGAACAGAGTAGTTTTGCAGTTATGATGATATTAACTAGAGTTATATGAACAGTTCATGGTAAGAGGTGAGTTTAAGTACTCTGTCAGTCCTCAGTAACTGTGAATCTGGTAGAGGTCTCTTCAACAGAGCCTCCCTTTTTCTCAACTGCTTTTATAGCAGTTTGTGCTTTCAGTTAACATGGCTTTAAGACCCGGTGCTGATATACCTCTCTTAGTGAAAATGATGGTCATTCCATAGCTCCCAGGTTTTCCTTCCTTGAGAACTTAGGAAGGAATAGCATGGGCAAGTTCTGCCTCTTGTCCTCACCCATTTTCACCCATAGTGAAGCATTTGTTCCTTTGGGGCTTTTAATATTATCATCCTTTCTTGGATTCTTTTATCATAATGCTCCATATCCATATTATTTTACGCAAAATTTTATGCAAGTCATAGTTTCTTGCAGGGAATGGGAGCTGTCTGCTTGTTAAGGGATATGATGCTCCTTTCCCTTCCAGCATGTACAGATAATAAAGGACAGCCCCGCTCAGCTGGGGAGATCTGGAATGGGTCCATGAGAGGCTGCTGCATGTACAGGTGTTTAGAAAATGGAAACATTGTTGCAGTAGAACCTGAATGCAATGAGGATCCATCACCAGTCTGTGAAAGAGAAGGGGAAGTTCTCCTGCATGTCATTGAAGAGAGAGCTTGCTGTCCCAAGAAARTTTGTGGTATGTACCACACTTGTTTTCAGTAACAGAAACATAAAATAAGTGCTTGACATTCACTGGCAGCTGACAAACCTTTGATTCAAGGTAACATTTTTTAGAATTAATTTTCAGGTTGGGCCAGCAATTCAGGCTTCTTTTCTTTGTGAGAACTACTCACTGATGTATTTTTTTCTTAGAAGTCCACCAGTTAAACAAAACTTCTGTTGAAAATTATGCTTTAAGCTCTTGCATAGAAATTAATAATAAATTGACTATTCAATGACAGAAGTACCTTGGCATTTGGGGAAGTCATCAGAGATTGCTTGCTTTTCTTCCTAGAGTGTGATGAGCAGCATTCTCTGATCCTTCTGTTTCCCAGAAGCTGTTTTTTGGAATCTGATCACTGAATACTAATATTCTGTCTAGCCCTGGTTGTTCAGAAAAAGAATAATCTTACTCCTAAAACATTAAGCAAACAATATTCATTTCTTCATAATGTCTTAAAGGAAAATGATAACATATGGTCCAGCTGATATGATGCTTTTCCTCATTAGATGCAACCAATGGTGTGTTGTCAATTTGCTCAAGGAATATCAGTGAGACATTATAGCTGGCTTCATGGATAGGAAGCAGAGCAAGTAAATACTTGTATTTAAGAGGGATATAACTGCTTCCTTGGATTAAGCTCAAAGGTCTACATGATGGTATGGATTGAACTTTAAGCTGACTTGGACTGCTCTTGTTTTGTGGATCTCTGTACTAGATTATATAAATAACTTATAGGACTTACGCTTGTATCTGTTTAAAGAAATCAAAATTGATTGTTTTTTATCCCACAGAGTGTAACATGTCATCATGTCATGCCGTTATTCCAACATGCCAACCCAATGAAAAATTAGTGGTAGGCTACCATCCCCTGTCCTGCTGTCCACAGTACCGATGTGGTAAGGGAAATACAAAACCACAGTTAGTGGAGAGTTTTCCATACTTGTATTACATGTTGGAAAAAAATTTGCATTACAAGTTTGATTGTTAACAGAATGGGACACTGTAAATAGCACCAGTCACTGATATATGTTTTTTTAAACATTCTCCAACTTTTTTTTGTGTTTGTGTTTTTGTATTCTGATTTGCAGTCAATTTGGGATATTTTATGTTACTTAGTATATGAAGAATATATTTTCTTTGTCTTTTTAGTATTGTTTCAGTGACTCCTTTTAAAATGGTGTTTGTTTCACATCCTACAGAATGCGATCCTTCTGTTTGTTTTAATGCCTCCCAGCCAGACTGCAGAGAAGATCAATTTATTGTTGAAGCAAAACAGGAAGATCCCTGTTGCTTCTCTCGTCTCTGTGGTAAGAAGCCTCTAATGTTTTTATGGAGAGCTAAGGAATAGTCAAGTATTTACAAAAACAGACTACAATTCTAGACCAAATGACTTGAGTCAGAAATTCTTGGAGAGGTCAGTAAAATTTCACACGTATCTGGTGGACTGGAGCATAATTATGCTTGGGTTTGGGGATCTTTTCTATCCAACATAATTTTGAACCTTGTATTTGAACTTTGTTTAGTTTTTATAGCCATAAAATCCATAAAAATTCTATTGTCTGAGCATCAAACACAATATTGCTTTTTATATAGTCTATTAAATAGAATTCACATACGCTAACACTTTAGTATTTAAAACTTTGTAAACGGCTGATTTTTTTTTTTTTTATTTAGTTTGTGAATCCTGTATTGAGCCTGTTCCCTTGTGTAATGAAGGGGAAATTCTCACTGTGGACCTTAATACCATACACTACTGTTGTCCTCATTATTACTGCGGTGAGTGTAACTGTTGGGAGTTCAGTGTGCTCCCAAGTTCAGTAAAAATGACAAACTCTGTGTGTGTGTGTGTTTTGTGCATGTGTGTTTATTTGTTTAGATTCAGCATTTAGGGTGGGCTTCAGATATAGGCTAAGAGTTCCAAATGAGGGTGTCTTCAGCTGAGGAAGATTCAAGTTCTTGCTATGCTCAGTGGTGGTTTAATGAACCCAGACAGTGGTCTGGAGAGGTTATTTACTTCACCAGATAGAGAATGGTTATTTTCACAGTGGTCTAAATACTGGTATATTGATGGCACTAAATCGCATCCTTGGAGTATAAATATACAATTTTTCATATATTAAAACACATTTAATAAGGCTTCCATGTTGCTTTTTTTTCTCTGTTGTACCATTCACTAATATTTAGGCAGTTTCTTTGAACTTTGAGCTCTTAGGGAAAGGAGTAGACCAAGGGTTCCAAATACTGGTGGATTGACTGCTATTCAATCAATGAGCAGGCAGAAGAAAATATTTGCAGTGTAACTTGGTCTTTTTCATAGCCTCATAAAACACATAAATTGTGCTAAACATTTTAAAGTAACGTCTACAAGTATAACTGCTTAACTTTTGTCCTGTTGCAGACTTTCAGCGTAATTTCAAATAACTGACTTCCACTGTGTTTGGAGTTTAGTAGTTTTTACTTCATTTGCTTCTGTATTTTGGTCCTTTCCTTTTCCTAGCACTTTCCCCCAGGCGTATTTTCTGCAAAGACCCTTGCATTGTTTTTTGCCATATTCTGACAGGTAGAAAGTTAAATCTTAGTCTGTGGTCTTCTTTCATGGTCCCAGTAAGCCAATTCTGATAAGGGAGGCAGTATTTTCTTATTAGTGCCATCCCTGGAGGGCAGTTACTCCCTGTTATCTTACAGAAATGCACTTTACAGCACATTTCTAGCCCATGTTTTCCAAAGATTATGATTTTAGTTGTCTTTGGTACTGGTTATAATATTGAGTAACTCTGAAGTGGGAAGAATATTAAATGATTCCTGTTTGATATTTTCTGAAAATTTAAACATATTTCAAGACAACTAAAATCACTTCTGAAAATATTTTTTCTCATTCCAAGTATAAGTCAGATGCYTAAGAAGCATAATAACATTTATATAAAATAATGTTCTTTTAAAAATAGTTTTTCAAAAGTAACATATATTGCAAAATCTGATGGAAAGTTGTGTAAATTCTCATATGTATTTTCCCCTCATTTAGTTTGTGATGAAAATCTTTGTTCTGCACCTCCTGTGATTTGCACAGATGACATGACACCTGTGAAGGAAAAAATTCTTGGGCAATGTTGTCCAGAATGGCACTGCGGTAATTGTTGCTTTATTCATTAGTCACAGCTGTTAACCAAAGCTAACAGTTAGCTAACTGATTAACACAGTTTTCTTCATCTCCTCAGAATGTAGTTGTGAAAATGCTACTATACTGACCTGTAAATTGGTAAGTGCTATCTTTTAAATATTGCTATTAATGGTGTTCAACTGTCATACTCCTCCCTTTACACTCCTTGTTTCACACAGTTGTAAAGAGTGAGCAGGGACAGGGTGGGACTGCCCCCCAGTCCCAGCTCAAGCATGTCATTCCGAGTGTCTGCATGGTGTTGTCAACTATTCCTTGGAGAAATTTCTATTTCTATAAAATTAATAGAAATTACAACTTTCTATGTTGTAAGATGTCCAAAGAAAGAAAGGAACTGCAATATTGTCCTATTCATTGTTGACATGGAATAATATGCTGGTAAGGCTTTCAACATAAATAATTCCCATTTWAAAAAATAATTAATGAGGTATGAGCATTATGATTATGTGTATCATCTGAGGAAATGTATTATTTTGTTAGTCATTTATGCTTTTGATTAAAATGATTTAACATTATTGAATTTAGCTGATAAGAGAATTCATAAATATTTTGCTCCTCATGATGTTTGTCATGATAGAGACTGTGATCTGGAATATAACTATGACTGAATGTTCAAACTCCCATTAATGCAACAATGACCATATTTTCCTTATCCAATGCCATATAGTTCCTTATATGAAGACTGCATAATGTAAAGTCTGTTAAGGAGTTTGAGATTGGAATAGCTTTCACCTATCTTTTGGAAGAAAATTCTTAGGAGGCGATCTTCCTGCTATTGTGTTTATTGTTCAGATAACTTTGTATCTCAGGAAAAAATTCTGATTATTGACTCTGCTGCTCTCTGCACCCCTACCAAAAATGAAGTGATGTTTTCTGTTTAAAGAGATAAATACATTGAATAAATCTGAATGTGCTATTGTTTCTTGAATACATAGCAATTTTTCTCTTTTATGAAGCCACAGGTGGAAGTGATAAAAGTAATATTTTACATTTTTAGACAAAAATTGTCTGTGTAACACTACATTTAATTGTGCATGACTTTGCAAGCTTTTATCTTTTTACACTCAGGGAGAAGTTAAAAAAATAGATAGCAGTGTTTCCAGTGCTTGTGGATGCACTCACTACATTTGTGGTAACTTTCTCATATTCCTTATTGCTGTGTTTTAGTTTTTAGCAAAAAGGCCATGCAAAGAAAGCAGAAATGGTAAATGCTTCTCAAATGTGAATGCTCTTTTATCTTAATTTGATGCATTTGTATCTAGTTATGCAGTTACTCTCTCTTTTCTGAACATGGTGCTTTGCCTGCTAATCCATGCATTTTGTGTCTATTCTGGCAGGGTGTGGGATTGTCATAGAACTATCCATGCTTTCAGAGTCAGGTACAATCTCTCTGGTGAGAGGGAAACAGGAAATGAGCTGTGAACGGTACCTGAGTGCGAGCAGGGCAGCTGCTCCTAACTTGCTTTCAAGCACAAATGAGACACTACCTCACACAGACCAAGAGACCTGTTCAGCCAGCACAAGAGGAGGTAGTCAGTCATAAGAACAGAGCCATAACTTAACTTACTTAATCCCTCACTGAACTGCCCCGTGCAGACCAGATTTCAGCTGCATTGTGTAAAGGGGTGTTGAGGGAAGCTGCGCACTTGGCAGCAGCCAGGCTAAACTGTGTGTGGGAGCCAAGCACACATTCACTGCCTGAGCAGATTACTGGCCCACAGGTATCTGGAGATATGCTAGTTTATTCAGAGAAAGGCTACCTTTTGTGATGTGCACAATAGCTGGATGGTAAATATAAGAACATTTTTAAGATAAGAACAACAGCCTCTTTTTTAAACTTCCATAGTAGGAACACTATTAATTTTAGGCAGTTTTGCATTTTGTAGATTTTCTTAAACTGAATTATACTTCCTCTGCATCTAGTTCAGTAATTAAAACCACAAACCAATCAAGTCTAAACGACTACTTTTGCAGTGTGTAGAACTTTGCCCTTCTTTTGTCTTAGCAGTGATTTTTGTTAATTTGTTTCAAGATTATTTTTGCCCTCTGGTAACATTTATTTCTTTTGGTTTTAGAGAAGGATGATGTGTGCATCTTTCAAGAGGTCACAGTACTGAGTCCGGGACAATCAGTGATTCAGCACTTGGATGGAGACTTTTGTTACACTGTACAGTGTTTACAAGAAAAAGATCAGAACACAGGATACAATGCTATGCATTTCACAATGATGAACTGTTCACAGAAATGTGAAGCTGTGAGTGTTCTTAAAATACAGGAATGATGCAATTTGTGAGCACAACTGTACAACTAGGATAAAAGTTTTAGTGAAGACTTTCGTTACTCCCATTTACTCAGCAGGAACTTGAGAACAGTGATGATGCATACCTTGTATCTATGGGATTGAGAGGCAGCTTCTAGCAGGATATGGAAACATATCTATCAGACTGTCCATCCATCCATTGTTTTCCTTGGTGTTTATAATTTCAGAAATCAGAGAATTTCCATATAATGTATGTTTAAAAAGTACTTGTTTGTTTTTTTCCTTTCCTTTCTTTCCAGCATCAAGTATATATTCCTTCTTTCAGTCATGATACTTGTTGTGGTACGTGTCAAAATGTGTCCTGCTCTTTTCATACAGAGAATGGAACGCTGGTTGTGTATGAGGTGAGTGCCTCTCAACAGAGAGAGGAAGTAATTATAATGATAACGTAGCAATAGACAGGACTCTGACAGACATTTCTTAGCTAACTCATGCTGTCAGTGTTGTCTCATACCTCCTTATTGCTTGTGACACACTTGGAAGCTATTTATAATGTATGATGGCAATGTTTATCAAAAGACTTGCCACTTCACGCTGGTGAATATCTTACTTCATTTTATTGCTTGTAATATTTTCTACAAAGTTATGCAAATGTCATCATTTGCTTAAGACTAGATATGCCCTAACTGTGGAAGAGGGTTCAAATAGTAACTAAATTACATATTGTGATTTAGATATATTGGGAACTTCTGAGTCTACATCAGGACTTCTAGATCCCTCTCTTTCCAGGGCCACTCTTCTCTTCATGCTGGTTACTAGAGAAAGGAAAAGTGCAAATTGAGGCACGGGGTTCAGGATCTTGATGGTGTGTTCCATCCACATACACAGAAATTTGGATGTGGCCATGACTTGGTTCATAATTCCAATTGATTTCAGAGCAAAAGGAACTATTCAGCTGGCACCTAGGCCTTTCATTCTGCTCTGGGACATCCATGCTCAGCAACATTCTGGAGAGTAGGGTCAGTGCTTCAGGGAGGAGTAGCCTCTGCTAGTTAGAAGGTGGACTTTGCCACCTATGGGTGGTCTGCAGCAGATTTTCCACCCCAGTAGGTGCTATTTAGCATGAGGGCACCACTTTTACAGACATTTCAGGCTGGAGATAAAGCTGAAGTGTTTCGGCTTTCTCAGCAATGGCTTTGTTTTATATATTCAGGAAGGAAGCACCTGGACCTCCAACTGTACCAACTAYAAATGTGCAAAGACTGCTGCAGGGGCCATTGTACTGGGGTCAAGTGTTGTCTGCCCCCCGTTTAATGACACTGAGTGTACAAAGGTTTGTACTGTGGGTAAGGTAAGTGACAATAACTGCTCTGGAGTTTGACCTATACTCCACAAGGCAGGCATACTTCATGCGCTTGCTTTAAATTAAAAAAGTGGTGAGTAAAAACCTGTAAATGAACAATTTGCAGTCATTTCCTTTACTCCTGTTTCCGTTCCAAGTATCTGTGAGGAGTGTAAAAGTTTTGTTTGGGTCTTTTTGATGCCTGCTTTTAAAATATTGTGGAATTGGAATCATGCTTGACATACCACTATATAAAGTGCTAATCACTGTGTCTTATTTTAGTTTGCAATAACACTTTGCCAAGTTCTTAGAACACACACAATAAATAAATCAGACCAAGAAATCCAGAAATGCTGCATGTAAAAGTCAGCTTAAGTTGGGCACTGATTAGGAAGATGACTGAGTATACATAAACTTTTTGATCTCTTAAACGAAACTCTGTGTAACATGACAAAAAAAATCTATCATACATGAAAGGGTATCTACGTGCACCATACATTTAAAAATATAAAGGTGGCATATCCATATCAACTGCTTTGAAGAACAGGTATTCTTCACAAAGATTTACTATTTATTTACAGTTTAATTTCTAATTTAATACCTCTCTATAATACTTGCAAATCTTTGCACTTGCAGTATATCCTATATTTAATATGAGCTAAAAATAATAATAAATATATATGTAGAGAGGGTAAGTACCATTGCTGTCTTGACTACAGTTTATAAATTTAGTACCAGTCCTACTTATCCCTACCATTTGTTCAAAAATGTTCCTATTTCTACCAATCCTGAGGAAGGTGTTCTATTTAAAATTAATGCCTGTAGTACTTTGAGTTTATGCTTGAGTTTCTTCCTTGGAACCATTCTGACACCGTCTATTAGGGACTGTCCTTACTAATAATGGTTATTATTTTAAAGAATGGAGCCCTAAAATTAATTTCCTGAATCAGTCTAACCTGTTTTTGAGAGATGCTGCACATAGGCTTGAACCAGTAGCTGAGAAGAAAGCTCTTCTTGCAGGAAGCTCAGGATAATTCAGGAATATCTGAGTATAAGCGCTCATCTAAGAAGTTTTTGAACAACTTATTTAATTAGTAGTTTTTAATTTAATGTAGCAATTTTTCTGCAATGAGGTAAAAAAATACATACTTGTGTGAAAAGATGGAAGTTAAAAAATTCTATGTTTTGTATGGTGTTATCGTAAGAGTTCTGTTTATGTTCTGTTGTCTGCTTAATATGCAGATCTGGGCTACATGCAAGAATTTTTGAAACTATCCTAATAAATCTCAGTGGTGGGGAAATAGATGGTAGTGGATGATACAAAAATACTCTTATAGAAACTAAGGGACCTTTTCAAAGGCAACTAGATCAGATGTCAGCTGAACACTACTGAACTTGTCAGCAGTGATGAGTTCCTTTTCAATTTCAAAGGCCGGAAAGAATTAATGAAGCAAACCTTCAGCTGATACATATCTGTGTAATCCTCTTGATTTCAGTGACACTACTTTTTATTAGTTGATCATCTTTAAAACATAGAATATCTTGTGATGCAATTTCCCACTGCATTGAGCCTGGTCTTTTTTGCTATATTCTTCTTTTATTTTCCTAGAATGGAGGAATAGTGCAGACGTATAATGATGGCTGCTGCAAGACCTGTAAGTGATGAAGGCTGCAATATGTGCTAGTTTGGCTTTGGTTTTGGAGAGCTTAATTTTTAACTTCAGTTGCTGGGACATAAAGAGGGAAAAAAGCATGCAGTTCCCCCTATAAATCACATAAAATGATTGTAGTTACCTAACAACTCTTATAAAAAGGTCTTGCTTCATTTGGCTGCTGACTTGATTTTTAACATTATTGTTCTGGAGTATAACCAAATCTCTCCAAATATACCATATGGAAGATTAAAATTTATCTCAATTAAAATAATGAAAACATCCTCTTTATTGTTAAATTGGCTCTAAAATAGCATTTATATGATCTTCTCCTTGAAAGCTAGGAATTTTTCCTCCTAAAATTGATTCTTCATTCAATGATGTTTTGCAGTACATCTTCAAACTTAGCAATTTATTCTGTATCCCTAATATGTATTTTCTAGGTCCAGAATACTGGAATGTTTTTTTCTTAAATCCCAAATGAGGAAAAGTTATTGTAATACTGATGATAGCAATGTTTATATAAAATCAGCCTTTTAATATCTGGGAATACACTCACATTTTCTGGGTGTGTAACTTTAAAAAGTGATGAAAGGTGACTGAAACTGACATAAAAGATTCATAATTTATGCAATTAAAAAATTGGTCGAGAACAAAACTTCTCTGCAGTTTTGACTAGGAAAAGTTTTATTACCTGGGTATATAATGATATATATACACCAATATTGCAGTGTGAAACTAATTGTATAGAGCAGCAAGTTCAACATTACAGAAAATCCTACCCCTCTTTTTTGGCTTTTTTTTGTGCTCAGCATTAGACTAAAGGCAAATTAGTCTTTGGAATTTTTGTAGACAAAACCTTTTCTTAATAATATTGAGTAGCAAGTCACAGACTTATAACCATATATTGCACTGTTATTATATAAAAGTGAAGTGCATTTTATTAAATATGATATGGAGAAGTAAGGGGAGGTAATAACATTTATCAAATACAGCAAGTATTATTTATCAAATATAGCAAGTCTCCAAGTTGTGTGAGACTTAGAAAGCTGCAAATACTGTTTTTCTATTGTATCCAAAACATGGAAAATTAAAGGTATTTTAATACAACAGATTTTTTTTTATGAGAATCACCATACAGAAGTAACACACCAGAATTGTGCTGAAATATTAATAATTAATAATCTTTCTCTCATGAGTTAACTGTGTTGAAAAATATTTAAATCCACACCCTCAAAAAAATAGGTTGGCATTATTTAGAGAATTAGTCTTAAAAATTATTGACTGCTGGTTCTCTATTGACCAGGAAGATTTATCATTTTGGCCATATTCTGCGGCCTCAGGAAAGGCATTGTTATACTTCAGAAATACTTGCTGAAACCCCCAGATAACATTCATACAGTTATATGCTATTTTTTAAATGCTATTTTTTATATGCACTGTTATATGCTATTTGTTTTATTTTTTAACTAAAAGCATGTGCCCTGTGGTGAAGCAGTTGAGTACTTAAAAATAGAGCTTGCAACACACTGGGATTTTAATGGGAACAAATAACTTTCATAAAAGAGCTTGATTTAATGCATGCAAAGTGTGTGCATATATTTAATTCTTACCTTGCCATAGAGAGACTCGTTAAAAAAGCTTGGTTTAAAAGTAAACATTCCAGTTTTGTGTTAAACAGGAGAGTAATAAAGTGTAGACCATCTTTAGTTAGACTTGAAGCAGCTGCAGAGTTTCTAAATTGTGGAAGACTGACAAGAAAGCTCACCATCTTTTGCTAAAAGAAAAATTGCAGTTGGCAGTGTAAGAATTAATGAAGTGTCATTTATACAGAAATGTTTTTATTTCATGAGAATCTTCTATTCCTAATGATTCTGCCAGGTTCTGGATTGGGTCTATTACCCTTTGCCATTAGCCCAGTAGTGCCTACTGGTAGTATTAATTGTGAACCAGGTATTATTTTTAATAATGTATTTTCTTTTTCTTTTATATAATCATGTAAGCACTGCTTGATATATATGTCATAGCTGTCATCATCATTAAATATTCCCATGCAGTTAATGGCTCTGGGCCTGATGCTGAGAGATGCTGATCCCATATTGGCTTCCCAAATCATTGGTTTTCTAAACTAATCTAATCTTCAGGTTAAGATTCACTGCTCAGCACCTGTCAGAATTAGGTTCATCCATTTATGGTATATACTGCTAATGGTTATTCCTCCTGCTGGTTGCTAAAATTGGTTTTATCACAGTTACTTACAGGACAGTTGCAATAAGATATGCTACTTTAAAAAAATCGTGATTCTGAATACTGTTACCAAGGGATTCTAAATCTGATCCCAGGTCTCTAAATTTAATGATGGAAATTTTTTTGCCTTAAACTAGAGCAAGAGTATGTGTTACAGTCTGGTCTCACCTTTGCAGATATGGATTTATGCTGTATTTCTTGTCCCAATATGTTTTACAAAGTTACAAAAATATTGAGGGCGAGGGTGGGGAGGGGGACATGACACATACAACTCCAACCCCCCGGCAGTGTATACTTTTTATACCAGAATTTACAGAATGAAACAGTACTGTTACAATACACTCACAATTCTTTGCTTTTTAGCATAGGTAATCACAGAAACTCCTTACTCAAATAAGGAGTGAGTAAGCAAAGCCTATCTGATATTGAATACAGATCCACTTTACAGTTCGAGGCTGGAGAGAGAAAAGTATAGCAGCAGAGTTTTCATGAGCCATCAGTACTCTCTGTGCTGAAATGTTAGATATTTATCTCTGTATGACTTGTGACAGTACAAAGATTGCACTGTCTACTCATGCTCAGGCTGGCAAACAATTTCAGATGGAAATACCTCAGAAATTTTAAAAAAGTGTTTCTGAGAAAGGAAAAGCAAGATGTGCTACTCTAAAAGTTTCACTCATACAGCAATCTGCTAATCAGTAATATAATTTTGTTTGATTCTTCAGTGCACAGGTTGAAATCTAGCTGTGCTCTGCAGTCAACCTAATTTTTCAGTACTCGGAGGAGCTTTGGTTGCAGCACAATATTTTGGTTACTCAGAGCTCATTTATCCTATAAAAGTGCTCTCAAGATTCTGGGCAACATAAAAGTTTTTTTTTTTTTTTTTTTCTGTACACCCAACCATGAAGGAAAGTCAAGAAACTATTGAATATTGCTTATTATTTTATATGCTGTATGTCCAGAATAGTTGCACAGCAAATGTAACAGATGGTTTTGATGAGTAGTGAAACAGGAGCTCTAAATAACTGTTATCACACAGATAGTACTAACTGTCTGATACAGAATGAAGCATGAAAAATCATATGTTTATTTCAGATTATGACTTCTACTATGCTAAAAAATGGCTTTTCACGGTACAGATTTAATTTTCAAATTAAAAAAAAAAAAACCAACCTGCTATCAATATCTCCAAGACAGAACATAAAAATGCAGTATGTCCCTCATTATAAATCTGTATGCTGACTGCATGTGCTTCAGATCTGGGGATAAAAAGTGCATCATACTTAGCAAATAAATGCATATCTCTCTTTCAAAGCTTCCTTGAAGGACATCTTTCTCAAAAATATGTTGAAATAAATGAATTATATTTCATTTTTAAACATGCAAAATACATGAAGATTGTAATCGCATTCACAGCTTCACCTTCTCTAATGTTACGTTCTGAAAATTTTATAACAAGCAGGATCAAAATCCTATTTGCATTCAACATACCCAATGAAACAGAATTAATTATAATACTATTCAAAGTTACTCAAGACATACTTTTTTTCTCTAAGTGCTTTTATTTCTCATGCCATATGTGCAACTTAACAACATATTCATAGTTTAATATTTAAAAAATCCATATGGCTTGTTTAGGATACTTGTTGCTCATATTTGATATCTATAAAACAGGTAATTCTGCACAGGAACTATTTATTAATATATTAGATTAAAAACAAAATTATGGAAGTAATMGTTTCTGTGTGTACATTAATGAAAATATAGTATAATTATTTAAATTATGTTAATTTTGTATTTTTTTAAAAGAAGAAAATACAGTTCAGGAGATGCATTGATTCAGCATGCATTTTTTATATTTTATCAGGCAAAAAGGAAGAAAGGATTTGCCAGAAAATGACAATCAGGACAACCATAAGAAAAAATGACTGTATAAGTCAAAGCCCGGTAAGTATAAAAGAGCTGTTGTAATACTGGCCTATGGCGAAGGATTAAGAACTCAGTTATAGCTCACAACAAGCAACAAAAAGTGCTGCTTTCTTCTCAAAATCAGACCCTTGACCCTAGGAGTATCATCCTACTCATAAATGGAATAAAACTAGTTATTTCTATTACTGAAAGACTGAGTCCTTCTGCTTGGAGAAACATCTGGCTTCAAATAAAAAAATACAGACCATAATTATTTTAACTAACGAAGGCATTGAACCCTTTAGCTTGAAAGAACATCCTGCTCTCAAAGAGGTGTAGAAATGCTCTGACTTGTAATGGAACATTGCTGCATTCCTCTTTGAAGACCTTTGTGCTCTGTGTGTCTTCTTCTCTGCATAGCGTGTGTTTCCATATTAGAAATTCATCATCTCATTTATTTATGGGTCTGCTTAAGACATTGTAATTCTCAGCTTTGGTGTAGCGTTATCTATAGACCCCAGGAAATTTCTGAGCATCAAATGTGTTTCTTATGTAGCACTTGAAGGCAAACAATAAAGTATCTCAAGACTTCCAAAAGGCCACTTGGAAGATTCTGGTGAAGAGCCTAAACAGTTATTTGGGAAGAGGCAAAACATCACATGTTAAAAGCCATCCTGATAGAAGGCCCAATATGACATGTTCAGATTTTAATAGTAGGAGTGCATGGTGTATTTAGTTTTAGAAGGATAGATAATGAGGGTGTATAAATATGTAGATGACATTACATTAATTTCCCATAGGTAACAGTAGACTGGAGAGCTTCACAGTTTCTTCAACAATCTAGATAAAGAAACAGCAATATAACAAAATAAAGACATGATATTGACTAAATAAAGAACATTAAAATGAAAGATTTAGTCAAACTTCATAGATTTTTTAAGCTAGGTGAAAAGATCCTTGCCCTTTCATCCAGTTCTGTGAAAATATCTGTTCTCCAGCAGGCAAAAAGGCTAGCTAAGACCCATGGTATTTAGGCAAATGGATAGCCAGTGGAAACAAACTCATTCTAGTGTTTTTCACAAATCAGTGCTGGGAGAGTGCTCTGTGCATCTCTGGTCCCTCTACATTGCTGCAGAACTAAAGGACTCAGAGAGGAGCAACAAGAATGTTGGCCAGGTCATGTTTTAAATGACACAGCAAATGAAGCCCTTTTTTAGATGACTTGCTATTGTAAATACTTTATCTTTTCTTCCCCGTCTACCCACCTTCCAAAAAGACCTATCACCGTCCCACCTCTACCTGTATTACAGACCCCTTTTCCCGGTATCTTCTTGTTCCCGATTTCCTTGATGGCTTCACATCCTTTGCACAGTACAAATTCCCCTACCCTTCACACAGAAGTACCTCCAAATTTTCAGTCCCTTAGATCCAATTCCTTTCCTCTCCAGTTCCCCCACTGGCACTTTTCTTCAATCATGTGAAAGAGAACTAGACCTAGCGTAGCCATCCTTGATATCCCAGCATTTCAACTCTGTTTAAGTTCAATTAAAAAGTAGAATTTGTTTTCTGTCAAAATATGAATTAAGAAAATTCTTCACATAATGTAACAGTGAGAGAAAGCTTTGCTCTGCTGAAGTCTAGAGCACAAATCATTTTCCACCTAGTATGTACCCTAGCTGTTACTGTGTCTGTTTTGGATATATTTCTTTGAGTGGAAACGCAGCCCTCAGTCACAAACAGTATAAACACGAAAGGGTAAAGCTTTTGCACTGCTATGCTTTTCTTCTTGAACCTTCAAGGAGAAAGATAAACGTCCCTTCATTTTACTTAGAAGAATTTAACTTTTTATCAGTGAACATGAAAAGGACATGGATTCAGCCATGCTGTTTCAAAGTTATTAATTTGTAAACTGGAGATTCAATTTTGGTATCTATAAAACAAGTGTGAAGCAAGACGCATGATTAAACAATGAAGAAAAGTCTAATTAAAAAAAAATATTTAAAATGTGACTGAACTTAAAATGAATGAATTTTAGAAGATAAAAGAATTTTTAAGACCAGAACACTTTTAAAATGTAAAAATGGGTTTTAATCGCAAAGAAATTAGAAATGTAATATTTTTACAACAAGATTTGAGATACCTAATTTTAATTCTTGATCTTGTTTTCTTTTATTTTACTCATAGGTAAATGTGGCTTCTTGTGATGGAAAATGCCCTTCTGCAACAATTTTCAATGTCAATATTGATAGCCATCTAAGATTCTGTAAATGTTGTCGAGAAGTTGGAACACGAGTCCTGACTGTGCCATTGCGCTGCTCAGGAAATGGCACTGAAATCATGTACGTCATTCAAGAGCCCATAGACTGCTCCTGCCAGTGGAACTGAACATTACTGTGGATATGATTTGGCTTTCACCAGACAGTTTTTTGATCATAGATGGCTGTAGTACTCTTCAGGGAAATAAAAAAGTCATCAGTTATGCTTTATAATGTAACCTTTCCCAAATCTGGCAAAGATGTTGTTTGTTCTTTGAATTCTCTTTGAAAATATTGGCAAGTGTAGAATGAAAAACATAAATACATTTGAACAAGATGCAGTTTATCCATCATTTATTTCTACTCAGTGGCTCTCTGATGAGGTGGTGAAAAAAGCTGGTTAATATCTGTATTTCCAGTGTTTTAAAATTTTGAATTGTGGCTACATATCAAAGTTGAGAATTTCTTAGTGATTCATTTACTTAGAAGCCTCCAGTTGAAAACCATCACCAGTCCCATGTTTAAATGGGAAAAAAGCATATTAGAATTTTTAGAATGACTGAATTAATTTATTTAAAAACTAATGGGTTAAACTGCAACATTTTTTATCTTGCTGAAAAAAATTTATCTTTTGTCCATTAAGCTGTTGTCAATGATTGGATTCTGCTTACACTGTAAGTCACTGAGAAACAACATGACTGTGACCTATAACTGGCTACTTGTAGGAAATCTCCAGAGCATATAGCAGAATCAGAATATCTTGAAAACTTAGACATCTATTTAATTTTTATGTGTATTATAAATACAAAGCATGATTAGGCAAAGGCTGAAGTGTTATAACTTTTGTACCTTAAAAATATCTGAAAGCCATTACTGCTATGAAGGATTCCATTTTGTATCAGTTTTATCACTTTCCACAGAAAAGAAATTGGCTGTCTTCTAGGTATAGCATAAGATTGTATGTATATATATTTATTTTAAAAACCCAGGATACTGCACATTTAAAATATTCATAATGATTTTGTCTAAAGATTTGTGTTCAATATATTTCTCATTTTTTTAAAATATAGATACTTAGACTGTTGATTGATTTTAGGATTCATAATTTTTGAGTCCAGGAAAAAAAATCAGGAAAAATAAATACTTTGAAGGGCTTAGGTGAGTTATTCATGCTCAATCAAGTTGTAAATGTCCACAATTCAACATCTTAAACTGAATATAATCTTCCTTTTATTAAACATACTACATAATCTGCTTTTAAAAATAAAGAATGCAACTTTAAGCTTGTTTTAGAAGATTACTTTGCTTTATAAACTCACTGAATGAAAATTATTTAAATTATGACAGTATTTTCCTTTTGATTCAGAATTAAAATTCTTGTCTAAAAGTTTGAAAACCTTCTGACAAACAGTTTTAATTTCAAGATGTAATCATCTAATTTAAAAAAGGTTGGATTATCACATGGGTTATTAGAATGAAATATAAGCAATATAAAATTTTAATACTGCCTTGAAAGCCAAGGCTATTTTGCTACTTTGTGTGACAAATCTTTGTTTGCTACATTCAGTTTGATGGCTTATAAAGAAAAATATCTTTTACAGAGAAATCTGTCATTACTAACAAGACTCATCTACTCATCCATCATTTAAAAACATGACTTGATTTAAAAATTAAATAGCAATCCATTGTAAAATATCAGCCAAATATTTAACCATTATAGAGAAATAGTGATCACCTAGTGATCCAAATAAAGAGACACTTTGAGAAAGCATATGCTTCATCTGCATGTTTTTATGATTTGTAAGGCAGATATTTCAAGTTGTATTATATACCACAGGCCTAGAACCAAAATGTTCTCTGATATTGCTCTCAGAATTTGTGTAAAGAAAATTTTCATGCAGACAAGAAATGGAAGTTAAATCATAGTCATAGCGGTAATGTTTGTGTGTTCTTACAACAAATTAAAAACAACTTTTATAAGAAAAATACATACTTTTGATTTGTTGAGATAGAAGTAGATATGCTATATTTGCATTAAGAGAGTTTGGTCCAAATCTACTTAATGAATTTAGCATTTGATAAAAAGGAAGCTCGAAGAATACAGCATTTTTCCATATAATCATCTAACATTTTCATTGCACATCTGTGGCTTTTTATAAGCCATGTGCTTTTCTTTGATTTTGAGCTGTGTTTGTAATTAAAAAGAATTTAATAAACATTATTTTGCGGAGTAATAATGAATCAGTGTTGATGCAATTAATTAACCTTTGCCACTAAGATGAATACTAATGCAAACCCTTAGGAAAACCTGGAATTTGTAAAAGAAGTCCTGTTTAAAATTAACTTCATGACAAGCTGTAATAGGATAATGATATTAAACTATTTTTCCCCGTTTAGACAATTTTCTTTTTTAAATGCAACAAGCAGTAGGAGCTGTGTCAGGATTCTCCCTGAAGCCTACAGCAAAATCTTACATCTTCAGTGGATCTGGAGAGAGTGGCTCTGAGATTGTCTTTAATTTTCCAATTAAAGTTCGAACTGGGGCTGCTTTGGCCTTGTCAGAAAGTGAACATCTCTTCAAAGCCATGAACCATTTCCTGGACAGCCCATCCAGCTCTTTTAGCCCGAGGAAGATGGCACTGGCAGGATGTGGTGTGTCTTTCACGATGTGACCCAGCCCTGGCAGATATGGCACCAGGGAGGAGGCTTGAACGGGGCTGCGGTGGGGCAGGACTGTTCTGCTTCATGTGGTTCCTCCGTCTGCAACTTTAAATATAAACGTGTATCCAGTTTGTGGTTCTGACTTGGCTTTCTCATGTCTCTTCAGCTCTGTATTCCTGCCTCAAGCCCAAGCCTCAAATTTTGTGTAACTGTCTGCACAGGCATCCTGTGAGCTTCTCTGGAAAGCTGATCCAACTCAAACCCTATTTAGTTAAATACCAAAATGAATTAGTCTGTTTATTATTGACTAAAAGAGCTGTAACACCCACAGGATTCCCTCCCTTCTACCCCCTCTGAAACTGAGACTAGAATAATTTCCACTCCCCTGAAAGAAAGGCTGAGAATGCACGTTTCTGAAACTCCCACATTGTCATTGAAAAATGTGAGAAGCTGTGCACGATGGAGTGGATCCTTGTGCTGCTGTCCTGCCATGCCTTGTCATTTCTCCCATGTGTAACTGCTCCCAGTGGGCCTTTGTTCCTACATTTCCACTCCTCTGTTTTCCTACCTGTGCTTGCAAAAGAAATTCTGCAATATAAAGGCTTAGCCATAAAACTATGGAGATATTTTAGGGATTAACATAAAAATATGTCTACACTTAGATTATACCTGAATATGCTTCTATAAAATGGCTCCTACGATTGCCATATTCTTTATATTTGATTTTATAATTCCATTACCTTTTTTACCAGGTAATTTGTTAAGACCAACTTTAGCCCCAATATTAGAATTTGAAGCACAGCTTTTAATATTAGGTATAAGTAACTTCCTGTGTGTTTTCATTAGTAAAATGAAAGTACATGTACTGTACAAATGAGAGTACAGCTATACAGGCAGCTAATATTCCCATTTTCAGCCAGCCAAAGTTGTATACTAAAATTAAAAGTAAAACATAATGCATTTGCATGTTTTATTTCCACATTGATGACAGAGCTCTTCCCAAATATGTGCACCTGTGTGTTGGTGAAATTTTAGGGCCTGAAGTTTGGTGTTTGAACAGACTTAGCCACATGACATATTGAAAGTCAGAGGCATTTCCAAGAACCCACTTTGAGGTTACAAATTGTCACTGTACTGTTCATAGTGTTTAAGCTGTGACAAAACGCTATTTCAGATGTGGTTCTTTCCCTCTTCTTTCACACTCCATTTTTCCTGACACTATTTTTTTTTTCTCTTGGTCTTCTGCTTTGCTGATAAACTCAGTTTACAGCACTTTTTAGAATTATTTTCTTTTATTATTATGCATTAATTCTATATAGTTCTTTCCATGTCTTTTTCTTCCATCTCACTTTTTATATGAATTTAAAGGACAAACCCAATTTCCAAATACTAGAGAAATTCACCTTTGTGTAAAATCTTACTGCCAAATAAACATGTAGGTACCACTCAGGAATGGCAATGGAAAACATTTACTTGAATTTATTTTTTTCAAGTTCTGCCTCATCAAAATATTTTCCAGACATTACCTTGACATGCTGCTGTTGCTGTAATTATGTACAGATCTATGTCTAAAGAAAGAATCCCACAGGGGTATATTCTAGTCATAGACAATACATAAATGACAGAATGTAAATGAGTTGTCACATGTAACCATAGCAACATAACCATCATGGAGAAGTATGAAGGCCAGAACATAAGAAAAAATTTCTGTAGTTACTCACTCCCAACTATTCTGGGCAATATATTTTCAAAAAACATTCACAATATGTAAGTAAAAAAAATTTGAGGGGTAGACTTCAGCACATTATTGCAAGAGAAAAGAAAGGTTTTATTGAGAAAAGGTTATGGTAGAGAGGTTTTGTATGTAAGACTATGTACTAAAATTTGTCTAACCTTTCTTTAAATGCTGCCTATAGAATGAGAAAACTTAAAAAATTATCTATTCATTATCATTTATAAGTCACCACCGTTTAGGGTGGAAAGGATATTCAGAGCTGACGGATAATGAACTATAGCAAATAAGATATATTGATCCTGGTAGCCAATAAACTGATCACTTAAGAACTCTCATTTTTGCCTATTTGGAAAGAGAAATCTACATATAGACCAATTGGGTTGTTCTATACCTATTAAAATCAGTGGTAAATGATTCCCTAAGATCAGAGATTTAAGAATGTTACTCCAAAGAGATAGTCTGAAAAAATGTCTTAAACATGTAGTTTCTACTTTTATGAGTAGTTTTTGATAGGGTAGCTTGAAGAGCTGCTTCTGTACTTATGTTACATTTTGGAAAAAAACAATAATTAATGATGTTAAAACTTCTTTACTAGAAATGCTGAATAAAAGGAATGTGGTTATGTTTTGGGGAGTGTTCTTTTGATTAAGGTGGAATGTGCCCTGCACACTTAATTTATTTGGGTTAACACATAGAGGGCTCCTGCTGGTGTCTTGAAAATCACTTTTTTAAGCAAGTCTCCCTATGTGCCTGATGACTACAAATTACCCTGGAAAAAACTTGATCGTCTGCTTTGCAAAACATCTGAATAGGCAGTAGCTTACTTTAGTCATTGATAGCTAAAATGGCACAGGTGCTTACACCCATGTGCTCTGCTTCCCAGGTGGGGGGATTGACTCAGTATTTTGGGACCAGGGGTTTTATTGAAGCGGCTTTTAATTTACTATGTGTATCCTTGAGTCTGGATGACAGCTCCAAAATGATATTTTTCTGGTGAGAGTAAATTTGCCTTGTTTAGTACAAGTTCTARATAAAGCTTTAATTGAAAAATTTATTCCTTATTTCATGATTCACAGTTCAGTGGGATACAGGTTTTAGTAAAAATTACGAACAATCCACTGAAAAAGAAGATACTATCTCAAGAGAGGTATGATAGTACCTGAGAAAATATGAAGTATATAATGTGAGTGTTACTCATTTTTATGATACATTATGGCACTAATTTTTATTTATTCTATAATCAGTAAAATTTTTTATCAGCTTTTTCAATTTTATCAACTGATTTAATTTCAAAGAACACATTAGAGTACTAATTTTTTATTAAAAAGGTTAATTGGGGAAAGGTTTGGGCCCTGGGAACTGTATTGAGGTAGGTTCTACTCTGAAACTGCTGCTTCAGATCTGGCCAAAGATGGATGTCTCCCAATATATATTTTCTGAGTCAAATTCTTGTTCAGCCTTTGGGAAATACATCTGTGCTCCTACTGCTGTGCATTCTTGTCAATATTTATAGATGCTTATCCTGGTGACTTTGTGTGGGACCTCTGTAAGATCGTAAGACGTACCAATGGCTCTGCAGCTGCACTTAGTACTTCTGCAGTAAAGTGTTTTAAGGCTTATTTTGTACACTGACCACGGTGCATCTGGTTAGAAAAGTGTACTGTAGAAAACCAGTCTGAAGGAAAATAAGTAAGGGGTAGCACTGATTGCAATGAATTTTGAGCTGGTAATCACATACAAACTAAAAAATACCTGGCATTTTTTACACCGAGGGGTGTCTAGATGACTGGTTAACAACAGGCACATCCAGAGTTCATTGAAAATTAAGGATCTCAGGAAACTTGATATGAGGCTTGCGAAGAGGCAGGGCCTGAGCAAGGACACACATCTCAGATGCACCATTGGCTGCCTCTGTACCTGTGTGAAATATAAAAGTGTGTGTTAGTTTTTCCCTTCTTAGGATATTCTGACATGAGTTTGCTTTGAAGTTGTGGTGATACAAGCACTTGAGATATACTGGGACTATAACATTTCTTTCTCTATGGATCAACCAATTCCTCTTCTGTTTTTATTAAAATACTTATTTAAGGTAAGGAAAATACTGTTTAGTGGGGGTGTATAACTAGTTGAAGTGAATGTTGAAAATTGATGGTTTGTGATTTGGAATGGCTTTTTTTCACTGTTGTTCTAGCAGTCACAGGGAGCTCTCATTTAGTGCTGCTGAGCATTCCCAGTTTTCCTTCTATTTAAATTGTTGGAAACTCTTTTGAGATCTTAAATCTGCTTTATTGCCTGCTGCTTTGGGTTTAATGTTTTCCCCAGAAGAATTCCCTGAAGCACCTTTAAGTCACCTTTTGGACAGGTATGGTGTGAATTAAAAGCTTTAATCTGTTCATTGGCACACCAATGACAGCAGCAAAAAGCAGATCCTTGGAGGGGACTGCAAGTATAACTTATGAGAATTTTGTCAGTTTTCCAACATTTGCAGCTTAAGGACTTCTTGATGGGTGTATTTGCAGTGAAATTTGTGAGCTTCACTGTAGTTTTCTTCTGCAAACATGAACTTCTACGAACATCAACAGGTCTCTTCAGACACCCCTYGAAGCTTTTAGTAATAATTTTAAGCTTTGTCACATAGACTTTATTTTGTGAAGAGCTGCCTTTTTTTCCCCTTTTCTTTAAATCCGGAGCATACCAGCTGTGTTTTATCCATTGTGTTGCTTGTAGTGGAAGAGAAAATTAAAATAAATCTTCAAGCTTTTGGCTACTTAGGATTTTATAGATCTCTGCTGTGTTTCCCCTCAAGTGTCTCTTTTTCAGACTGAGAAGCCTTATGTTGAGAAGCAGTAGACAGCAGAAGTCAATAGTGTTTGTTGTTTAGGTCTCCTGGCTCCTGCATGGCTCTCCTGAAGATAGATTTGAACCTTAGGTATTTTTGGTCAATTATATAACTTGGTTTTTATATTTTAAATTGCTGCAGTCTTTTTATAAGGGCCTAAAAAGTGATGGCAAGGTGCTGGCAGCAATAAGGAACATACTAAATCCCACTCATTAGATATAAGTACGGAACTATTTCTTTGTACACTTGAAAATGTAGTTCTTGTTTTTTAGGTCTAAGTAGGATGTATTTATGTATGGTGAAATATCTGCAGAACTCAACAAAAATTATGAGACCTCTGTGTGTCACGCAGTACAACTGGTGATACTGGCCAGTAAAAACTATTGCTAGCTGACAAGCTCTAGGTAAAATATTAAAATTACAGAATTTAATGTCGTTAGAGGTATGTTTTCTGCATTTTCTACTAAGTTGCATTCATGTGTTTGTGTTACAGGGTGCACAGTGTCTAGACTGTGAGCAAGTGAGGAAGCCTGTTAGAGCAGTTGTGATGGAGTGGAATGAACTGCCCAAAGGAGAGGACCCAGACTATTATATTGTGACATACCAGCAAGCAGATGCTTTCAATCAAAAAGTATATTTTATCAATCTAAGCAATAAGTTTTTCTATATTATTTAAACTGTAGATAGCAATAATTATTAACACCATATCTTTCTTTGGTTTGTTGATTTTTTAAAAAGTAAAATAGCAAATAAAGTTTGGAAAAAAATGACTAGATTGTAAAATTCATGCAATTTATGTGTACTCTTAAAGTATCCATAAATGTATACTGTAAGAGTACTACTGAATCCAATGTGACTTAAAAAATCCTTGAGTGTCCTGTTGGACAAGGATGGATGATCATATGCTCAAAGTTAAGAATATGAAAGTTCTTCAGGGTCCTTTGGTTTGAAGGAGGAGTAATTTCTTCAGGACACGCACACACACTCTCCCTAGATCTTTGTGGGAGGTCACGGCTCTTATTTTTAGCATAGGATGTTCTGGAATGTAAAGAAAATATGGGGATTTTTATATGAAGCTGTTTGTTATTAATTTCCAGATTAATTTATTTCTAAAAGGCTTTGTTTCAAATGCATTGGTGTTTTACAGTGTGACTGCAGCCCCAAGTTTGGCATGCAGCAATATAAGCTCCTCTTCTAAAAGCTTCATAGGTCACTTATTAATTGCATTTTATTATTTTCACTGTATTCAGAAATTCTTTTAACTTGCAGAATGTAAGAAACACTTCTAAAGGTGAACTGAAACCTGTCAGGACTGCAGTTCTGCTCGAGGAAAATAAGAAGTATGATATTACAATAGAATCCCTAAAAAATGGCCGAATCTTAAGTGTAAAATCATTTAAGACACGTACAACRTAAGTTGAGTAGCACAAAAATACTTTGATATCTTTGTAGTGAGTTTAATACTGAAGATTAAAAAATAGGGGTTCAAATCTTGAGGTTACTCATGTATTTAAAAAACTTATGTATGTTTTCAACTGTAAAGTGTTGCAGGAATAATTTTATATAATGTTTTTGGTTGATGTAACAATTCTAAAATACGGGACTGACTTAAAAGTTTGTGAGATTTTAAAATATTACAGGTTTTGCTATGCCACAGTAATTCTATAAAAGAGCCTTATGAAGAAAGTTAAAGCCTGGAAATTTCATAGCAACACAGGGTCATGGTTTTTTTGTCTCATATAAATTTAAAAAAACCCAAACTATTCTTGTTTCAACTACAGGACAGTCCCTCATTGAAAAGGATTAATGTATATCTTAAAGATCTTAGCATTGGGACTCACAGGGACAGACTTTCAGTTTAAGAATTTGTGAGTTTAGCCACTGAACTTAYAATAGCATTGTTTATAGTTGTAGATCTGCTCATATAGCTGTAAATCTGCTCAGGACCACAAGTCCCTCTGATTACTAGAATGAAGGTGCTTTCCAGTCTTAACTTTGCTCATTAAAATAGTTTCTAGCATTACCGTTGTACACACTGCAAGCTTGTATGAGCTTTGGAATACAGACCAGGCTCTGAATTCAAACAACATAATTGAGAAAAACACGTAGTAAATTGAAAGCATTGCAGCAGCCATCAACTGCTGAAAGAACATTCAGCAAGCTACAGGAAATGATTCTGATGCTAATGTGCTACTGCTCTTAACATCTATTACTTAACTGATATTTTACCAAAATATGTACTTTTACAATTAAAACTCTCCTTAACTGTGCACTTTTATCTCTGGTTGCTTCAGACATAAGTTAACATACCATGACAGTAAAGGACATAATCCCTTCTCAAAAGAAAAAAGTAATAATACTGAAGAAATAAAACTTTGAGTTAATTATTCMTTTGTGGTAAAAACAGTATTTATTTTTTCTTTATCTACTAGGTGGAATTTCAGAGAATGCCATCAAAATATTTGTGACAGCTACTACAGTGTCTTTTGATTGGAGTATGATGATSAAAGAATTTTCAGTTTCTCTTTTAATGAATGGTACTTCTCAGAGAATAAAAAGTCCCAGTGGATTCTTTGTATGGAGAAATTTGACACCTTCCACCATATATACATTTAAGTTTATATTTGAACAATTAAATCTTGAATTTGTAAATGTGTCTCAATCACTGGATATTCAGGCTGAAACAGGTATATATTAGAGTTTCTTGCAGTCACAGTGAATGCAAGTTAGTATTGCATGTTTTCTAGAAGAGTTAAAAGTAAATTGTAAAATCCTCTATTCCACTTTACATATTTTGGTAGATAGGGATGTTATTTCTAGAAAGAGGAAATAAATTGAATGTTAATGACATAGGAAGGTTATTTCTAATTAATATTTCATAGTATTTTAGGAGCAAGGACTCAAATTTGCATGTGCAAATATTTTAAGCTAACTATATTTTTGCAATCTAAAATAGAATCAAGTCAATGTTGAAGTTAAGCCTTGTAATTATTGGAGTGTATGGATTTAATTTGCTGCGTAGTTTCAATGAAAAGGCAAAGAACATCCTGAATTAAGTAAGGATTTGGAGCACTTTCTGCAGTATTCAAGATGATGGGGTTTTCATTGTTGGGTGGCAAGCTTAGCTCTCCTGTTTTGATAGAAGTGCTGTGAGGCAGACAAGATTCTGAGGATATTATGGCTTGGTTGTGCATCTTCATTTCTGTAAATGTGCCACTCTCATAATGCAACTTTAAAATCTTTGAAATTAAATACACACAAGAAAGAATCAAACTTTTAAGGCACTCGGGATTTTAAAGAAGTGTTGATTCATAATTGCTGAATGTTAATGACTTTAAAAAATTGCTATTGTCCTCAAAATGTCTGTGTAATTATAAGGAAGCTTAAACAGCACCGCTGCCACGAGTAATGCAGTGTACCTTCAAAATCCTGTCCTTGTTTGCCTACAGGCACCTGTTCCCAAGGGTGGGTGGCATTCCAGAGCAGCTGCTACCGAATGGGCAGGGAGAGCAAGCCATGGAAGGTGGCACAACAAATCTGTGAAACCTCTCCACAAGGGGCACATCTTCTCGACATAGGGAGTGAAGAAGAAAACAGCTTTGTGTTGTCCTATCTCCAGAAAATTAGTCGAATAATCATGTTATGGACTGGTCTTAATGACCTAAAGGTCAGTGTATTTTATCTTCTTTATTATTACAGATACGGAAGCAGGAGAATTTAGAAATAGATAATCCAATCCTTTCAAATAAAAATTACTAAACAATACATTAGTTATTTGCTTATGTAGTTGCTAATAATTAGAAGAAGAGTAATTCGTTCTTTCTATTTAGAAATACTCAAAGTATTTGGAAGGCCATAGCTGGGGGAAAAAAAAACCCCATAGTGTATACTTAACCTGTAATTTTGTATATGTGTGTGTGTGTGTGTGTGTGTGTATTTCCCGGGGTTATTAATTTGCCTGTAGGTGGTGCTGCATTACCAGATTTTAAATCTCACGCATTAAAATGGATCTCAAAGTCTGGTGTTGGCTTTCTCAGTTTCGACGCCCGTCTGAAATGTTGAGTTTTGAGCTTAGAGAGGTCTGCCCAGTACAGGTGGAGCAATGCAACGTATTTCTTGTGAAATATTTCCCGCTCCTCATATTTGGAATATGAAGACTCTTAATGCCACATCAGCTGTTGCAAAATGAATCAGTGTGGTGTGGCATGCGTGTGATTTGGGAAGAACTACAGACATAAAAGTGTTGGGAGAGCTCTTGGGAAGATGGAGACAGCGTGGCAGAAAAATGTGACCCAGGCTTCTGTGATTTGATTCAGTAAAAACTTATTTTGTACTAGGTATAGAAGGTTGGGAGAAAGCCAGTGTTTTCTGGTTTCAAAAATCAACACTCTGAAATTTAATTTTAATATTGTTTTGGTAAAATTATTTTAAAATTATTTAAAATTTATTTTACTGTGAAAATAATAAAACCAAAGCAAACTTTATGCATAAGAGCAGGAATGGTGACACACCACATGTCAAAGACACACAAAAATTATTTTTTTCAGACTCTATTAAACAATGGGGCTACACAAACAAATCAGAGCAGAATAACATGAAGACTGAGGGAACACAAATCTGCCTAGGTTACAGAAGCACTGTAACAATCCTGGTTAGTAAAGCACCAGGAATATATGTACTTTACATTATTTTGTGAATAAGATTCCAAAGTCACTTCTCAAATTGCTGTAAGTTTTACACCAAGTGAAATTCCTTATAAMCAACTTGATATTTTAGAAGTAAGGTAGTATTTTAAGAGGCTGTCAGAAATAGTTGTCCCATGGAAGCATTACATTTTTGCATGTTGAAAAGAGTACTAGAAAATATTTTTWAAAAAACTCTGATTACACAGAAAAGAGTTGTTTGCCAGTTTGGAATTTGACTGTTAATCAATTGTTTAATCATTACATGCATTTTTATGTTTGTGGGAGTCAGTCAGTTAAATGAACTGACATAATAAAATGCTTGTTTTCCAAGAATTTGTTTCCTAAATATTTGTTCTTAATTAGTGTGCTCAAGTGCTGTCTGAGCATGTTTCAGTCCTAAATGTCATTGTTGTCTTCTGCTTTTATCTTATGAGAACTCCAAATTGTGCTTATACCAAATTGTGCTTAGCTGAGGAGTTCAAATACCATGGAACATAGAGTAAGAGTTGCAGGATTTGTTTGAAATCTGAGATATGAATTGCAGATGCAAATAATTTTGCTTTCTCACTTGTGATTGAAGCAATAGGAATTAAAATTTCTGTTTTCAAGAAGAAATTTCAAAATACTTATTTTTCTCCAAGTCCCCTGGTGCTCGAAATACTTGATGAAAAGAAGTTGAAACTGTAACCTACTCAGAAGATCTCAGCAGCCCTAGGAAACTATCAGTTGTGACACTGAATCAAATTAGCATCTCTGTGAGCAGGATTAGTTCTGTAGCAGTCGTAGTCTCACAGTTTCCCCTTCTTTAACCCTACTTTGATCTGTGTCTGAATTCAAACCCTTCCTGATGAGGGTGAGCATTCTGTGAATGCAGCAGAGACCCTGGAGATACAGGTCACAGCGTGAATGAATGGAGTGCTTTGGTGATACCCTCATGTCCCTCCTGACACTCTGCAGTTCCTCTGGAAGTGGAGAAGGTGCCAAAGACTCTTTACTGAGCTTTCTCTTATGAACTTTGCTATGGAGGTTTGTATCACTGTAGTATCTAATGGTTTCCTGTCCTTGTCATTAATTCTGGTGTCTAGGAAGACCAACATATTAAAAAAAGATATACACTGATCTGTACAGTATTTTTGAAATGGCAGGCTATACACACAAGTTCTTCTGAAAGAAAAGTTCAGGTATTTCATACCATTGAAAGTGTTCTTTGCTCTTCTGGGAAATGAAAGGTATGACAATATTTTATTTCAATTTTTCAACACAACAAATTAATTGAAAAGAAGGCTTATTGTCAACAAATATAATTTTTTATCATTTTCTCAGAGAAATGAAAAAAGAATATTTTTTCCCCTCCCTCTTCCCTCTTCTGAACATCTTTAATAAAAGGATAAACAGCAGAAGTCATGAAATTATGGTGGTACCTCAGCTTTTCTCCACTGAAGTACTTAAAGCATTCAGTTAGGGAGCCTGTGGTCCTACAGTCTGTGTCTTTTAATCTTTTGTAATAGAAGGAATAGGATTCTAAATTGAAACCTTTATTAAAAATATTCCTACAGAATTAATTTGTATAAATGAAGTGCATAAATTCTATGTGTTTAGCAGATATGCTTGCAGTGAGGGAACCTTAATAATTTATAAAGATATCTAAAAATGTATGGTTTTTTATTTCATTTTTTTCAATCTAGGAAGAAGGTCAGCTCTTGTGGACAGATGGCTCTCCTTATCTTCTAAAAGCTGGTATCTCAACCCTGTCAATGATACCAGAAAATCAAACTGACTGCTATGCCCTTCAGAGAGATCCCACTGGCCCAGACTATTTCTTCACAGGATTTTTCTGCTATGTACAGCTACCATATATTTGTGAATATGAATGTAACTATATTTTTTCAATCTTTTGCATTTATTTTTAAAGCCTTGCCTTGATTAAATTTAAAATTATAGATACAAATATAAAAATAAAAATATTTTAATGATTTAATTTTTTTTTTTTTTTGCAATTTTGATGTTCTTTTTCAGTACCTCTGGCACCAGAAGATTTCACATTTAATGTGCACGATGTCACAACAACTGAAGCTCTATTTACATGGAGCAGGGTGGACACGTGGCTTAAGCCAGGCTTTGCACTTGCACTCAAGTACTATTTTGATCAGTGGAAGCCATACATTCTGAATTTGACTGTGAATACAACTCAAACAAGAATTAGGCAGCTGTCTCCAGGCCTTCTCTATAGTTTCTTATTAGCAGCAAGGAGCCCAGAAGGAGAACAGACTATCTTAAGTCCAATTCTGAAGGTAGAAACAAGTAAGTTACAAAAGCAAATAGCTGTAATAATCAGATAATCATATATATTTTTAGTTTCCCTATAATTACATTGTTTTGCGGTTTTATCTGAAAATATAAATAAATCTAAGCATCTTCCAACTCAAATCACTCTGATCCTGTGATTCTGTGAAATTAAGTAATGTATGCCATTTGAGATGGTGTTTCTGAACTGACTGAAATATAAGAAAGGACCTAAATGGGGAAATGGTGTTCTACATGAAGAGCAAAGTGATTCAGAAAAACTTCAGTTGAAGAGTAGGAGTATTCTCTGTATTCACTGTCACTGATACACWGTCAAGGTTGCTTTGTTGGATTTGCTCTGATATTATTTGGCCTGCACATTAGTGCRTATTGTTAGGCTTTCAGGCCCTATTTAAAACAAACAAACAAACAAACACAACAAAACACCCCACAGTTATTGGTGAAAGGTGAGAAATTATTATCCTATTTCTATTCTTAAACTTATTCAACAGGGCCGTTGCATTCCCAGAAGTTAGAGGCTACATATGTTTCATCTGCAGAAATACATTTAGAATGGAAGCTTCCACAGCATTCATCCAGTGCTTCTTTTCATTACTACCTGGTCAGCATGTTGGATACCGAAACCCACATCTGGGAGCAGTTACCAGTTGAGAAAAACAAGACTTCAATGGTTATACGAAATATAAAACCTTATCATCAGTATCAATTATATTTACAGAATGTAGCAGAGAAAGGAACTCTAAGCTGCCATGAGAAGCCAATATTAATCACAACAGGTGATGTATCCATTTTCTAGTTGTTTTATTTCACTAGATAGAGTTTAAATTGAAAATACAAGGCCTAAAGGTATTTTAAAGTCATGTCAGATTGTGGTGGTTGGGATAATCTTCAGAACCTTCCAAAATTGTAAAAGTACCTATCTGCTAATTTATTTATGCATTTTTCTACTTAAAATATATTAGTATGAACTAAAGAAGTGAAAGTCTACTTGATAAATTCTGACTTATAGTGATTTTAATTTCAGTAAAATAAAAACTTTACCATGATTYGTCAATCTTTTAGGGTAGACTTTATTTTTCTAATAATAGATACTATGACTCAGAATGTGAAGTCTTTTTATTCTGTACATATCCAGTGGAATGAAATATTCTTACAAAATGAGTCCCTATTTATTATGAGAAAACAGAAAGTAGAATCTGCCTGTAACAAGTAGTTGACTGCGAACTATTCTAAGAACAAATTAAATGTTAAATAATGATATTTTAAAAGGAAAAACAAACCATCATTGGGAAGTGATTGTAAATTGATAGTAAGTTTGGTACATGGTTTTAGACTAACATATTTTTCTTTGATGAAGCTGTCAGTCCTCCTACAGCTGTTTATATTCACCCAGAGGATGTACAAGAAGAGAGTGTAATCCTTCGCTGGAAGCTGCCACAGGAGTGCCAGGAATCCTACATTCAAGTGAAACCTAATGCAGACATAGGTGAAACTAAAAAGTATTTTTTAAGCAATACAGAAGTATTAAAGGTTGCTGACCTAATTCCTGGAATGGCTTATGAAATAGCAGTGGCAAGTGTGAAAAATGGAACTATGAGCAAACTGAAGAGCATTCAATGCACTTTAAGTAAGACGTTTTTTATTATAATAAACACATCAGTGTCACAATTGTTGCTATCACCTAATAGATTCTGTAGATCAAGTCAATTTGCTAAATAACCAAGGATCAAAACTTAAATATAAAATACAGATCAAATCTTAATTGTTAACAGCAAAGTTAACAATTTTTGCAAAGAGATTGCAGCCTGGGGAAACATATCAGTACCACTGACAACTACGATGGGGACCACAGCTGGAAATCCTGTTCCCATTGGCAGAAGGAACTGGGTGAATCATTGATTTGCACTGAAACAGGAAAATATTGCAATGGTTGAAACAGATAAATTATTTTTGGGATACATTAGTTGTTCTGTGAACTGTGAAAAAAAGATTGCCCGACTATTATTGAGAGGCTGTTAGGAAAGATTTTGAAGTAATAACTGCTGAAAGTAAAGTTTTTGCATTGTTTGTTGGAGCATCTCTCCCATTGATAGGGGAGGATTTATTGAAGGGTTTTAGTTTACCAAAACGTTGAAATCCTTTTGGTGCATATAAAGTTTTGCATATGTGAAAGGAGTGAGCAGGATTCACTTATACAAGTAGCATGTAAAGGCTGCAGCTGTCAGGTGATAGATTTATGAAATGCTGCATTGTCATCTTTTTCTAAATGATTACAGTTTTTTGGAGGGTAGCAGTCTTAGTATTTTCCAGAATTTTTTATATATGATTAGATCTAATACCTCATCCATGATACAGAATTTTAGATGGGATATTTCCCAGCTGTCAGAGCCAACTGTAAGGGAGGAAAATTAAACAAGTCAATGTTGTATCCATCGAATGCATCTCATTCTCCATGGTCATCTCTCTGTTCACATCTACATTTCTGTACACCTTTCCAGCTATCCTGCTTATCTTCTTGGTGCAGCTGTGGTTGAGAAAGTAATTCCAGTAATTAATAGTTTGAAGATCAGCGTCTTTATTGTTTCTGAGCAATGACATGTTTTACTATGGTAGCTATTAATTTGCACTTACCAAGTGTATTTCCTAGAGCTGTTGCTTCAGATGCATTATGTGGTTTTAATTTAATTTATTTTCAACTGATTTAACATGTAGCAATTCTTTTTTTCTTCCAGAACCCAAGCCTGTTCAAATTGTAGTTCCTTWTGGGCTCTATAGTGATGCTGTGGTACTATTTGTTCGCACGCCTGATATCGGAGTATTTGATGGCATTTATGTTACAAGTAAAAAAGGACCTAATGCAGCATTCCTTTTAAAAAGTGATGGTAAAATAACAATTGAAAACCTTACTGCAGGAACAGAATATGATTTCTGTATCTCCACAAAAAGTGGAAAAATGTTGAGCTCCTTTTACTGTTTAAATGGTGTAAAAACATGTGAGTATTTTTAAGTTCTTATAAAATTGCACCCTATAAAATCTTGATTTTTGAACCTTTTAAACTTTATTTTTATTTCAGTGCAATAGAATAGATATGCTATTCCAAAATCATCTTGATGTATCTGTGTAAGCAATTTGTAGTTGTATTAGCACTAATACAACTTTATACAAGACTATAACAATCCCTCGTAATTTCTAAACTTTCTAAACTATTTTTTCTAATATTGTGTATAAAATGTGTAGCAAGCATTTCGAGAATTTAGGCTGTATTGAATTATTGTCCTTATGGGAAACAAAATGCATTTTGACTGCTTGCTTTAAACAAGTAGATGAGTATCAATGGAGTTACTTCTGTACCTTGAAATTGTTAAGATTATTCCTCCTGGTGCATCTTTAAACTAATAGCAAAAGGGTTGAGATTCTCCAGGGTAATAAATTCTTTTACAAAGACATTAAAAAGAACTTTAATAGAAAGGACTCCTTCTAGCAAGGACTTTAAAAATTGAATTTTAGTAGAAATTTAAAAACTGTTTAAAAATATCTGCTGAAATTCTGTTATGACCTTCCTATTTTTATTGAATTTATACTTCCATAAACTTTTCTTTTCCCATCTTATCATTTTCCTTTGAAATTCTTTTTCTGCTCTGTTTCTTTCAGCGTGAAAACGTTATAAAAGAAGAAGTTAAGATAGGATCTAAAGAAGGAAGAAAGGAAAATGAGGGCAAGACAGAAAAAATCTTCCCCAAATAATGAAAGCCTTGAGAGCTCACTTTTCTTAAAAGACAGTTTTAATAAAAAGTTGGGGTTTAATCAATCTTATGACAGCATTTCCTAAGTTTCGTGGGGAAGCACCATACAAAATCTAGTCTTGTTCTAACTTTTTCTGGAGCCCCAAAAATTTGGAAGAAAAAGAATGCTGACACCTCACATGTATACAGTTTTTCCTTAGAAAAAGTGTAAATTTTGCTGCCTTCCAGACAGAAACAGCTGTGATGGGATTGAAAGAGATGTAGAGAAGAGTGGAAACACTCCTGAAATGTGATCTGGATTGTACCTAACAAGACTGTAGTAATTAGGGATTTGTCTAGCCTGATCTACCGAGTTTTGCTGAGCCTTTTGACAAAATTTAGGTACATTCTGACCACTATGGTGGTGCTATTGGAGGGATTAACTTCATCCTGGAGAACTTTCCCATCTAGGAGTGCCAGCTCTGTCCTCRGGGAGAAATGCATATTTAACCTCATGTAATTTTAAGATAAAAAAAAAGAGCAATTTTTTCTGAAATACTGGCAATACCAAATCATTTTTCTTTCTCTGTTCTTTTCCTTCTCTGTTTTGGAATTGCTGTGAGTCTGCAAGCCCAAGGTCAGGTTTTGCCCTTCTGTTKGTCTGTTTCTGATTGTCTTCTCTTTTGTGTCTCTCCAGGAGACACAAAAAAAGTGTTAGATTCCACAGTGCCTGGGATTGAACAGCAATGTTTTTTATATTCTCCTGTAGGTCTGGCAGCTCCCCGGAACATGCGAGAGGGTGACGTTACTGATTCTTCTATACAGCTCGCTTGGAACCGCACTGACGGAGATTTCGAACAGTACAAAGTCACATGTACAAATTGTGCAAGTGCTTTCAAGGTATGCTGTTTAGAGCACCACCTAAACAGCATAAAAAACACTCCTGCTGTTTTTCTATCTTCTATTAAGTAATTGGAGGCTGAATTAAAAGCTTTATTTCTCAAAAAATTAGTTGCATGTGCAGTTTATGTCAGATAAGTGAATTTTGGTTTTCTAGGTCCAGAAGGTCAAGCAAGAAACAGCAACATTTTCCAACCTTAGTCCTGGTAAGATGTACAGTTTTGCAATTCGAACAGAGAAGGAAAGTTTCAGAGACAGTATTTTTGTGACAAAGGAAATAGAGACAGGTATGACCACAGTGTTGTCAAATTCAGCATTTGTTTTACTCCACCTATATCTCTTGCTTTCTTGCTTTTTATTTTTGTCTTAAATGGAGTAATTTAGCCATCTTCATGGTTTCCTCCTTAGCCTCTTTCATTGTTTTTTTTTTTCTTATTCTTTGACTGCAAGGGGGTGTTAAGAATATCTGTAGAATTTCTATGTACAATGAACTTCCACTGTTAACTTCAGTTTTGTTCAGGCAGCTGTAGAGTCTAGTAACTGATACTTGTATGGTGTCTGGCTACAAACACTAGAGAAAACTATTTGTTTGGCCTTCTCTTTAAAGCTTTGTTATTGTCTTCAACCATGACTTTGAACACACTAAAATGTTCAGAACTAAATTGGTTTTATCGTGTTTTCTCATTGGCCTACCCTTACACCGCAAGTAAATTTGGGTTTTTCTACATTTACTTTTCCTTTGGGTTTAGACATTTGATTCTCAGCAGTGCAGTTCTCCTCTATTCTAGTAGTTCTAGCTGGCTGAACCTGGGGACATGGCCTCTCAGGCTATTAGATTTGGCATGCTGCATTTTCCTCTGAGAGGTCACTTATGTGAAAAAAATCAAGCACAGTAGATGAGATTGAAAAGGTTCAGCATATACAACCAAAGATCAGCAATGTTTTGCATCTAAGGAACCACAGAGTTAAAACTGATACAGGAACGATGTAAAATAAAAATTTGTGACAGGACAAATCATGGAAAGACAATTATAGAGCTAGTAAATCATAATTCTCTGACATATCCTTTTCCAGAACTAAGAACATGAAACTAGATAACAGGAAATAGAAAACAAGCAAAAGCAAATGGTTGTTTATTAAATTTGTAGATAAATTGCAGAACTTCTGGCCACAAGATATTTTTTCTGATGATTGTGACCATTGGTTCAAGTGGAGACCAAAGACATTCAAAAAGAAAAATCTGCTGAGATTTACCAAGTAGAAACAAAAATCACATTTGACTCTTGAAATCCATAGGCTGCAAACTGCAGTCTGGGGGACCACTGGAAGGAATTCACTCTGTACAATTCTTGCTTTTTTGGAGACACATGCTTTTGGCCACTTGAATAAAAGATACTGTGCTAGTCAGGACTTAGGTTTCTGCACAGAATGTTACCTCTTATGCTGCCATTTCTCATCTTGAGGAATTATCTGTTTTTGAGGAACTCCACATCACTGATGTCAGTGCTAAGCACCATTACAGAGCAGCAGTTTGGCTCTGAATTTCCTGGATTACAAGTCCCTGTATATGTTACTGCAGTGGCAGTAGTCTCTATGTCCTTGAGATAAGGAAGACCATGACATAATTTTTACAGAGTGCTCATTGCATTCTGATGATGAGAGGCCTGTCATAAAGAAATGTCTTTAAAATGTATTTTTGAATCAATGCATTTTGTTTTATTGTCACACAGTACCAAGTGCAGTTAAATATCTGAACTGTAGCAGAGATTCTCAATCAATAACTGTTACCTGGCCACTAGCCCAAAGTATATTTGATGGATATGTTCTTTCAATAAACAGTAAAGTCTTCAATGAGAAGAAAATGTTACCTTCTGGTGTGAGGTATGATGATTAAATTTAAAACATAACTAACCATAAGCTCAAAGCAGCTGTTTCACTGCATATTTAAAAGAAATAGCCTGTGCTGTTATTTGATGGTTTAGTTGATAGACATTACTATCTCCATGTRTTTTAAGAATTGCTCCTTTTTAACAAATTGCAATTCTCATATGATGTGTCTATATAAAGAAGAGCAAACAAAATACTGCTTCAGGGTGAGTTCCAGTAGAACTTTTATGCCACTCTGGATATTTAATTCAATACTTTAAGGTTTTCTAGTACTGGAATTTACTGTAAGCCATAGTGTAATGCACCCTATTTAAGATTTTATTGTACTAAAGTATTTTTTTACTCACAACGTATAAGCATATGCACATGTGTAAGTATCTATAAAGAATTGAACGTACATACATTTTTAGAATCCTAAAGGACACATTCTCTTCTTTTAATCTTTGTAGAATGCACAAATTTGAACACCTTCTGCCAGGCACTGATTTCTTGATCAATATTGTGACAACCAATGGATTAAAAAGAAGCCGCCCTACCATCCTCAAGATTAGCACCTGTAGGTTCAGTTTGTTAATGACTTTTCATGGTTTCAAATGATTACAGTTGTTTTATTTTTAAGGTGTTGTTTAAGAAAAGATACTGCTTTTTAAATCCATGCATCTTAACCATGTCTGAATTAATGCAAATATGTTTTTCTTTTCAATCTAAACATCTTTGAAAGTGACTAAGTATTTAAAAGCTTTTAAAACACAAACAACTTTCCTTTTCATTTAGTGGGATTTTGCCACTAATTGAAGCAGCAATAATGTTAGAATGATAAAAATTTTTCATAAAAATTGAATTAATAAATGTTGAATTTATTTCTTAGTCTGATTCTAATATATAGAGGTGATTTCAATTAATTTGAAATTATTTTTAAGTACAAAATGAAATATTTTTCTAGACTGARCTATAAGACAATGAATTAAAGCTGTGTATTCTGTAGATGTCAATTTCCTTAAACTTAATATAGATTATTTTAAATCTAATTTTTACATCCTCAGATCCTGATCCACCCTCAGATTTACAGGTGTGGGGACAAGAAGAAAATACCTATTTTTCTTGGAAACTACCCAGAGGAGGATTTGATACGTTTCGGGTGAGATGACAGTAGGAATAAACCAATGCAATTTTTTTTTGTTATTTCTCAATGGAATTATCATTCTGTATGTACTGCAGATTCCACAATAAATATCCATTTTTATAACCCATGTAAGTACTGGCAAAAATACTGCTACTGGAAAAGGTCAGCTAAATACTTCATATTACATAACAATTATAAAAATCGTTTAAAATTATGCTTTTAATGGCTTTCAAGAACTGATTTTTCAGCTAGTGTGAAATAAAGATTATAGGTCAAGGGTTGAATGTAGAATACAATGTAATCTTCTTTCCTTTGCTTTTCAAATTTGTAATGAAAAAATAATTTAACTGAAGTGAAAAATAAAAAATACACTTCATATAGGAGAATCTAAGTTTTGTTTAGAAAGTCACAGAATAATTGTGGATATTTTGGTTGTTTGTTTTTTGGTTTTTAAATATAGCAATTTATTAGACAAAACTGCAAACCTTTGAAACCTCCCATACCCTTCTGGCCTTGGGCAGTAAGTAGTTCAGGGATTTCCTGAGTGATAGGTTGTAATTGGAAATTCATAGAGAAAACCAGGGGCTATTCCTGATTTTTTTATGTTATTTATACTTCACAATTTTGTTATTGTGAAGTTAAAAAAATTACATTTTAACTGTAAAAAAAAAATTACCTGTTAAAAAAATTACATTTCTTTATTTAAAACCTGTTCTTCATTTGGTACTTGAGGTATTACTAATTTATTTCCCTGTTCACCATACCCATCACCCACCGATTTATAAACTGCAATTCTCATCATTTGCTCTTTTACTTCTGTTGTCAAAACCAATCCACAATGGCATCTAAATACTTTGTCTCTGGATGGTGTTTCACTATGGCATGTATCTTGTCTCTCTTGTACCCTGGCTTTTTGTCTTGAATTATCCTTAACATCTCATAGCCACTGAATCAACACACTCATGTGGTCACTAAAACTTTGCGATGTTTTAACTCATCATTTGAGTCAATATGGATTTCTAGGTAAAATCTTTTACTGTTAACTCACTTGGCTGGGATATTCATTAGTACATATCACTATGTGGGACAAAGGACTTTGTTTTAATGGTCTWCATGGTTTGTACCCCAATATGACAGTGTCCAATTATTTTCCTTCTGCTCTCCATGGCTTCAATTACATCCTTACCTAAACCTGAAATCCGAGTAGCCTTAGGATAGTTCCTTGATATTTCTTCTCTCTGCATTAGTATAAAGCTGCATGGATCTCAATGGATCAGAGCAGCCAGTTAACCTCTCACAACACTATTTGCTGGAGCAGTCTGGAGCATATTTACAAATTTTAAAATTAAATTTAATTCTTTTGATAGTGTTTTGAACCAGTTCAGATGCACTTTTGAAGGTGATAATGCTATTTTTACCATCCTGTGGAAAATAATTGTCATCTGTGATATTGATCTTTATGTCACAGTGTTACTGTTCAGTGCCTCATAGAGCAAGCAGCCACATTAGCCAGTGCTTTGTCTGTATAAATGAGCTTATCTTTAAATCTTTAATGAGAAGGGCTTTCACAGACTCGTTGCTTAGTAAGGTGCACCTGCATAAAAGGGATCATTTTACTAATCATTTAAAATTAATTGTCCCTGCTTACCAACTTTCTATACAATATATTGTAGTTTGTAGAGTGAAGAGTGCACAAAAGGTACTTTCCTAACTTATTTATACCAGACTTAAATCTTTAATCTATAGCTTTGCTTCCAGCATCTTGCAGTTCTGTAATTCTAATAGGGTGATGACAGTTTCCAAGATTTTGTTAGTATAAACAGACACTGTGCTGATAAAATAGACAGAGGGGCAGTGGATCATTCCACCCCAGGTGAATAGTGGCTAACCCAGAGTCCTTTCAGGTCACTGCCATCTGTACCTCTCCCTGCAGTTGGAGGAAATGACTTGTGGCAGGACAGGACTCACTATGTAGGCAACTGCAGCCCTTCTTGGTCTCAGAATTAAGAGCTATGCCTGAGAAATCTGTGTGTGTGTGTTGGAGGTGCTTGTCCAGTGCCCTTCTCTGCAGGCATGCAGCATCTGCACCTTGCCTCTCACTAGTGCAGCCAGGAACCAGTCTGCAGGGACAATTTTCTATGTCCACTGAAAGAACTCTTGCAGGAAATTTTCTCACCTTAGAGCTGTCTGGCAGTTCAGAAGGAATTCTCACTACTTCTAGGAGTTAAGTCCCCAAATTTCAGTGTCTTGATATCTCCAGCCCTTTTATTCTCAGCGTCTCTTGAAAAATGACTTTTCAAGGTACAGCAGTGAGCAGAGTTGAGTGACTGATTACTTGGGAGACTTTTCAGAATCTCAGCTCTGAACAATGTATGGGTGGTTTTTTTAGTTGAATGGTTTTAGGTGTTTGAGTTTTTTCCTTTGTTTTGCTTTGGTTTTTGTTTTGTTTTGAGATTTTTTTTGCCTGAAAGGTGGAGAGTTACTTAATTGAACAGTTCGTCAGTACAGCTATGAGACTGAACATTAGGACTACACATTTTTATCTTTYCTCTAAGTGCAAAAACCTATAAGCCTTGTCTTCATTTTGCTTCCTCCATCTCCTTTTAAATATTAGAGTCATTGTATTCACTACTGGGCTATTAAGGAATCTTAGAGTAAGAGCTCCACTTTGATGGAACATGGTACAAAGCTCCTTGCTTATTTTTGTCTTTAAAATGTGAAAAATAGTCTACATATTTTTGTATCAACAGGTATTTGCAATCTCTGAGCATTACTTTAATGAATTTAAATAATCTAATATAAGAAATTCTTTTTCTTCAATAGCTTTCACATTGTCTGATGAATAATGAAAATTTGCTTACCAGAACTATTTATGACAGCAGAGCTGTAGTGAAAAATCTGACCCCTGGGACAGAATATATTTTTCGGTTAAGGACAATTAAAGGCTTGGATTTGTCTGTGGCTGTGGAAAAAAAGGTCATTACAAGTAAGGAAATATTTTATAAACTGTCTTTTAAGAAAAACAGTAGGGGTTCAGAGACATTTAAATAATTGCTTGTGGATAACTCAAAAAGGTTGCAGAATTCAAAACAAAACTTTCGCTTCAGGAGGAAAGTTGTACTTCCTCTTGTGATAATTATTTAAGTAGGAGCCTTGTACATAACTCATTGGATTGAAGCTGAGGAGTCTAGACATGGTTGAAGAAAGCCCTTTGAAAAAATCTTCCAGCTCTCACAAAGTAAGATCTWGCAAGAATACCTTCCTGCACTTTCATAATTACCTTGCATTTTTTTTTTACAATTGTTTCTGTATCTTTTAAGTTCTTGCAAGCCTGTGTCTCAGATTGGAATGTTGCTCCTGTTCAAGGCCACAGAATGCTTTAGATATTAAGAGGAATTGTACTTCAGAGAGTTTAACAAAGTCCAGAAATGGTATTTTGCACTCATTTTCTGTCTCTGAGCAAGCATGTATATTCCAATGTTCCTATGATACAATATTAAAAAAGAGGGAAATTTATTTGGGGCATAAATTTGAAGAAGAAGATTTATATTGAATTCTGGACTGCTGAAGCAGAATAAAGAGCAGTTAATTGTAACCAGAAAATAAATCAGAAAATAAAGCCCAGGTTTATATACATGCAAGTCATAGACCTCCTCTTTTTTGATGGATATTCTTTGGCTTGTTTGGACTACAACTCCTTAACTCAGTTAATAGTCAAGGAAGCTGTGCACTTAGTTATTCACTGATGAGTGAATCTCCAAGAAAAAAAAAACAAAAAACAAACCAAACATAAAAAGTCCTGCAGACTCTGGTTAATGAAACAGGCATCAGAATATTCATTATCATGTTCCTGAACATGCTTTTTATCCTCAAGCAAATATTTTCAAGAGAATTGTGGATGAGTCCAGAGTATGCCTAGATTATGGAAAGTTTACTTTATAATTTTAATGGTAAACCCTCAGGATTTTTTTCATGCTGAGTAATAGGCATATGTTCATTGGTATTTTTCATAGAGCTTCAATCAATCAATCAATTCAATCAATTGTGTGGGAGATTCACTTTTTAGGAGAAATAGAAACATTTTTCTTTCCTAAGCAGCTGTGTTGCACAGATTAATGGAGGGGCTATTTTCTCTATCTGATTTCAGGAATCTTAATGTAATCAAAAAGATTGTGCAAAAATCACTGAGAYGATGTTATTTACTGTGTCCCTAAGTGAGCAGATGAACAGTTTTCTAAAATTATATGGCATATAATGTATTTTACAAAACTTTAAACTGAATAAAATCTCTACTTCTGGTTACAAAGTGTTCCATTCTCATCTGTTCACCAGTGAGCAATGTTACTTTTCTTAGAGAAGATTTCATAAAATTTGAATTTTCTTCCATCTATGGCATAGTGCACACAAGATGTGCATTCCTAGGTTTTATTTATCTTGTGCAACATAATAGCACTGTTTACTATATATCCATACAAACAATTCTAAAATTTGTATCAGTATTTCATGATGCTTTGAAGTCTTAAAACATTCATGTAAGTAAACACCACTTATTTTTAAAAGCTGTTATTTTCTGACATGGTAAGTACTAGGGATTAATTATTTTGTTTATTAATCTGAATAATTTTTACCATAGAGCCTGCTGGGATATGCGGTCTGACATTAAAAATGGTAAATACTTCCTCTGCAACTGTAATGTGGAATCCAACCACGACTAACTTCACTTCTTATAAAGCATCTTTATCAAACAACATGTTTACAAAAAAGCTAAGAATTCCACGAACACTGACTGACTTTAGTGTTACAGACCTGACTGCTGGGGGCATTTATAATTTCACACTGAAAAGACTAAAAGGAAATATTGAAGGAGCTTCTGCTTTCCTTGAATTTGTAGCAGGTCTGTATGGTTTCTTGCTTCCTCTCCTTGCCAGTGAATGGTTGCTGTCATTAACAGTGCATGTTTAGCTTTGTACATCTCACTTTGTAGAATAACACTGAAATTTCAAGAGATCTTACAAGTAATAGTGTGCTGCTATGGTGTGTGTATATTACTTATACCCTATTCAACCAGCATGTAGTGGTTCACTATCAGAAACCTAATGTCTTCAGCTGTGGTGCGTTTCTTTTGACCATTTTTAGTATTTCAGGTCTTATCCTGCAAAGAGTTTCACACAAGATGAATTTTACCTTACCTCATTTCAGTAGGTTTTTTGCAGTGAGTGAAGTCAAACAAGTTTAGAAATGTTTGTACATTTAAGGCTTTAGATTGTAAACTACACTCAGAGATTAATTTTGGATCTGTATAAAAAGACCTCTACAAACATAAAATCCAGCTTTAAAGGAAGTTGAGATCCATGGCAATAATAGTACTGATGAGAGCGGTAGGACTTAAAATTTACAAGAGCATATTAAAAGGAAGAACCTACACTCTCAATTAAATGTACACACCTCTACATATATTATTCTTTTTTTTTTTTTTTTTTTGTTCCTTTTTTTTGGTTCCTTTAGTGTTAAAATAAAAACACTAGTTAAAATTAGACATATGTGAAAAATACAGATGGAATGCAAAATCTAAAGTTAATACTATTTCAGATTATTTAATGGCAGAATTGGAGCAATGTTTTGGAAACAATTCTACAGTTTTGAATAGTTTGTATAAAGAGTTCATGAAAGATATATAATCTTAGCAAATTTACAGCAAATAAGAAAGGAGTGGAAATCTTTCAGAGTGGAAGTCATATGTTATTTAGACTGCAAAATATGATACTYGTGTATAAATAGAACAAGAGGATTTAGTCTGAATTCTGAAGAACCATGTTAGAAAGGAAGACCAAGGACTGAGTGTATGGTTGAATTTGAAATGGGACACAGATCATCACTGGCTGGGCTTGCACTGAGAGATGAACATAGGAAGAGCTGATAGTGTACAGACCTTCCAAAGTAGAAAGGAGACAGAYGCCCATGGCTAGAGATTGCACAGGTGAAGAAATTATACAGCATTATTTGTTGATAACATTTTAATGACCTAGTGAAGAATTTAAAATCTGGATATTTATTAGGCTTAGAGTGAATAATACACATTTAAAGGTGCATTTGAAAGCAGAAGAAAATGAGATGTTGTGACATGAGCAGGTGGAAACTTGGCTTTAAAAAATGGAGTAGACCAATCAAATTTTGGGAACTAAAATGACTTGAGTTCATGGAATTACTTGGATTCCAAATACATGAAATGTATAAAAGAGTTACAAACCCTGGTGGCTAGCAGCAGAACAAACACCAGCTATACCTTTAATTTAAATTGTAACAGTAGTGAGGTCAGCAGCAGTGCTAACTTTGGACAGCAGAAACATCAGGACTGTGCAGAGATTTTGTTGTTAACTGAACACTGTGCAGAGACACTTGAGCTTGCTCTCTGTGAGCGGGGATCTCTGCCTAGCTGGGAGGGTATAACCAAGTCCCAGGGGTAGTGTAGCAACTGTAGGATCACACACTGCCATGTTCAGACTAATCCTTCATGTAGCAAGTAAACTCTTCTTGGGTGCTTTTATATTCAGTTGTAACTACTAATATATTTTAAAAGAGGTCATCAAAGTTAATGTGTTTTATTCCACAATTCATTTCAGAACCTGCAAAGCCGGAAAGACTTAAATTCTTCAATGTTTCATCATATTATTTTTCACTGTATTGGAGACTACCGTATGGACTTGTAGACAGATTTCACCTGGATCTTATTCCTGATCATGCTTCTGTTGTTATCCTAGATCTTGGAGCTGGGGAGTATCAAGTATGTGCTTTTATTACAAGACTTGCAGGGCCAGCTTTTCCTTATGCACTCTGCTGATGAGGAATTCAAGCTTTCTTCCTTAGCTCTTTAATGCATGCACGAATATGAAAGTATTAATGAAAAATCGGTGGGATGGGAACAAATTTCGGCATCCACAGTTTGGTACCTAACAACAGGTAGTGAATTTACTGKTTTTTTTTTAAAGTCTACTAGAAGGATGCAGACAGTCATCCAAAGGTTCATGAATAGTTTAGCAAGGGTAGAGCTATTGAGTAGTACAGACTCATTAATTGTGTACTTGCCAGGAAGATCTCTGCTTAAATCTTTAATGCAGGCAACATTTCACTGCTAAGCCATTAAAAAGGTATAGGAGCACTTTTTGATTCTGCTGTCTGGAACATATAATATTAAGAGAAATAATGGTTGTTCTGGATGTTCTGCTTTTCTTTTTCATTGGAACTGCACAGATACAGGTATTTTTATATAATTTCTTGCTAAAAAAGTTGTTAATTATATTTATTGCAAAAGATGGGTTAGTTTAAGGGTCAAAAACTTGTTTTTCAGGTTCCTTTTTTGTTCATTCTTTCAAAAAGGAATTTTATAATGCTTCATATTTACTATGATTATGATAATACTGAGACCTCTAAAGATACATTGACAGGGGACTCTAGGATAAAATTGTTAATTTTGTTCTTTCATATTGAATGTTCTACACATCTTATGACAAGTAGCTGACAGCAAAATACTGTACTGTAGTTCACAGATGCAAACAACTATTTTTATTGCTGAAAATACATTTATATCACTAAAAACTTATTAAGAGATCACTTTCAGTAATGAATTTTGGTTAAATTGGTTAAACTTTTCTGTGGTTTTTTTGTGCTTTGTTTTGTAAGGGTTTTGATGTTTTGTTTTGGTTTTTTTGTTTGTTTGAAGTTGTTTTGAGGGGTTTTTTGTTTTTGGGGAGAGGGGGTATAATTTCTGTGATTCTTGGTAAAAGGCTTGAATAAATCTATGTCCTGTTTCAGGCTGATTTTTCCAGTACTCTTCCCGGAACAACATACAATGTTACAGTTTCTGCAATTTCTTCTTCAGTCTATAGTACACCTGTGAGTAGAACTGTGACAACAAATGTGACAAGTGAGTTAAAAATGACTCCAGAAATTTTGCTTATTTTTTAAACCATGCTTTTCTATGTTTATTATGTGTTCAGTAATATCTGAGAAATTATAATTAGTTTTGAACACTCATTAAAATCTTTCATCATCTTGAACCATTTAAAAATACACTGACTCTAAAGTGTTCTATGAGAGCATAAGAATTTATAAGCTTTTGAAAAATTTGCTATTGTGTCATGTAATAATATCCAGACCCTAATTTATATCTATAGAGGCACATAAACGAATTTTCAAAGGTATTTCCAAAAAAATGTAGCCAAAGCAGATGTGCTTTTTAAGAGAGTGCACTTTAATTGAGTGCTGGAATATGTCAAATATCAAATTGGCATTAAACTCTGTTCTTTTCAATAAAGACCTTGAGCATTACATTTTTTACATTCAGAAGAATGTTTCTGATGTTCAAAAACTAATTTAATAATTTTTGACAGGACTCTAGCCAGAAAAAAATGCTTTTTAGTCAAAAATACATCTGTTTTCAGTAGTTTTAGGAGTTTATGCTGACAGATGATTTAATTTCTCTATTGAATCTATGAATGTATCTCCACTATCATGAATCTTAATTAAAAATTGCTTTATGTATGTGCACTTGTGTGTGTGTGTGTGTATATATATAATTATTTTTATTTTTTTCAGATCCTGGGCCCCCTGTGTTCCTTGCAGGTGAACGAGTGGGTTCTGCTGGGATTCTGCTCTCATGGAATACACCACTGCATCCAAATGGAAGAATTCTCTCCTATGTGGTTAAATACAAAGAAGTCTGCCCATGGATGCAAGCTGCTTATATGCAGGTCACAACAAAGCCAGATAGTTTGGAAGTTCTTCTCACCAGTCTTCATCCTGGAACAACTTATGAAATTATGGTAAAAGCTTTACAAGTGCCTCTTAGTATTTTGAATTCTGATTTATTGTAAATTGTGTGAGTTAATGGTTGATTCCTGTAGAGTTTTCTGAGGGAACTTTTTATTTACTGTTGCCATATAACAAAATATATTAGCCAGATATTTGTTTATGGTAGTGTTTTTAAATCTACTTAAAAATATTCTAGTCAAAATTGTACTGAAATGTACCTTCTTCTACTGATATTCATATTGAAGTATGGTATTATGTGATAAAAMGTAAAAAGCAATGGGGAGAATTTTCAGAAACATCTAAATCCTTCCTGATCCTTATCGAGATTTAATCTTTCAAATGACTGGTGCACTTGGCCTATTACATGTAGGTTACTAAATCATCTCAGCCAGATGCACAAAAGGATGTCTGCTATATATGGAACTTGTTTACATTGAGGTTAGGCACTCCTGATTAATCTCTGAACTCTTCAAAAGGTGCACAGAAATTAACTGTTATTCTCTTGGCAATATTTGCCAAGCAATTCCTTGCCTGCCTTACTCTTTCATAATAACCTTGGAGAGGTTCCTGTTTCAATTCCAAGAATTAAATGAAGTTATCAGTTGATTAGCTTCATTCCATATCATGACCCTGAGATGACCTCAGTTGGTTGGAGCATGGTGCTGATAATGGCAAGGCTGTGTGTTTGATCCTTGTTTGGACCATTCACTTAAGGTCTGTGTCCCTTTCAACCGAGAATATTCTGTGATACAGCAGAAAGCTAAAAAGAAAATTGAAGTTGACCAGACTCAGAAGAACACTATAGGAATCCTTTGTAAGGTTGGGATGTGTGTGTGTGTAAGAAAGTAAAAAATACAATTATTTCTGCCATTGTGGGAAAGTTGCTCACTGTGGATCTTGTTCTGATGACCCTGCTGATAAAAGTTAATGTACCACAGTTGGGGAAATGTTTATGCCTTGGTCTCTTGCCTCCAGTCATCTATTAAAAACAAACCCCAAAACAATCCTCCACAAAAAAGTTTGATAATTGATAAAAGTGTTATACCCTGACCTSTTGCCTTTCTGCAAAAAGACATGTTTTCCTTGGGTTTCTGCTCTGAGGAAGGTTGACCTGCTCTTGCTAGCCTTCAGGAGACTGAGAAATAAAAGGCAACTTATTCTCATTTATACTCTTTTAAGTTATAGTAAGTAAAATAGGAATGCGGAATCTGTTTTAAGTGTATTGTGGTAAGAAAAAGGAGTGTTACTGACATTATTCTTGCTGTTGACTTTTACATAAAATAGGGACTGATAAAATAGGGATCGTCTCTTGATGTGTGGATATTCACATGTGGTTTCCTGTTTTTTATGCTGTTACACACTTTTTCCCTTTTACTTTTTTACTTAAAAATATACAATCCACTCTAAAGTAGATTCTATTTTTTTTTTTTTTCTGTAGGTTGCTGCTGAGAACAGTGCTGGTATTGGAGTGTTTAGTGATCCTTTCCTTTTTCAGACTGCAGAAAGTGGTAAATTTAATAAAGCTGCTAATTATTTAACTTAAAGCTGCTCTAATTTTTTCAGATAAAATATTCATGGTAAATTTTATACTTGAGCAAATTACAATGCATTTAGAACAAAGTCCTTATTCTTTTCTAATTCACTCAGTGGCAAAGGTTAATTTTGTTCTATTTGCTAGTAACAGCATTTAGGGTGCCCATCCGACTGTTTCTTGTACACAAAGCCTGTTTCTCTTGGAGTTTTCCTATGCCAGTTTCTAAAGAGGCTGCTTCCAGAAAGCAAGGTCACAGGAGAGCAGAGCTACCCATTAAGTGGGTCCATCTGCTGCTCCCTTCAGCAGTTCAAGGAGACAGACGTGGTGGTGGGATCATCTCTGCCGCTGTCTACTTAAGTCAATCCATATTTGTTTAGTGATGGGTTCTAAGAAGCTCAGCACAGAATGTACTTCATTAAATTTTTAGGTTTTTATTCTGAAGGTAAAGAAAAAAGTCTGAAATGAAAATTTGAGTTGTTGGTTTTGAAGATTATAAAAGATAGTCTGAGTTTGCATAATCTTTAGTAATTTAGTTTTTGTGATGTTGCTCATGCTCCAGGAGCAATTGTGCCTTGGCTGAAGAGCTGGTACCAGTCCAGTTGTGCTACTGTGAACCAGACTCAGTGGAATACAGAACTTGTGCTGCCAAGGCAGTGGCTGTCCATCTGTGTTCAGGCTGATTTCTGTTTGTGTGCAAACTGCAGAGTGAGATATCTCAATGGCAGAAAATCATCGCTCTGCATGAGATTTCTAAAATAATGCAATGATTTATGAACCCAGTATAAGGATGACTAGTAAACTTGCAACATGGAGCTATGTGAAATTATTATTCTTCACTATTCTTTGTGTATTATTGCTGGTAAAAAACCTTATTTCTGTGAGCTTTGTTATTTGCTCATGTTTGACAGAGGACAACACTGGCATTTGTCCATATGAGAATACAAGCTTTTTACTTTTTACAGCATTCCTGTCTACATTTTTATTAAACCTAAAATCCCTTTTTGTAAATGTAATTGGAAGGTTTCTTCAAATTCTGGGTGAGTTATGTGTCACTGATATGACATTTATACTTTTACCTTCTTGATTTATTTTTTTGTTTCAATTATTTGATGGCTAAAGAAAGCCAAACAGCTTAATCAACATAAACACATGACATTTAAAGTAAGAAAGTTGGCTAGAAGACAAAATTATTTAAATATAAAGGGTGTGGAAAAGATTTAGCAGGACTGAGAGCGCTAAATATGAGGCTTGGATGAACTGTCTGAATACACCTGTGGGAGGTCTGTAATTGTGGAATGCTGTGTTTTTAAAAACAGTGTAAAAAGCCTTTTCTCCGTAGTACTAAGGCAGCCATTGCAGGATCTGCTGCTGACTGTGCCACGTGCAGTCAGGATTGAGAGAGCACCACAGGACTCTAATTCACAGGACAGTTTAGCATGAAAAATCTGATTTAGATGCTGCATCTCATTCCTTTGTGCTGTAATTAATACTAATGCTCAAAAAAAAGGCCACAGAAACTTTCACTTTCACTGTTACAGTGTCATTTATGCAGTAATAGTGGATAATCCAATTTAATTGAGTTATTAAAGCTATCAAAAATCAATGGGCAGCTGAAAAGATGACACAGATAAAGTGAAATAAAACACACACAGTGTTGTCAGATGCTGTTAACCAGAAAAAAATAGGCAAAATTTTCTATTTCTGTAACAGTAGATGACATGCTTCTAGGAAGAATATTTGTAAGTTGACCAAACCAATTACTATCGCTATTATGAGACTGAAATAATTATATTTCTCACTTAAACTAGATTGAAAAAGAGCTGGCTGTGTATCAGCTACTTTGCATGTGTTTGTGAATGATTTTTATGTATTTGCTTCAGAATTTGGAAGTCAGAAATGATATTACAAAAAAAAAAAGGAAATTTGCTATTTTTCAGTACTGAGAAGAGAAGTTTATCTCACTGCTTTTGTTTGTTTTGTTTTCAAGCTCCAGGTAAAGTAGTGAATCTCACAGTTGAAGCCTTAAATTCTTCAGCTGTAAATCTGATCTGGTTTCTCCCTCGGCAACCAAATGGAAAGATAACTAGTTTCAAGATTAGTGTGAAACATGCAAGAAGTGGAATTGTAGTAAAGGATGTCTTGGTTAAAGTAGAGGATCTTCTGTCTGGGAGGTTGCCAGAATGTAATGTAAGTGTTATAAACATTTTAAATTAGAAATAGACTCAATCCACAGCATGTAGTTTTAAATATAAAAATATTTAAAATAAATGTGGATAAAATGTGGAGGCTTGCTCTTCAGAAAAATGCCAAAACCCTTGCAAATTAGTTCCAAGACAGGATAAAATGAATGAGGAAAAACTTTTCTCTTCATAATAGTTTAAATTGAATGCTTTTGCTTGAAAGGTTCAGTTTAATCAAAGTAAAATTGTTAAGAAAGGTTAAATTTAGCATCCTTTTAATAGAAAATCATTACATAGAAAATTTCTATTCTTTTGCTTTCTATTTTTCTTATGTTTCATGCTCTATTCAATTAGGAAAGAACAACTTATGGGTTTTTTTTGTTCAGTGCAGACATACAGTGCAGTATTGTTGATGTCTTATTATCTCTATAGTATGATAATGCTTTTTATATTTTAAAAGTATGCATTTTTCTGTGTATCACATTTCAATATTTTTAAATAGTTCTCATATCAAAATAAAAGCCAAACATGTTTAGCAGATTGATTTTCAAAATATGTTTGTAGTCTGAATTGTTGTTATCACTGGATTCAGACCTGTAACCATTGTAACCTTTTGGAATTTCTTCAAGAAAATTTTCTAGCATTTTTTTTCTCTTTTTCCTTCTTACTTTGAGCAGAGTTTTGCAATTACCCAAATGTCAAAATGTTACCAAACTTTTTGCTTTTTTATTTATTTTATTCTTTTTCCAATTTCCTATTTTTAGTATTTTAATGAAAAGTGAAGTTTTAAATGCCAAAATTTATCATAACTTTGGATTCAGATTTGATCTGGAAGATCATCTTAGACATTGTGAACTTTTCTCACACCAGGATGACTTAATTCAGCACTGAGAAGGCAGACTGCCACCTACTGAACCATAAGCATTGGTCACCAGAATGCCTAGCAGTTTTTTGGAATTGTCTCCTGACATAATGGATTAAGAAACTCCTGTCTGGTTTTATCCATGATATATGGATATATGCATGCTATAAATGTGTATGCACATACACAAATAGAATATATATGGGATCCAAAAGGACTTCACTAGGGATTTTTTTTTTTTTCAAGAGAGAGACTGAGTGCTGAAAATGGAAACTGGGAATAATTAAATGAATCCTAGAGAGATGCTGCTGTTCAGTCGGATTTGAGGTCTTTTTGGATAAGGCAGGAAACTATAATACGGTCACTAATAGGATGCATTAGCATGGTCTGCCTAAATTTGGAAATTGAGGTATAAAAAGGAGAACCAATTTAGGGTAATTTTTTTTCAAAGATGGTCTGTGTTTTTCAATCTACATATATTTCCAATTATAGGTTACAGATGCAGCTTATTATGTTTCGTATTTTACATTTGTAGGATAAGAGTGAATCATTTTTGTGGAGCACTACCACCCCTTCAACTACTTTTGGGAAATCCACAATTCTTTCACAGACTACAGTGACACCAAGTACAGAGGCACCAAGTCAGATGAGCTCTGTTTGGAGTGAACCAATCAGCTTTGTTGTATCTAACCTCAGGCCGTATACCACCTATCTTTTTGAAGTCTCTGCAGTGACCACTGAAGCAGGCTACATTGACAGTGCAATTGTCCGGATGCCAGAATCAGGTACATACAATACCTACTGCTTTCAAGTGGCAATCGAGTTCTCAGATTTATGTGAAAAACTTCAAAACATAGGTTTGATTTTCTGCTGCAAGATACTTCAGCCCAAATCTGTCTTTATGTGTATCATGCTTTTGTATTTGCATGAATTTCACCTAAAAATGCATATAACTACTAATGTATCTATTAATATAATCTGAGTGGGAGTTCAGTTTTTGTTAGGAGTCAAATGTACCAAAGTTATGCTCAGCACAGATCAAACTTTATGAAAAATCTGAGGACAACTTAAGAACTGCATAATGTAGAAGAATTAAAAATATAGATAAAGGGAAAAGCTGTCAGGCATATTATTCTGAAAATATGTGTAATGTGATCATAGCAATGCACTTAAAGCTTATTTGCCTTTGTAGAGAAATAAGCAATATAAAGGAAACCCCTGTACTTAGGTATTCAATCTGTACTTACTGGTGAAATTGTTCAGTGCTGAAGAAATGTTAAGTACTAGATGAAGYTGATTTTTGTTTGCTTGCAATGCACTGAGAAGTTAGAATTGGAAACAAAGGTTTAGAAGCAGGACTTTTATAATGGTTTAGGTAGTGGGCAGCACTGTTAATAGAGCTATACCAAAAAGGCATTCCAGAGGAATGTTTTTCTATCTTTCTGTTTGCTAGTGCATCATTCTTTTGCTTGACATGGTTTGATGTTACTTGGTTCCCTTTCAGACATACAATATAGATAGCAGTGTTCAGACGAAAAGAAATTTTATTCCCTCCTAGAAATGTTCATTTGAATTTCTTTGACAAATTTCATTAGCCTTAATTTGCTGCTCTGTCTAGAGTTAATGAAATTTTGGTCTATTTCTCTTCTAATGATTTCAGGGCTAGTTTTCAGTTTATTCTTCACCTTTGTTCTTAGGGATATTTTGTGTACTATCAGCTCTCTTGACACCTTTCCTGAGAATTACCTTAAAAAAGAAATTAAGCAATTGTAATCAGATATGCTTCTGTAACTTCCCTTCAGAATATTTAATGTTTATGTTTAAAATGAATTGTCTGATATGGGGTTCTTGGCCATCCTAATGTAAAGTATTTTACAGTCAAAGACTTTTTCCAATATTGTTTAAGTTCCAGAAGACCCACCACAGAATTTTGCCAAAAGCAACATTACAGCAAAGTCTTTCTCAGTAATGTGGGACCCACCAACCATAGTAACAGGAAAGTTTAGTTACAGAGTGGAGCTGTATGGACCTTCTGGTAAGTCAGAATGGATGTAACTATTTAAAAAATATTTTTGGGGATGATTATTTCCTTGCACTTTCATTCTTCTGTGCCTGCCAATCAGAAGTGGGTATTCAAAAGCAGTATTATGAATCCTTTTATAATATTAAATGTTTTAATGGTTTTGAGATTATTTTTAAGGGATAAGTCAGTCCATCACTAGGAAGAGTATAAAATTAAATTCACATTACATGTTTTTAAGAATGGAGAAGATAACCTTTTTCTCACTCTTTCAGGAAATGACAGGTTAGCATGGCTGAATTGCTGTGCTTATACATCAAAATTGTTCTGTATCTTACCTTTACTCTTTTCTCTTTCTGTTAAAGATTTCTGGAGAATTTTCATTCTCATGAAGTATTTATAAAATAAACTCTTTAAGTCTGTTTTAATGGTTTTGCTTTTTTTTTTTTTTTTTTTTTTTTTTTTTTTTAACTCAGACATGAACAGATAAATTATAGGAGTGTCTGTAGTTAAATAAGACATTTATGAGCTGTATACTAATGTTTTTATGTGACGACACAGGAAAAGCAATAGAATTTTTTTTTTCCTAGATCTCTTCCTCTTGAAACTCACACCTCCTTGAAGTGGCTTATTGCTTGCTTGGTTGGTTGTTTTATTCCCCATATATTCAGTATTATTCCACTGAAGTTGATTCCCGATTAGCTTTTCCCAGACAAATTTGGTTTCTCATTTTTTCATCATCCTGGGAAGTAGACGTGGACTGTTTCTATTTTTGAGCTAGAATCTCTTTGTTTTTTATTCCAGGTCATATTCTGGATAACAGTACAAAAGACCAGAAGTTTGTGTTTAGTAACCTCATGCCGTTTACAACATACGATGTGTATGTTGGTGCTGAGACGAATGCTGGGGTGGGGCCAAAGACCAACCTTACAGTTTTCACTCCTGCAGATTGTAAGTAAGCACAGACAAGTAAAATAAATAGACTGAATGTGATAGAGGGATTCAGTTTTTTTGTTCAGAGCCTTTAAGATACTTTGCAAAGGAGGAAACAGATGTAAGAGCACTATAAGAGATTAAAAAAGATTAAGAAGAAAAGAAATTAGCTGAAGATTCTTATGTAATTTATTTCTTTGTTTTTGCCAAGTTCGTACTCTTTCTGTACATTTATCTGCTATCATAAGCCTTCAGAGATTGTGGAAAAAAAACCCGAAGTTTATTTCTAAATGCGAGTAGTTATTTTTAGATACAGTAATTAAGTTGCAGGGCCCCCTCTGTCCCGTTAGATGGCAGCAAGAGGAAAAGAAAGACCTGCACAGGATTCCCAGTGGCTGATTCGTTTAGGCACCATGTTACTTATTAAACCTCTCGATTGCCTAATTCTCCCCAAATCCAATGCCCCAACCCCATCTGTGATGGAGCCACCTTTGCCAGGGACCATAGCTCTGAGGCAGACCCAACATCGAGGTCTTGTCCCAATGCAGTCAAGTGCTTGGTTCTGCCTCTGAGCCCTCAATTCTGCTGTTTCGGACAAAATCAACTTGCCAGGTCCTTGGTTGCGTAGAAATGCAGTTTTGTATTACATGTGTGTGAGATAGTGCAGAATTCTTGGTTAGCACTTGAGGATGCAAGGAGAAAAAATTGAGATTTGGTGTGTAATAAGCAGTTCCAAGATGGTTATTTCTGTGTTATGTTTATGCCACAAAACACAAATTTAGAAAATCTCCGCCTCAGTGATTGCTGGCAATGTTTGTTATGAAGGTGTAACACTGGCAGGAAAACCTATCTTTACTTATTTTATTCTTTCCTGAATGATCTGATTTTGGCAGCTCTCAGACACAATTTCCAGAGGTGGCCTGCCTGAGTATAGTCAGTCATCTTCATCTTGTGTTGAAATGTGCTGTCAAAAGGCAAAGGGAATTTTGGTGGGTTTAGTGTTCTTTTAGCATAACATAGGCAGTCTTATTTTAATGCCAAATCTAAAAATCCTTATTATGCAAGTAATTTCAAAAATGTCTTGTACTAAACTCTACTAGGAAAGACAAAAGTTTTTTCATATCAAATCTAAATGTCAGTCTATTTAATATAAATGTATTTTATGTCCAGTGGTCTCAAGGAAATGACAACATAATTAATACTGAATATTTAATGAAGAAATTATATAAACTATATAATTTTTATAATTTATATAGATAATTTGTGTCAATAATTACAAATATATATATTATATATATGTATATATATTATAAATAAAATAATATAAACAAACGAAATTATATAAAGCTGTTGTAAAAGGGAAATTAGCATACTGTATCACATTAATTTTTTTTCCAGCTTTTTACTTCATTCTTGTATGGCTTTGATGATTTTAGAGCTAACCTTTCATTTTCAAGTATACTTTAGATTCTATATAGGAAAATAACAAAAATAGGTTCATTCCAATCATGTAGACTTCAGCAGAGCTACCCTGGTTTACATCGTCTCAGTCTCTGACTGTACTCATACACACGTCTTATGTGTTAAAAAAAAGTGTGCATATTTTTAGAAATGTAACTTGTTTGCTAGGGAAATACGTGAAGTAAGTCTCTACCCTGCACAGGACAACCCAAAAGRTAAGGATGTGAAATTTGATTGTCTACTGTACTTCGCACACGGTGCTGAAAAATCTTGTAATAATAACAAGTGTTTAAGGAAATCTAATTTCTTTTTGAATATTTAGTCCCAGGTGCTGTATCAGATTTACAACTGGCAGAAGTGGAAGCCACATATATAAAAATTGTTTGGAGGAAGCCACAACAACCAAATGGAATCATTACTCAGTACAGAGTTAAAGTACATGTGCAGGAAACACTCGTCACTCTGGAAAACATTATTCTTGGAGATAAAAATAAGGTATTCTTTTCTCTTTTTTTTTTTTTTTTTTTTTTTTTTTTTTTTTTTTTTTTTTTTTTTTTTTTTTTTTTTTTTTTATTGTTTTTTTGTTTGATTAAATTTGCTCTTTGCCTTATCTGACTTTTATAGAATGTGGAACTAGCTCCCACAAATGAGTTGTCAATGTTTTTAAATGCTACCTTCCACAGTCCACTCTTTCCCTGACTGGCTTTCAAAAAATCCCAGTAATGCTGTTTCCACAACATGAAAAAATAAATCATTCTGGCAGAATGGTCCATCTGCTGAAGGCAGGAAGCCATAGGCCACAGTCTTGTCCTTCTGAGTGCTTGAGTCCTTTGCAGTGTAGGGTGACCAGTCTGTAAGAGTGTCCCGGTTTGAAAGACAGGTGTTTGCCGATGAAGGCAGGGACTCCCYTTGGAGTGGTGGATATAACCCCCCTTCCCTCTGAATTATTATAGCTTTGAAAATCACGGGCTTCCAGGCAAGAATATGGGTAAAAGGGAATAGCAGTTTTTACTAATATGTGTAACAAGGTGAAACAAGTAACAATAACAATAGCAACAACCAGCCCAGTCCCAATCCCAGTGACGGCTTTACAGACACAGCCTCCCCTTTGGTGCAGTTACAGTCCCAGTCGGCACGGGCACTGTTGGCTGGGCAGGGGGGGTGCGATGATTCCCCGGCGGCTGCAGGGGGCGCTGTGCCGCGGGTCCTGGCTGGCTCAGATCTCCCGCGTCACGAGTGGTGGACACAAAAATGGCAGAGGTGGATGGAGAAAAGTTTCTCTGCAAAACTCACAGTGGAAATGCCGATCTCGGTGCTCCTCTGAACAGCAAGAAACCAAGGACGGCAAAGAGACGAGCAGAAATCCTGCGGCTGCAAGATGGGATGGAGCAGAGCTCACCCCTGAAGCTGGAATCGCAGGGGTTTCTGGCAAGGCACAGGGGAGAAGATCACAGTGCATCAAATAGGAACCCAATGGGCAGAGATGCTGGTCTCCGCAGAAAAAGGCAGGCCAGCTCTCCCTGGAGCAGCCAGCAGGCAGACCTCCTTCTCTCAGCGAAGCATCGAAGCATCGAAGGAAGTGATGTTCCCCCAACTCCTCCCGCCCTCACACACACAAATACACACACCCAGAGCTTAGCAAAACCATTTAGGTGGGGCATAGGTATAATTGTCTTCACTAATGGCCCAGCCATCAAAAGGATGACTGGCAATTAGTGTATCCCAGCAACAAAGGGAAAGAAAAAATTCCCAAAGAAAGGAAACAAAAGGGGAAAAATTTTAACCCACAACAAAGAGCAAAGATTTGCAAGCCTGGATTGTTACACAGGCATTCAGTCAAACCTCTGGAACGTGTGGGTATGAGCCCTGTGGAGAAGTGAATTCAGCAGAAGATTCCCAAGGCTGATTAAGTTTTCTACTAGCAAGGTAGACAGGCCTAGACTTTCTGCCTCCTTTTGTATCCTTAAATTCACGTGTGTGAATACTGATACTGCATGCTGAACTCCATGCTGTGGTTGCACACTAAGAATACCTGTGCACATCTGTGGGGTCACACCTCCTATGCGACTTATGCTGTCAATCAGTCTAGCTTCTGGATTAAGCTTACTGCTTAGAGGAGCAGTTCTGAATATGAAGCACAGAACTGCAGATCTCTAGAACACATTTAACTCAGGATTGAATTCTGGTGTCCAAAGTCTGCATAATTCCTTATTTTTTCGGACAATGATGTCTTTCACTGAATCTGAATCAGAATCTAAGTTTTTGATGTACAGCTCAATGAAAGAGTTCACTTTAAAGTTGAATGACATACATAAATAGAGCCCTGGAGTCAAACGTTAAATAAGGAGTAAGGGAAAAAAGAATCAGGATAAGGATCCATTCATTGACCAGACAGGCGTCCTTGGAAAATGAAAGTATATAACTGTAATTAAAAAGTGTATCATAGTCCAGACACAAAATATTAAAGTAGTCTGCACAGAAATGTTTTAGTGATGAAATTGCCTAGATTTTGAGTTCTTAGAGCTGCATCATTGCTGCTTTATTATAGTCTATTGAATGTAATTTTCTAATTAAAAACCAAAACAAATCATAATAAATGTTGCTTTATTTAGAACCCCACTGACCCAGGCTTAGAGCATATGCAGGATTTGAAGTGGCAGATCTGCAGTGCTAATGACACTCAATAACCAGTAGCAATAAAAAGTTGTTGTCTTATATGTGGAAAAGCCTCATAAGCAAGAAGTATTTCCATGTGGCCTACTATTAGTCTACAAAATGCTGGTGAAGATGAGTACTAGACAGCTTTTACCTCTTGGTAGTCAGGTGAAATTGGTGCTCTGTCTCTGTCTGTGGCTAATGAACCCCCAGTTAAAGAAGTAAAGAAGTGGCTTTACCCCATCTCTACCCAGAGGCCGTAGCAAAAGAACTAATGTGTATTAGGTACCTCACTGTACAAACATCTCTTTCTGGCAATGAGGTGGGCCACATGTGTGAGTGGGGAGTGTTCCAGTTGGCAGCAGAACAATTCAGAGATACTGGAGTACTGGATTTGGTCCCAGATTTTGAAGGGGCATGAAGATCCAGTGCTAACACACCATTTTTTACCTATTCTCTATCCTGTCTCTCTTTTCTGCTTTTGTTTTTCCTCCCTTTGTTGTTTTTGCTCCACTTATATCTATTGCCATCCCTTTCCAACATTTGCTCCGTGCCTCTTCTGTCCTACAGGCCCCTATATCACCTCCCTTTCACTCTCCCTTTTCACATATTACTCTCTTATTTTTCCTCTCTTCTTTATTTCATTAGCTTCTGGTTTTCTTCCTGTCCTCTTATTCCCTCTCAGAGATGTAGTCAACCTGCTAAAACTTTTCTTCAGGGACTGGAAGTGGCATCTGAAATCCTCTTGTTTTTAATCCCTGCTGCCTTCTTTCAGAATATGGTTAGTGCAAATGAATTCTCCCAAGTTCATATGTGTATCTATTCAATATAGCTCCAAGGATATAGCTTTAAAATAAAAGGCCTTACTCTAAAATTGCCACCTTAATATATAATACATATTTAAAGATTTTTTTTTATGTGGTTCATTAAACAATAACCAGAATACAATGTTGTAGGATACTGGCAGCTAAGCATTTTTAAGATAAAGATTATAATTTTTGAATTATTTTCATGAACGATAATATTTATGTGCCAACATTTATATAGTATTTATGTGTATGCATAAATACACAAGCATCATTTCTATCTTAGATAAAAATTAAATTATTTAATTTAGTGATRACTAGGTTTGTTATTTCTTTTTATATTTCTAATTTTTAGTATCTGATTGATTCTTTGGAACCAGACGCAATAAAAGAAAATGTCAAATCTTCTTCTCCCACTTGGAATTCAATGGAAGCAGACAATGATTTATATGAAGGTTCAGCTGAAATGTTTTCCAGCGTTCAGACAGCTTCCCCAGTAGTATTTACAAGAATATTTGGTGATAATTTGCCTGCTATCAATGGAGATGCAGAATTACATTCTGGTTTGGGTAAGGTATTTTAGCATATTTTTATACCTGCTTCTTTGTTCTGAAGGACCCCCAGCACTGTCCCAGATATGATCTTTAGCACATGGTTCAAGCAAATTATAAATGGGTCATTTGCTGGAGTCAGATTTTTTTACTACCAAATAACCTTCTGAAGCAAATGGGAATGCCACACAGGCAGGAACTAGCCCCTTGTCACCCAGCTGACCTTCTTCCTAGGGAAAGGAGCACCCGAAAGCCATCAGCCAAGCTGCATAGACAATCAGTTATTACAGTTGCCAAAGCAGGTGTGATTGTCAGGGATTAACATATCTCCAAGCACTTCAGAGACCTTGATTTCTCTAAGCCTTTTGACTAATAGGTTTTCAAATGTCAGTGAAGGTAAATAGGTCAAAAAGTTACAACTTTGCTATATGGGTTACAAACAGGTGGAGGTGACCCCATGACATGGTGATGTCATTAGTGAGTACACTTGTTCTGTATTATCAATGGGCCACTGTTTCTTTACCAAGTATGGATATTTACAAATCATTAGGCAGCCCTCAGCTGTCAGGCACGGATTTCAAATACCACTCTAAATTTTTAGTGTTTTGAATAGCTGAGAGAAAATAAAGGTTTTATATTTTGATTTTTAAAATTATATTAATTAAGTCATGGAATTCATCTATATGCACCAGTATCTAAAATCAGGATTTAATCCATTATGTTGAACTACAGTGGATATCTATGGTGGATATTTTCTGAGTTATGGTAATCCTGAAGAATCTTCTTTGTTATACACAGGAAGTGTACAATGTTTTAAATGTTAATCTTTTTATGGCCTCATTCAGCTCGAGGTATTGAATTGCTAAAAGATGTCTGCATTGCTGAAAATTGATTTCAGCCAGCATCTGTTGTGATCTAGCATACAAATATTATTTTATAGGAATAACTGTAGTAGTTGAAGTTGTTGACAGCCAAATTTTCAACAGGGTCTGCTGATTTTTCAATGCCTGATTTTAATGTCCTTCTCACTGAACTCTGAGCCTGATATTCAGATATCTGAGGCTCCCACACTTTTCATGTTGCACTGGCATAACAACTGCGCTAAAGCAGATGATTTTGGCTAGCACAGTTGGACTTTGGCTGAATTAGAATTTTATCATAAGTTCACCCAAATATCTTTGTGGGCATGCATGGTTTCTTCATTCTACTGGCCACAACCCTTCTCCTAAAAAAACCAGTGTGAATGGATCTATGAAGGCAGCCTTTCCAAGTATATAGGTGTTACAGCATTGTTGGGAGGGCAAAGGAAGAGGGAATCAGTCTTTTTCAATTAAAAATATTTAAAACTCCTCAAAAGCTCCATAATCTGGGAGTCATTGTTCTGAAATCACTGGATAGACTAGGCCTTATACAAATGCACCCTTTCCTAGTTTTTAGGGGATTTCTCACAAAACCTCACAATTCTACTTGTTGCTTATTCATTCTTTTACCTAGGCCAATCCATCTATTGTACACATGAAAATGGACCTATAATAGACTCTCCTTTGTGGAGTTAAGAGGAATGTAATTTATGAGTAAGTGGTTATTTCTCTCTATTTACTCACAGATAATCAATATAACATTGACATTTCGGCTGAAGAACTGTCATATATTATAAAGGGCCTCACACCTTTCACAGATTACACAATTAGTGTGTCAGCTTTCACTGCTGTTGGAGAGGGACCACCGTCAGTTCTTACAGTCAGGACGTGCGAACAAGGTAAATTGTTGTAACTCAGATATTATCAAAGTTAACATACATGATTTATTTCACTGAATGTTTGATTTTTTTTTTTTTAGCAATTTATTTACTTACTGCTATCTTTTTATATTTCTGTCTAAGTCCCCAGCTCAGTACAAAACATATCTTACAAGAATATTAGCTCCTCCTCTGTTTTGCTGTACTGGCATCCTCCAGCAAATCCCAATGGGAAAATCACTCATTATACTGTTTATGCGATGGAATTGGATACAAAAAGAGCATTTCACGAAACAACTTCAAACAACAGCTTACTAATGACAGGTAGAGTGTCATTTGATTAAAAAAATATAAAAATTCAAACTTACAAGCACATTCTCAATTTTTCCCCCAATTTTATATAATGTAGCCATTTGAAAAGTAGGTGGATCAAATCTCAAATATTCACACGCATCCACCTATACAACAAAACTGCATGTAAAACAAGGTTGGGACACTACTGTCAGACTTTTCTAATGTGGAGGAATATGAGATGGGAGAAGAAGGCTAGGTAAGATAAGCAGTAATTTTTGAAATGGTACAAGTAGTAATTTGTGAAATGGATTTCTCCTTGGCATATTTGCCTAAACATCTTGTGTCCACTTAGACAAATATTCCTAAACTTTCAAATCTTTTTCAAACTTGATATTTTTCACAGTATATTTCTTGCATTAATAACCATTTTTGTATATAAGGTGATAATTTTTGTAGGAATTGAAGCAAACACATTCCTAATGGAGTTTCAGGCATTTATTGATGTTAATCAGAATTATGCATATAGACTAAACCCCCAATATTTGGGTGTTCATGTATGCATCCTTTGTTTTGACAAATAAACTCTTTAAGCTATTTTCAGGGTTGAAGTTAGTCGACTTACTTCAAAATCTGCTGATATACTTAAAATGGCATTAAACATATTCTTTTAGGTGACAAAGGTGTATCAAAGGTGTATACTTTAGAACAGTATCCGGTATTATACTTTTATAAGTAGCTGTGGCAAAAGATGTCAACAATCTTGTTTATACAGTTAAGAATCAAGATTTTTTTATTTCATATTTTCAGGTTTAAAAAAGTACACAAATTATAAAATGAGAGTTGCAGCCTCTACTGCAGTTGGAGAAAGTGCTTTGTCTGAAGAGAATGACATTTTTGTGCGAACCCCTGAAGACGGTAATGCATTGTTTGCAATGATAATTTATTTTCTGTACTGAAGTCTGTGTTTGTTCAGAAGACTGGCATATGCATAAAGGGGGAAGAAAATGTATAAATAAAATCAGTGTTGAAATTTTTAATCTTCCATCTGTTAGTGACATCATTCAGACCATTTTTAGGTAAATGCTAGAAAAATAATAATGAAAACTGCAGCATGACCTGCAATCAACTAATTTCAACTGTGATAGACAAATGGAAGGAAAGCTGCCGGGCTGAGGCTTCCTCTCTCAAAACCATGTGCCCCTAACACTTTTCTAAATCATAATCTTCGTGACTCCAACTTACCTTCTTTTTCTTTTTATGTTCTGTGTAAATTAGGTTGTTTTTGAAGCATATGGACATGGCTGCTTTCAACAATTCAGAGGCCATGTTGCTATTTTTAAGCAAAGATGCTGATAAAGTGAAGATTTTTTGTATGCTGAATATTATCTGCAGTTGTTTTTGCATAGGTTTTATTAATTTTAAGACGATTCGATAGTTTTAAGGTAGGGTGTAATACTACGTTTTGAAGATTTCAGAATCTTACTCTCTTGCTTGCAAGGCAGTCTCAACCCATGAAGYCATTGGGGCAAGAGCTGCAGTTGTCATTGGCTCCTGCAAAGAAAACATGGCAATTCACTTTGCAGGGCAGAGTAATGAATCTTAATCTTTTCTCTTTTGTATCAAGTTTGTATTTTCACTGGTTTCAACAAAGTTATTTCCAGTGTTTACTGAAGTAATACAGAGGCTGAATGCACAATTGTTGTTTATCTCTCCCATTGTTAAGCATATAAGAAAAATAATTGAGTGTCAATAAAGGAGACGAAAGGACTAAAAGGACTACAGGATTAAAGGATGCTTCAGTGATTTGAATAACCAAAAAATATCAAACTAAACAGTGAAACTTAAAATACTTGCAAATATTTTTTTTAAATTTACATTCTTTTATGCTGTTATTTATTTTACAGAGGAAAGGCATCTCATAAGAACAGAAAATTTACTTATATAAATATTCTTTTCTCTATTTGCTTGAAATCCCTTGCCTTTGAGTGTTAGAGAAATTTTTCAGAATAGAATTCCAGGCCAGCAGTTCATTCATTCATAAAAAAGATGGGCAAGGCTTGAGGAAACTTGAGAAATCCACCGGTAATTCTTGTCTTTTTATAAGATTATGCATAATTTTTTATCTTCTCCTTCTTGTTGTTTAGCTTTCCTGACATAATTCATGCTGAAATTTATGTCTCATAACTTTGGTCAACCTAGGAACAACTATTAGTTTGACTCTTCAAAAGAGAGATACCTCCAAAGAAAAGATTCACTACAACTGTCTTGAATAACCTGCTTTAGGATGGAAGATACTAGACTGTTGCATTTAAATATTTTACCATGCCAGATAAATGGCAAAATGTATTTCAATTAAAAATTAAGCTTCTTCACATGGGAAATATCCATGTGGACAGTCTTGTCATCCATCTGTTAACAGTTTCCATTCACATGCTCAGAAATCAGGAGTGAAAGTGAATTGTGACACCTTTCGGCAAAAAAACATTCATTATGAATTCTGAAATATCTGAATATGGGTATTTGTACACAAACCAAATCCTATAACCCTGGGTAGGTAGTATACTTTTTAAATTTTATTTTATAGAAGWTTATTTCGGGGGTGAAGTGGTAAAGCTTTCAGAGAAATCAAAGCTGACAGTCAGAGATGATTTTATTCATAAGCGCAGCCCACTCACTCCTTCTACACTTCCATGCCTTCTTAGTTCACTGGGGTCACATGAACTCATACATTGACAGTAGATTTAGCCAACACATTGCCCAGGAGCTGGATTCGTTTTGTACGTGACCTTCACACCAGAGTATGCAAGATTTACGCTGGGTTCACTAAAGGGAATTTTGTTACAATGCATACAGACCCTTCCTTAGTTCAAGGTTGATTCCTTGGTTGATTGAGTGCAGTTAGAAGGGTGCTTTTTTGCATAGAAAGCAGTAAGAGGACATTAATCTAAATTTAAAGAACTGATTATGAGGAAGACAATGAGAGCATTTGAAAGATCACTCTGCATGAGTCATGGCAGAGAAAATTTTTTTCTTGATGAATGCAGTTTCAGATAGATTTAGAAGCAGATGAGAAAAGAAATTCTAGGAAAGCTAAAGTGTCACAATGTAAAAAGATGTCTAGTTTTGTGAGTGGAAAAGAGACATAACAAAATTAAATGAGGTAAAAAGCAGTATGGCTTTGAGAAGAAGAGTGAGAGAGTGAGTGTGGCCCTTTTGTCACAGTTAGGATCCAATGTCAGGATCCAGTAAATTTATGATCTCAGTTCTGTAATCAATTAATTGAAAGCATTTTTTTTTCTGATTTTGGTATTGCAGAACCAGACTCCCCACCTCAAAACATAGAATTAATAAATGTAACTGCAACAGAAATAAATCTGAGATGGTTGCCACCTGAGCAGCCTAATGGTGTCATCACTCACTATGAAGTTCTGTACAGCGATTCCAATGAATTTTTTATTAAAAATGCCTCATCTACAAGCATATCACTAAGTGAAATGAAGCCATATACTCTCTACAACATCTCAGTAAGGGCATTTACCAGGCTTGGCCATGGGAATCAGTCATCCTTTCCACTTCTGGTCAGAACTTCTGAAACTGGTGAGTACATCGTATTTTTTTWAAAATTAAGTTTTTTGACAAGAAACTGTTTTAGGGTCACCTTTAATGCCCAGGAGATAAGTTTTATAAATTTAAAAGGTATTTGCTTGCCTTGCAAAGCAGTAAGTTTGAATCTCGTTTTTCTCTTTTATACATAAAGCTAAAAGGCAAGGCCAGCTGCTCAGTAAGGGCTGGGAAGCCAACAGCCAAGGGGTGCCTGGGCCAGCTGGGCAGTGGCCTCAGTAGCCAGCACTTGTCTGTCTCACCGCACTGCTGCGACGAGCGGGGGGGTGGCGGCCGGGGGCGCGGCGGCCGGGATCAGTCTGGAGCGCCAAACCCTCCCTGCCACGGCAGCAGGTCTGAGATGAAGCCAGGAAAGAACGAGTTTGGTGACGGTAACCAAGCCAGACAAAGGGCAGGGCCAGCCGCAGGCCTGCAGTGGGGGAGCCAGCCTGGGCCAGACCGCCATGTCAGCTAGACAGCTAGAAACAAGTGAGGGACTGGATCAGTGGATCCACGGCCAAGCACAGCCACCACAGCAACAAAGCAGGAGCTGCAATTCAGATGGGGGTAAAGCATGAGAACCCTTGCAGAAAGCAGCTCCCTGCAGCTGGCTGGTGGTCACACACACCCCACAGCATTGCCTGCGAGGAGGAGGAGGAGGCCTCCCTTCACTATGCCTGCCCTGAGTGCCAGCAACCAAACCTCCAAGAGCACGGATACCTTCAAGGCACTTCCAGCACTAAGTTAGGGTCCCTTCTTTTCATACAAGTATTTCTATTGTTTGTATAGAGGACCCAGGGAAAAGAAAGAAAATGCATGTTGCTGATGCAAAGCATAAATTATGGTAGCACAATAGGGAAAATCTCCTAGCAATAGCTAACTTGAAGAATTGCAGTGATAGTTCAGGAGCGTTAAAAGGATAGTTTAGTATCATGCTCCAGGTTTTTTTTTATTATGACATATCAAGATGATTTTTATCAATTTTTTTTTAAATGACCTTGTTGTTACAGTGTGTGTTTCTGTACTTTTGACCTTCCAATGTGTCCTCTTTTCAAATGTATTCCATAAAAAAAAAATAGGACACAAATCCAAGTTTTTACAATGTGTTTCACTGAAACCAGTTTATAAAAATTCTTCACAAATCAATGAAACTGACTGAAACCTTTTAATTTTTTTTCTTCTAGTTCCTGATTCTGCACCAGAAAATGTAACCTATAGGAACATCTCATCCACAGAAATTGAATTATCATTTTTTCCACCATCCATTCCCAATGGAATCATACAGACTTATACAATATATCTCACAAGGACTAATGGGACTGAGCAAAGAGTCATAAACACTACTCGTCTGACGCTGCATATTACAGGCCAGTATATAATGATCTGGAACTGACGCTTCATATTACAGGCCAGTATATAATGATCTGGAACTTATGGCAACTGTAAGCTGTTCTGAGAAGTGTGCAGCAGACAGATACAAATAAATTATTAGTTCATTGTGATTGGACCCGATCCCTCTTGTCCTACATAAAGTTTTTTGTTGCCTGTCCTGAGAAATAACTTGTGCCCTGCCATAATGTGGTGAAATGGACATTAATCGGTAGAGAGTCTAAAAATATCTCACTGTAATTTAGATGTTTCAAATACAAGGAACTTCAGTAGATATCTTTGCTGATATCATTGTAACAAAGTAGATCCTTAAGTCACCTGCATATCGTTCTGATCATATTTTGGATAAAAATACTGGGTAAAAAATTCTAGGAATATGAAATATTAATTAATGGATAATTAGGGCTTTGCCCCTTCTTTTGCAAAATACTTGTGTTCCAAGCTTTCGCAATGCTAATTTCAGTCTCTAATAACACAGATCAGTGTGACAGGCCTATTCGGCACTTCAAAAATTCTTATGGTCCATTAAAAAACTAATTTGTCCCATTGAATGGTTGTTTTATTGAATTATTCTTTTTTTTAATTTAGATTTAAATAAATATACAGAATATACTGTAGAAGTGTCTGCTAGTACCATGATGGGGGAGGGCCTTCGTAGTACACTTCTGCATATACTAACTGATGAAGATGGTAAGTCAGAACAGCATTTTCAGTGCATCACTATCTATCGATATTCTTAAATTACTCATTTTATGTCAGATGTATTTGAGCTTTGTGCAATTTTTTTGGCAGTTATGTCTCTCCATTCCTATCTGTATCTATGTATGTGGACACAAACATACTTCATCCATCTATCTATCTATCTATCTATCTATCTATCTATCTATCTATCTGTCTGTCTATCTATCTATCCATCAATATGTTTACCAGTACAAGCTACATGAATTGCCACAATTGCTGTACATTTACATTTGGTCTTACTGGTATCCTATGAATTTGAAGAATCTGAATTTTCTGTTATTATTTCAATCTAATACATGACATGGTAGAGTTAGATACTGTATTTGGTTTTTCACTCACGTGAGAGCTGGGGAAAGCGAAAACCAAAAAAAAGGCAGTTTGAATGGTTCAGGGACATATCTGTGGGGTTTTTTTTTAAATTGGGAGATTTTTAAATTTTTCTAAACAAATGTGTGTACAGATACACAGAGATATGAAACTATTAATATTATGAAAATACCCAATGTTCATCATCTATAACACCAGAGTTCCAGATTGGGCTGGGGAGTGTTCTGTACTGCAGGCAGAAGGTAGAATACTGTTGTTGCAATCCCTGTTAATTCATACAGTAGGTTACAAATCAGAAGAGGAACCTTAAAATTACATTAGTACTTTCAATATACAACATAGTTCTGGGAAGTTATCACTGGTGACCTCTCTAGATTCTGCAGGGGAATCCTGAAAAAAAATTATAGCAAAAATCTTAGGTGCTGTGAGTCACGTTTTGAGAAGCCTGTTCGTCTCCATTGATTAGGGGGGAAATCTCTGGGAATCTATTCTAAAGCAGAATTGACACAAACAACCCACTGGACACACCATCAGAAAAAAAACTTTCCTCAAGAGTTATATAGCGGGAGCAGATTGAAAACAGCTAATTTGTGTAAATCCATTTGTTTAGCACAGAGTATTTTTATTTAGATCAATGTTTCTATTCTCTAGCAAAAAAATCCTCTGAATTAGAATTGTAGAATGAACTAAACATGCCAAGAAGATGACATTCACCATTTTGACTTTTATTACATAGCCACTGAGGATAACTACTAAAACACGAAGTATAGCTGTCAACATCTTTCACTAGTAAATACACTCACTTAATTAAATGAACCTTTGTTCATGGAAAATATATTTTTTTTTTCTTACATGTTAAGAGTTATAAAACCTGTATGCCAACTTTTGAGGTAGTGAAAGGAACAAGAAGTGAAAAACAACAGTATTTATAATACACCACATGTTCTGTATTCACAGGAACACAGTGTTCCAAGGTTCAGACCAAATGTTTCATAGATTTGCTAATAGTTATGCTCATATTCTCAATTTTCATGCATGACTACAGCTATGACCTGAATTTTTAGTGCATGATGCTCTTTGGTTGAATTTGAGAAAAACAAATGTAATTCGAATATTACTTCATAGTGATACATAGATCCCTGAATCAAGATGAAGAAAAGGATTCATTTCTCAATAACATGCTGATAATAAAACATTATCACTTATGCATAAATGAGTTATTTTCCTCAGCAAAATTAATAAGAACCTTAGAATGAAATCGAACATGGTCTAACATATTCATTTACTTACAATATTTCCCTACAGGGTTGGGATATGGTGTCATCTAGAGATCATATTAACATGAATTTTAAGGGTCTCAGTGAGTGCATATTTTTTCATTTGCCCTTGTGACATGTTAACTGTATGAATGTGGTCCTTATTTGATGGACTGGATAGATTTTACTGCTGCCTAGTACCCCACAATTTTATCATTTCTCAATGCTATGCTTATCCATTTTTCCACTTTTTGTGCTTTGTATAATTCTTTGCAGCACCTTTTTTTCCTCAAGGGAGCTATTATACTATCGTTTACATGTGTTCATATCTATAAAGCTCTTGCTTTTATTAGAAGGGGAAAAAAATTATTGCAATGTACTTGGACAGTAGGTGAATCACTGTGACCTTGCCATTGCTCTGTTTTCTCATGAAGTACTTTTTCCATTGAATCACAGAAACAGATGTTCTAACACCACCATGCAAAATCTTTTTCTATCATCTGTCAGAAAAAGGAAAAGAAGCTGTGCCTTAACTTTAGTTGATGGATACTGTACCAGTGTGGCACAAGGTTAACTTTCTATCCCGAATAATTAAAAGCCTGCTTAAGGATGCTGTGTATCCCATAGATCTTAGCTGTTTAACAAGACATTGTGTCCTGTTCTTTCATTTTATAGCTCCAAGTTCTCCTCCACAATCCCTCTCTGTAGAACAGTTGTTGGGTGTCACTGTGAAGTTGTCATGGAAACCTCCGCTGGAGCCAAATGGAATTATCCTCTATTACACACTTTATGTCTGGTAAGATTTTTCTGGAAGTAGTTCTGAGGACAGACATTAATCTGTAACCTATCAGGAATGTTAGATTTTTATTACACAATATGTTGATTACATGTTTTGAGAGAAAAAATATTCATCCAGCACTTAAAATACTAGACTTTTGTATATGCAAATTGAGAGTAGACCAAAACTGGGGTAACAATTTCAACATTTTGTAAGCATTTTCAGCATTTTCCCAAAGATTGTGCTATAATAAGGGAATTCAAATTTAAACTAGAGCATGATGACTATTTTCATTATATTCTGATTAGGCCTGCTGCAAGGCAGGGCACAAGCCCATGCTGAATTGTCAAGGAGATTTGAAAAAGGCTTAAAATAGAGACATGTTGCCTCCTTTTATAGAGTGTGTAAAAGCCATGTTCAGAATCTTTGTGCGTGCTGTCAATTATGTCTACTCTTGTATTTTGTATTTATTACGTTCATAGCAAACAGGTATTTTCAACAGATACTTTTCATTTATTGTGTTTTGATGTTTTCTAGCTAAAATTTTTCTTTTACAGTTTTTCCCCCTGACATCCTTCTGTGATATTTTTTCACCTTTACAAAGGCGTTTGTCACTTCAAAACTCGCAGCTTCCATTCTGTTCCTTGCACCACATAGTTTGGTACAGTGACATGGCATCTTTTCAGAGACATGAAATGTCTATTGGGAGCAAAAACTTTCTTTTATTGATCACATTCAATATTTTAAATTTATGCTATACCGTTTTATTGCCACTACTAAGGTGAAGGAAGCAAATACTAGAGTGCACCTTCTAAGAAGTGAACCAGATGTGCAAATTCACAGTTGTTATGGGTGCACTGCTCTTGAGCTTACATTTATTATTTTACTGTTATTTGACAGTTTTGGGTTATAGTTTCTAATTAAGTCGATGATAAAGTGAAGAGGAGCAAACTCTTCTTTCCAGAAAAGTTAAACTTGTCTTCTCTTGTTATTTTTTTTTTTTTTTGGGAATTGTTATTTTACTTTTATTGGGAATATCTGTTGCATTTTAAAATAATGACTGTCCTTGAGTTTGAGAAGAATTACTTCATGATAAGGACTGTGGTTTTAATACACGCTGTGTTCAAGAATTTGAGGTAATACAACTTTTCATCCTTATATTCCCTTACAACTTACTGCTTTTATTATGAGAAAGAATTTAGCCAGAATTATTAAAATAAAAACAACTTAAATGATCCATCTTTCTAAATATTTCAACTAAGCACCCACTAACTTCTTGCTGCAAGCCTTGCCCCATATTCTTTTTGCTCTGTCTTGTCTGTCCTTACTGTGCCATACCTAAATTTAAAGAGGCTTTAAGTATCATGTTAAGGTGAGGACATTGGAGAAAAACTCCCTTTGCCTTCAAAGAGGCCATAACTTCACTCCTTCCTTGGCAGGGAGGAAGAGGGGTGGAGGAAAGAGAGTCATCTTAAGTATTTAATAGAGTTGTCTATACAGTTTCATAAAATGCATTGCAGGGGAGATTTGACAAGGCAAACTGTCATGCCACAGAGTAGCTGCTCTTGGGAGGTATGCAATGTATTTTGGAGGAGATTGTAAATCATGGTGCTTCTCAATAAAGCAGAAAGAAGGTTACTACAGATATTACATAAATGTTTCTTCACTTCACTTAAACATTTTGCAACAGTTATAGAGAATTTGTTAACCTTTCTTTAGCTGATTTGGAACAAGAATCAACAACTAATTAAAAAAAAAGGGTGATACCTGCAGTATTTTCGATTTCATGGAATTTGTCAGAGGACAAGGTGGTTTTGAGTGCTAGCAGGTAGTAAAGCAGCTTTCTTATTGTCTTGGGCCTACAAACTCATCCTCCCTAAATGTAATTTTAGAGTATTAAGGGTGTATTAACAAAATTGCTGAACTTGTATGTAGTTACTGTTTTTTTGCATTACCCTTTTCTGCAAATTTTTGTGATACTTATTGACTAGATCTATTTTGAGGTATAGATTTTTAAGAAAATAGGGTACCTGTCTTTGTCAAGTGAAAGTGTGCAATTTCTTAGTACCTCTGTTTTTTGCATTTTGGAAAAATGTAATTAAAAACCTTATTTTATTTTTCTTCAGTAAAATTTCTTGGCCTAATTTATTCTACTAGGTAGTTTCTCACTCTCTGTGGAAACTGCATTCCCTTTGATCAGTGTTTGCTTATTTTTATTGCAATCTCAGTTGTTTCTAAGCAGAAAATCTACTTTAAACAGAAAATCTACTTCCCTTGAAATACCTCAGGCTTTTGTTCTTCTTTCTTGTGGAAATGTTCTTTGGCAACTCAGATGTAAGAATGCAGTTACTTAGAGTAGAAATGTTCACAGCACTAAGCTGTAGATTTTCTTCTCACTTAAATTATAACCAGATATGTATTTCCATACAAAGAATATATTGGGCAAAGATCCAGGAAACTGTCTTTCTTTGCATAGAGTTTGATAACTGCAGCTGCAATCTCTTGTAAATTTTACTGACTGTTAAAAATATCAGAAGTTTGGGAAAACTGTAAATGTTAACTTTCTCTGTTACCAAGAGTGTTTCCCATGTCAAGTGACATTCCACTCAAAATCTGAGGGTTAGGGAGGATGTTTTTTTTTTTCATTCTCATACGTGTTCTTCTTCCAGTTGTTTGTTAATGTAACTTTATTTCAAATATATTAGATGGTGGTCTTTCCTAATGAGACACAGCCAATTATCAAAGGATGAAAATCAGTCTATCTAGTAATTTTGAATCTCCTTTTCCCTTTTTTTCTTTTTAAATTTTTAAAAAAGTATTAGAACACATTGTCCTTTTGAAGAGCTTCACAGACAGCTTCAAGATATTTGGTTTTGCTTATCAAATTATCATCTCTGTATGAAATCCTATTAGAGATGTATGGCACCTAATTGTACAGAAATCTTTGAAGGAATGGAGTCTTAGATATTGTATTTTTTTTTTCTTGAAAGACTACATTAACTTTACAAGAAATACAAGACTTTTTGAATTCAGGTTAGCTATTTCTGCATCTTATTTTATTTTCTGATAATCATTTCATACTGATGCTAATACCAGTGTATTATTAATGTTACACCTTACAGTCTTTTCCAGGCGGGTTTTGACCTGACTAGAGTTCCATTCTGATCCTCTGCTACATTCCACCAGAATTAACGCAGCACCAGCTAATTCCTGTTCCATATCATCTTCTATTATTCCATTTATAACTTCAGCCTTCTGACCAATTTCACAGAGTCACAGTAGGTCATGGTCCCTCCTATAATCTTTTTATATTTCACTATTCCTGCCCAGGGAGACAGTTTAGTTATGCCCTACTGTGTCCTTCCCAAGGGTACCACATAACCATTTGATAGCATTTAATAGATAGACATACTCCTCCTTAATATTCCACATAACCATTGTTTTTGTTGGTGTAATTTGCAAACATATTTCTGTGGGGTTTTAAGGTGATTTTTTTTAAGAAACAAAATGAAGATCCCTACTGTGGTGCTAGAGTAGAAGGGTCAGATTTACAACATAAAAGACAAAAAGTTATCCTAGCTTTTTTAAAAAACTAAAATACTTGTATTTAACATGATATTGCATTTTTCAGGTTTACAACAAATGCCATAACTATATATGTCGAGAAGTGGTATATGTATATAGTTAATAAAATTCTTTTTCTTTAGGAATAAAATGTCAAAGTGGAGTGTAAATGTAACGGAAACATCACTGGAATTCACAGACCTAGAATATAACTATGAGTATAGTGCTTACCTAACAGCAAGTACAAGATTTGGTGATGGCAACATAAAAAGTGATACTATAACATTCAAAACTTCTGAAGGAGGTAAGCTTATACACAGCATGAATCTTCATTTTCATTCAGCCTTAAAATTCTGTCAGCCTTATTTAAGTTAATAAAGCCATTAAGTTAATGAAGTGTAAGTGGCATTTGACTTATCAAGAAAAGACATTCTAACTGTCTTTGTCTGTCTTTGTGTCTGCATGTATCTATGGGTCTATAAAATYATGATGGCTAGTTCTGTTAATTTATTGAGAAAAAATTTGCATTTCTCTTCCAAGCAGATAAGATCCAAGTAATTTAATTCTAAACTTATATAAGTAAAATTATTTTTGTAATATATTTAAATTGATCCTTACTTTAAGCTACAGTGACACAACTGATAGGGAAAATATTCCCTATAGTATCCCTCTCAAGTCTGAAATGTTTTTAATTTGAAGATCTAATCTGTAAGTGTACACTGATTTGTTTATTCTATTTTGTTTATTTTATACTTCCAACATGGTAGGTGAATTTTATATGTTCATACTATATACTGTGCTTTGAAATTCATTCCGTTTAATTATTCTTTCTGGTTTTCCATCAATCATATAGCTATAATCTGTTCCAAAATAGACAATATGCAGGTGTACTTCAGAATTACCCTGCATAGATAAACCAATTCTCTGACACACAACCTCTGGCAGGATAAACATCTACTTGAACCATCCCTCCAAAGTCTGTCTACATCATCAGGTAGTAGGCATTCACAGAGATTGCTTTTGAAGCTGGTATTGAAATATGCATTGACTTTATATGGACAGACTTTTAGGAACTGGTCTTGGGGTTCCCCCTCCAATTAATATTTTTGTATTTCACACAAACTTGTGCAGCACAAAGCAAGAGAGATGCATGACTTACAGTGGTCAGTAAGTATACTGCATGTTCTGTCGAGAGCTTTCTTGGATGGTGGGAAATATGGAATTAAATTCTCTTAAACTGACTTAAGGAATTGAATTTAACTCTCCTACATCACTGTGTTACTGAGCAGAACCACATGCTGCTATTATTTACAAAATAAGATGACAGGCTAATTGAACAAGGCTTAGAGAAGTCTACCTGCACATTTAATTGGCTGAGAAAAGAGTAAAAAAGAGAAATTATCGTACTGTCCAAGCTTGAGTATTTGGTTTACCTACATGAGCTGGGAGCCTAAATTCTATTTATAATCAGACAGAAAAAGGATTTTATTTTAGGTTTTATGAAACAAATCCTTTTTTCCCCCTACTAACTGTATTTGAAGTACAGAGACCTAACTCAGTCAGCTTCCACATCTGCAAATTAGCTTTTCTGTGTGCAAAACGCAGTAAAGACAGGACAAATTTTATAAGAAAATACTATCTGTTTACAAATGGAGCAAAATGCAAATATGTTTGGAAAAGTGTTTTAATCATTCATTTGCATACACTGTTTTATTTCATTATTTTGAGAAGCAGTTTTTATACCATAATCAGAAATACATTACATTTGACATACAATGCTGTAAAATCTATTGCGGATATTCTTTGGGCACTAAAATGTACCAAACCTTGAGATACAGAAGCTTTAGCTATGCTAAAACTTAACATTTTTCCAGCACCAAGTGATCCACCAAAAGATGTTACATACAGAAACCTTACTTCCACATCAATAATGCTGTTCTGGTCTCCTCCTCAAAAGCCTAATGGAAACATACTGTACTACTCAGTTTATTTCAAAAATAATTCAGGAATATTCATACAGGTAAGCTAATTTTTATATTCTTTTGTAGAAGTCAATGAAATTTTCTTATAATTACTTAAAGATTAAATCACTTTTATGGTTATCAATATATTGATTTTTCATTTTTCCTTTATCATGCTGTAGTTATTTAACCAATAAAGACAGAAGTGTATCTTGTAATCATTTATGCTACATTGTGCATCTCATTGAGCATTCATAGCATTAAGCTTTAAAGCCAATAGATTTTGTGTAATATTTCATTATGTAAAGTTTACATGTACATGACTGTATACATGCACACTTACACCTAATATATATAYACACTTAACATATGTAATGGATAGACTCAAGACCCACTACATTCATAGCATGCCCTCAAGAGTTTTTGTTTTAGTCTAATCTATCAATGTGAATAAATTTCTGTTTCTGGTGTTGCTTTTAAATACATGTTTGTACAGTATTGAAAATAGGAAGGTAATGTGAATGTAGGGAATGCATTTTTATTTCATATTTTTCTTACTCTCAAAAGAAAATTAATGTTTAGTATATTGAAGCAAAGATATTAATATTCTGAAATTGAATCTTTAAATATGAATAAGATCTTATAAATAATGTTTTGGTGATACTTTTTCATGTACTTTGGTGATACCTTTTTTTTGCTCTTGCTGCTATCATCCTTAATTATGCACTACACTTATTAATTGTATATATAGTCTTTCTGTTCTCCTTTCTGTGAATATCTTATATTACAGAAATATAATAAGATAAATAAGCTTCCTTTCCAGGTTTTTGGTCACAAGTTTTACACATATGGAAGGAGAACAAGAAATATAAATCCATTAAGAAAACTATGCTTAAAAAAATAACCTTGACTGCATAACTGTATGCTCACAATATGTCTAGTGCGAGGTATGCATGTGTTTGAGAACTATAAAAAATATTCACGAATGTTACAAATACCTGTGAGTGAATAGTTGCTGACAAATCTCAGTGTATACACTTCTCTGACTTCTGTGAAGCTACATGGGTGCCAGGCTCTGCACAGTTTCAAGTGCAAGCAGGAATGTACCTTGAATTCACATTCTGATAAGATTAAAATCAGGGCTACAGTTCAGAACGTAGACTCTGTTAGCACACAATGCTATAGCAACAGTATTTTTCTTCAAATCTCTAGACAAACCTTTACATCAGTGCATTACCTGAACCAGCCCATCCTATGAAGGGCATTTCAAGTGATTTTAGAGGAGTACTATGGACTTGGCCTATTTCTGCCTTTAGGAAGGTGCAGCTCTGAGATGAATGAGTAAGGTGAAGCTGATACTCTGAGAGAGATAAAATCCCCTGGGATGTGCCCAGGACCCTGGAAAAAAAAGGATGAAAATAGGGAAGATGGAGCACAGTAACATTGGCCCAGCAAGGTGAGGGTCCAATTTTATTATTGTGTGCTGTAGTCAGGCAGGGAAAGGATGGTGGCACAATTGGAAGTTAATGCTGCTTTGGCATATTATGTGGTGGATAGCAGCTAAGTGCTGATAGTAGTTCTACTTTTGTGTGTGGGCACTACCATTTTCATCCCTTTGACTTTGATTTTTATCCCACCCCTCTGCCATCAGAAGATAGGTTTCAGCTGCTGTTGCATCTGTCTCTTACTGCTCATGGGATGTGAACATTAATCTCTTGAATCATGATCAAGAGTTAAATTGTCTTCTCCTTTTAACTCCTTCTGCCCTTCACATCCTGTCTGCTCACTGTTCAACATGACAACTACCATCCCAGTCTATTCTGTACCTTGGCATTCCGGTGGATGCAAGACAGATTTCAAGCAGGTGAAAAAAGCCAACTCATTTCTGTCAGATATTTTATATTACTGTTTTTACAACAGAGAAATACATGTGTGAAAGTCAGCCTGATATGTGACTATATATATATATATATGTATGCTGTATACAGACTGTTGTAAGTTACATGAGTATGCATATATATATATCTTACAACTATCTGTACTTAGAAGTAGAACCATGTAATTGCAGGATCTGTTGCTAAGTTTTGTATTTGGAAAGAAAGAATCCTCACATGAAATAATCTGTGTTGAGGTCACCGTTCTGCTTATGTTTATCCAAACTGTATTTTCAGTTTGAGAAATTATACAGGAGAATTGAAAAAGTAGGTGATCTTTTTACATTTCATGTTTTCACATTGTTGGCAGCCATTCTCTACCAGTCTTTCATCTGCTTCTTTGTCAGGACACAATGCCAGAGATCCAAGTCTTAAAGCATATCTTCTAGATACCTGAAAAACCACTCTTGCTGAAGAATATCAAACAACTTAACACCTCCCAATGCTGTCATAATCTGAAATAGATACAAAAGACATACTACAACTGGTGTTACTCTGTTGTTTCAATTTCTCACTTCTCACACACCCTCAAACTTCTCAGGCATATTAAAATCTAATTAATGTGAACTATTGTCTATTAATATGTTAAAACCAGGAAGTTAATAGCTGCAGAGTGAAGTGTTTTATTTTGGAAAAAAATACCCCAAAATAAAAAATACCTGAGATAAAAGATACAGTTTACTCCTTGACATGATGCAGAAACTTGACTTTTTGTTCAAAAATGGAAAATTTACATACCATCATAGGCCAGAAAAATAATGTATAGTTTCTTTGCTTTACAGGTCTGCATGAAAAATAACACTGCAGCTGTCCAGTCAGAAGGCCTGAGATGCTCAGACCTAAGATTCAGAACCCGAATAGCAGAAGGAAATATTTAGTGATGGGGATTAGATTTATGGATTTTGGTAGATAAGTGACCTGTTTCTATGGGGATGCTGACAGTTGTAAAAAAAATGTGTCAGAGAGAGAGGAATGACTGGTAGACAACTAGAAGAAACCATCACCTGCATTAGGCTGGGTTCCAGTTCAGCTTTATCTTCCATCTTCTGCTGCCGTAGGTCTAGGGAAAATGCTACTTCTTGATATAAATACCCTGCCCTAGTGCAGTAAAAATATAACATGTGTGGTGACAAAGAGTGCTTCCTTCACAGATGACAGGATACATTATCTCTTCCTCACATCACTTCTCTGTGATGCTGCTGGGTTCCTACAGTTCAAGCTTTCACTGTTTGCAGTAGCAGCTTTGCAAGTTTTGCTCCACAATGCCTTGCCTGGTGCTTGAATCATACTGCCCACATGCTCAGTCTTATCCAGGAAATAAGTCAAAGTCTCTATGCAAGTAATTGTCTCATTGCTAAATATCAGTCTATGAAAGATATCATTGACTTGAATAAACTCTTTTATTCCATCCCTATATACTTGTGTTTTGATTAGCAAGAAAGTGTGAAAGCTGCTAATTACAAATATATATTTATGCTTCAATAAAGTTCCCCAGTGAAGGAATTTAAGTGCAGAAGAAAACTGTCCTGCTCTGACAAACCAGACAGGGAAACCAGGAGCTCGGTACTGAGAAACAGCCTATGATCCTTCCAGAGGCTGAACATCAGACCTCAAATCATCTAACCTCTACCTCAAACCAATCAAAGTGATATGGCTGGATACGGTTCAGAGTCAAATTCAGCTTGATCTACCATTGGGATGTGGACAGGGGATGCAAACAATGTGCTATATTAACTTAACAATCAAACATTTTCATTCACCAATATGACCAAAGTAGGGATGAAAAGGGGAACTTCCCAAAAATACACTGCAAATTTTTTGAAAGATGGTCTCGAAATGGTACAGCACACAAAGAGGAAATAGCTTCACTTAGGTTTATACTGGAACAGTCATTCCTTGAAGGATGCCTTGGATTAGCCCCCACAGTGTCACTACTCTCACCTGATTGCCGGAGATTTGAATCCTCTGATTCAAAACAAGAATGCAACACAATGAACCTAAAGAAGGAAACAGAACAGGGGAAAAAGGTTAGAAGTGAAGAAGAACATCATTGTATTTTCTGTGTACAACTAATTACAGCTTTGTGCCATTGGAAGTATCAGCCACTTCCTGAGGTGAAGGAGATACTACTTTCTGCTGACACTTTCATGGCTTGTGTGTATTACTTACACTTAGCTGCTTTTAATAATCTGATACTTTGCTATGTCAAAACTTCTTTCATGTATAGATGAAGAAAAGGACAGAAGGAAGAATTTCTTCAGCTGTAGCCAAAGATCCTAAGCTGTTTGCTTTCATCTGCAGCCACAGTTAATTGCAAAACTTCCTATAGTGTTCTATCCCCAGGGTACAATTAGTACAAGTTTCATCTTTTCTCAGTTTGTGCCCACACAGTTCTTCCTGCTTACTCTTACTCTTAATTATGTGTTCCGTTTTTTTTTTTTTATTCATAATATTTTGTCATATCAGAAGTTTGAGATATCTCCACTCCTTGGGCTCCTCTTAAAATAGCTTTTGTTGACCCACCAAAACCCTGTTAATAATATTCATGTTAGTTCTCTAAGTCCTTAACTGCCAGACAGCTGGCTAAATAGTTAAAGGTATGCTTTTTAAACTAAGAGTTGAATTTTCAGCTGTTCATACCAATAAATTCCCATTAAATGTAGAATCAAAACTTGATGTGGTAGCCTTGACATTTTAACCTTGAAAACTCAGATAATTATTTAAGGTCTTATTTAAAAGAATCTGATTATTAGATGTAGTTACAAATTACTGATTGCTGCTAACAACAATATCTAATAATAATAATAACAACAAGGAGATATTAGAATGCTTCTTCTGGACCAGATGATATTTTCTCTTATACCATGCTTAAATATCAGAAAGTTTAATTAAATACCTTAGAATTTGATCCTCTTTTYCGTGCATCTTAACCTACCCAAAAGTAATGCAAGCTCTTTCCAGCTGTTTCAGTTAGCTATGAAGCTAGTGTGAGATTCAAACTACATTTTGAAGAAAGTCATATATTGAGGTGGAAGTTTTTTGTATTTTGAGGGATTTTTGTATTTTAACCTAATCCTTTGGGCAAAATTAACAGAGTGCTTATAATCAGTTAGTGAGTGGATATCAAAATTTATACTGGCAATTCATGCAGCTTCTTTTCTGCATTCAAAACTAAAGTCTAACTTTTCATTGCCGAACAAACTGTTTACTTATTGATGTTATATAATACTAGCGACTGTAGGCAAAACTAGGTCTTCATATATGGGCATAAAATCTCAGGGACGTGAATGAGCGTGTCACCTATTGTTTACTGCAAAAATAAAAATATTTTGCTTGTACAAAAATATATATGAAGTGTTGCATTAGATATATAGATTGATACGTATTGATGATAGATATCAAGATTGCATACTGAACTATCAGTGTGTACAGTACTGACTCAACTGTGGGGTAGAGCATATCACAGTGACTTCTTCAGTAAGAACTCTTCTCAAGACAAATATAATCCATTTTTCAGAATGCAGTTTTAGCATGCCTGTGCTTATATGTGGTATTTCTAAATTTTAATACTCAAATATTACTGTTGCATTTCTCCTGCTTTAGTAAGTTTGCTCTCATAGCCTCTCTTTTTTAGAAAAGCATTTACTTGAAAACTTATTTTGAGTTTAAAGAAGTGGAGGGTGTGGATTAGATCTAACACCAAAAATAGGGAATAGGCCAAATAGCTGGAATTCATCTGGGGGATGGGCAAAATCCAGCTCACCCTGAAGAGGCTGCTAGATAGAAAAATTAGGCCTTCTTTGGTCCTGAGAAGTACTGTTCATGCCATCTGCTCAATGGGCCAATGTGGCTGCCAGAGAGGAATGCTACCAGCTCTTTGAATCAGCAGCAAGGATTTGCCTTCCCACCCAATGCTGGAGCTGAATATGCTTATGGGCTAATTAACTTCTCAACAATTTTCAAATCATGAACCAAACTGTGCTGGATCATCTGAGTCTGGTTCCTGTAAAGCAATGGATGATTTAACACATTCAGTTATGTGGTAGAGCTGAACTTACATAAATAATCTGCTTTATATTTTTTCTTTTCAACTTCTGTAATGGTTGTTTCTAAACAGGAATAGTTTCCTTAGAGGGGTTGACCTAAAGCACTAACCTATTCCTGTAGTCACAATATTRGTGACATTTTTTATGTAGTTCAAAAGAAAGTGGGATTAGGTTCTGGTGCTATCCTTTCACTAGCAAGTAACTGAACAAAGGAAAAAAAAATTCTTTTAATGCCTTCAGTTTAACATGGTCCACTCACTATAGACATTTCCATTAGAGATAATGGCATATTGTTTTTGGAAGGGACAACTAACAAAAGGAACTGTTTAACAAGTGATGCAGTGAGATCTCTGCAGCTGGAAGATTTAAGTTCAAAATCTGCTATCTTAAAAATAGATTAGAGAAAAGTCCTTTGATTTATAAGTACTGTTCAGCCAAGGCATGCATGATTCATGTGATCTATGAGCAATCAGCAAATGTTGCCTTTTTAAAGAATTTTCTTGATGAAATATGGATAAACACACTGCAATATTGTAGTTTTAATCTCCGACTTTGCATTCAACACTACAACCAACAGGAGCCAATGATGTACTCTGTAGTACTTACAAGGAGTAACAATAGACATCGTACAATTGAGTATTTCAGCAAAAATCAGTACTTATTAGGATTTAAAGTACAGGTTTATGTTGCCTGAATACTGTGGTGAATCATATCTGCTGCTGTTGGTGGTGGTGGTGATGGCTAAATGGGGAACTAGAAAGAGAAAGCAATGGATAAAAAACATTTTAAGGGGTAACATTTTCTTTTTGTCCTCCCTTTTAGAATTTCACAAGTTATGGTAATGACAGCAATGTCAGTATGTCCCCATTTGTGGTGCTGGATGACTTGGTAAAATACAGCCATTATACTTTATGGTTAACTGCAAGCACAGCATTTGGAGATGGAAACAGAACCAGTGAAAAAATAGATGTGTATACAGATCAGGATAGTAAGTTAATAACTTTTTTTTGTGCTCATTGTGTATCAGTGCTTATATTTATTAAATATTCTCTAACTTAAAAATTATTTTACTATTATGATTGCAAAGTAAAAGAAAATCATTAAATTGGTTCTCAAAGCTGCAATAGTTATTTTTGCAAGGAAGGCATTTTGATTTGAGTCTTTACTTTGTAATACTAAGAACATAGCTCACAAGCCTCTGTGGATGCAAGCAATAAAATTATTGTCTTGAACTGTCATTAAGACTCTTTTCTTAAATAAATTTAGCAGAGATGATTATTCATGTATGCCTTCAATTATTTTGCTTTTGATATTGAAACAAATTATTTTTAGAAGTAGTAAAAAATATTGCAGCTGACATTTTATATGTCAAGCGGTGGAATCTGGTTTGGGCTTGAATGTTTTATAACTGTAATCCATGCATTTAATTTTTTGCTTATTATCTCTCATAGTCCCAGAAGGTTTTGTTGAAAATCTGCTCTATCAAAACATTTCCTCAACTTCTGTAAATGTAAGCTGGCTTCCACCATCCCAGCCAAATGGCTTAGTCTTCTTTCATGTTTCTCTAAGTTTAATGCAACTGGAAACCAGTAAGATACTGTCTTTCCTTACTTACAACACAAGCATAATTTTTGATGATCTGGAGAAATATACTGATTACATTCTGAAAATCACACCTGCCACTGATAAAGGATCTTCTGAACAGCATGCTCTAAGTCTTCATATAAGAACTGATGAGGATGGTAAGATTAATATATTTTATTAATTCTTAAGGAAATGTAGAAAAAAAGCCCCAACAAATAGCTTTCTAAAAGAAAAAAAAAAGTGTTTATTTTCCTTGTTTTACTTAAAGTGTATTTGTTACACAGTGACATAAACAACTGCGACACATTTCATTGTTTAGACCATGAAGTTTTCATTGTAACTCATATTTTTCTAAGATTATCCTTTTCTTCCTCTTTTTTATTCTTCCTGTAGTCCCAGAATCAGCACCTGTAATCAAAACATTTTCAAATCTCTCAACTACCTCAGTTATGCTTTCATGGGACCCTCCTATTAAGCCAAATGGTATTATAATACGTTATGATTTAAATTTATTTGGGCCAGAAAGGAATAACTCATTCTCTGCCACCAATAATTTTATCATCTTGGAAGACCTTCTGCCATTCACATTGTACAGCATTTATGTAGCTGCAAGGACAATAAAAGGACCTGGTCCATCTGCTGTGCTTCAGTTTTACACAGATGAGTCAGGTGAGCAAATGCAATTGTAACCAAGTTTGAAATATCAGCTCTATGTTGCTGCACCATCTTAGATGTGAATATTAGACCTGTTGAAATGAAGGATTAATTTTCCATTTGTCTGTGGGTGAAGAGCTTTCAGAAGAAGAAAACACTGCAAAGGAAGTATTTTCTGAGTGCTCCTCCTCCTGCCAGTGTGGAAGAGGAGGTCACATTCTGCATAGGATTATGAAAATAACTCCATGAAGAAAGATCTTTTGCCTTTGGAATGTGTTATAGTTTGCAAAGTGTCAGGGATTTTGAAGCAAGCAACAGTACCTTTCTTTTCATCACCCCATATGATGGAAAAATGATAAAACATGGAAATCTCTCTGACACATTCACACAGTCCTCCTTTACATGGACCTCCTCTCCCCTGCATAGTAAATTACATATCTTTAAAATATATGACAAGTTGTGCTCCATATATGGTGTAGGAAGTGAAGTATATCATATGCCAGTTATATATATATAGTATAACTTTTGTTAAATGTGTTCGTTCTGACAGTAAGGTTGTTCAAGTGATTAACAGATTTGTTAGATCTCTGTGAAGATCCCTTGCTCACTAAACATGTATTCTGGATTAATGGAATTTGTTTCATGCCGAAGAAAAAGAAAAAAGATTGAAATAACAATGAATTAGTGTTAGCTTGAGTTGAAGCAGGAATGTTTCAAAAAGTACCTATGTTCTCCTGCATGTCCAAAGTGTTTTGTTTTGCCTGGATTATTTGTGATTTGGAACTCAGTTACATTTCTCTTTTGCAGTGCCATTAGCTCCACCCCAGAATTTGACCATTATCAACTACACCGCAGATTCTGTGTTGCTAAAATGGGATCCAAGTCCCCAGTCAAATGGTGTTATTATGAGATATAATTTTAAGATTTATCAAAACAACACTGAAAAACTCTTTTTTTGGGTATGTTTATAATCAAGAGTGTATAATTTTTTAAAATATATTTTGTGCTTTAGGAAAAAATATATGGCAAATATTTTAAATGCCTATTATTATGAATTAAATACCTAGAATTATGAAGCTCCTATAAATTTCTATTTGCTATGACAGTTTACTTACCTTCCCACTAGACCTGTAATTCAATTTTTCAAATTAGACAGAAAAAAAAATAGATTATAACTTGCTTTGAGCTGCTAAAGTTTCATAAATGGTGAGATTTATTAATCTTAGTTTATATTTCAGTGTAAGCTTGAAGTTAGAAAATGGCAGAAGTTACTTTCTTTGTAACTGTCTTTGTTTCGCTATTTAGTATCTATGTCAGTAATTCCTAGTCATCTCCACAAAATAGTAAAAACAGTTTAAAAATCTGCATTTAAAAAAAAAATAGATTTTGCAGAGTAAGGATACCTGAGTGAATTGTAACTGAAATAGATGCTATGTTCAGGGCCAGGCTGGATGGAGCTCTGGATAACCTGGTTTTATGGAAGGTTCCCTGCTGTCAGTATGGTTGTTGGAACTGGATGATCTTCAAAGTTCCTTTCAACCCAAGCCATTCTATCGGTCTACAATTTTATGATATAAAAAATTTGATCAAGGCTTAAATTTGATTGCTTGGGTTGCCTTAAGAAATGCTCTGTGAACTACAAAGGCAGCAAGCTGAGCTCAGGATTGCATCTTAAGCTTAAACACTGTGTAGTGAGTCCTGTTCATCTGAGATGCTTATAAAAGCTGCAGTAAAAATACCTTGCTGCATGGGGTGGCCTATTGGCTACCCCTAATGAGGTCTGCTGTAATTCCCCATTGTGGAAGGAAGTGCTGGCATCATCCCAGTTTTTTCAATTATGCTTGAAAGGCCATGATGCATATATGAAAGGGGAACTATGAGCCAGCTACCTTTAGAAACATGTTCTTTGGGCATTCGTGGAGACCACCATAAATCTGTCGATCTGAGGCAGTGTCAAACCAACTTAGAATAGAGAAACAGCTGGAAGCACTTGAATGTATCTGCTATGCCCTACATTTCCTCATGTTTTTTAATGTTTGTAATGGCAAGAAATTAGATTTAGGTTGTGGCAGCAAGACAGAGAAAGAAATTTATATAAAAATATTGCATTTAGGCACCATAGTTCTCTGATAACTTGGATCCCACAAGATGTTCACCACATTTTCTTGCTGAAATTCAGCTCTTTCCCTGCTGTTACATTCCTCTCAATATTTGAACAAATATCCTTGCATGCTTTGGGGAAAATGGGTCCCAGGAATTGAGCTGTGTGTTTTAGCTTTTTTTWWWAAAAAAAAATAAAAACAATTCTTCATCAATCTATGTATCTAGTTTAGGTAAAGTAAAAGAAATTAGAAGCTATGACACATGACCTCTTCCACTGAAGAGGTATAGTAAAGAAGTAGAATGTGAGAGGGATTGGTGTGAAGCTGGAAAGAGTTTTTAGTATTTGACTGAAAGCTACTCAGAGTGGAAGAGGCAAAACTATGGCTGTCAATTTGTTCATTTCAGTAAGTTCAAGGTAAAGTCCACAGTGTTTCTAGAGATTAGGTGTGTACTAATAATTTTTCCTTCCTTAAGAACATTTCAGGTTCAAATCATGAGGCAAGCCTTGTTGGATTAGAACCATTCAGCCCCTATTTTATCAGTGTCTCTGCATTTACCAAGCTTGGGAATGGCAATCAGTTCAGTAATGCTGTCCAATTTACAACGATGGAATCAGGTTAGACATGGCTTTTTTAAGATGCAGTTCTGTTTAAATATATTTATATTTATTTTCCTTGTATGGCTGAACAAAAGTTTTCCTCTTCTCTCCAAAGAAAACGTAACTTAATACTGTCTCATTGTCTTTTGCCTGTGTAGCACTGATTCACATTCCTGCTGTAGATTGTGTTTGAAGTTTGATGTAGGAAGTGTAGAATTAAAAACRTCCTCAACTGAAATGAGAGGCTTATATGGCTACTGTAAGTCTTTTAATAGCAACACAGATAAAGGGAGGAAAATTAGATAGGTATCAGTCTTTGCAGATCAAAGTGGTAATTCAGATCCCTGTGAAAATAACTGACATATTATTAGTATCAAAAGCAGCCAGACAAAAGATTGGCAAATGAACTGGAAATTGTATTAGACAACTAGAAATTTTAAACTTTTTTTTTTAATATAATTTATTTTAGGAAGAAAGCTAGCCAYTAAGAGTGAATTACTTAACATCACTAAAGAGAGCCTGTGGGTTTGTGAAACTGGCTGTTGCTCAAAACTGTAGCCCCTTTGGCAGGGCAGAGCAACCCCCAGGCTCTGTAAGGGCTGTCAGTGCCAGGGGACTAGCATGGGTTAGGGGACTCCAGGTATCTTTGTGCTGTTAGCAAAGGCATAAGACAAAGTATCAAAAGATCCTATACGATGACTACAGATTTGCTAAAATGACTTTTCCAGTGAGAGATTTATTTCCAGAACTGGTAATGTGGAGGTTCTGGGAAAAAATGCTATTTACTGTACCCAAGAATTACAATGCCATCAGAAATCTGGACCATCACCAAGCTGGTACAACTTGACTATTGGACTCCTGCAGCTGAAAGTGGTCCTGCTCAAGAACCATGGTCATCCATCTGTTGTTTCATTTCATCACTGACATACTTTCTTCAGTTCTCTTTAACCAATTTTTTAATAAATAATTGCTCTATTTTAAACATGATTATAATATTTTGTGCCTTTCATTAATTTTGTATGAGCATTTAAAAAAAATTTCTTCTGCTGCAACCAGCAAATAGACGGGGAACAGTAGGTTAAAAGCATTGGCATGACAGTTCTGAAACCTGCCCAGTGACTTCTGTACAGATCATAGTTCTGCTGGAAGGATTAGAGAAATGTGGTAAAATGTCTGAAAGAAATAAGACTAACAGATAAAGAAGAAAACAGATAAATAAGGAACTTCTACTATTGATGCTGCTGCTATGTATATTGTGTATCTATATTGCGTATGTTATAGTACACTTGGTTTAAAAGAATATGGGAAAAATACCAGCAAAAAAGTTTTGTTGGGAAAACAAAACTGAAGAGCACAACTAGGAAAAAGCAGATAGATGGCCTCTTCTGTTTCAAGTACTAACATCAGTTCACATTCATGGTAGTTGGAATAGAGCAATGTAATGAGGAAAAAGCTGTATTTTTGTTTTTTTSATGTGTTTCTTTTATTAGTTTGTCTGACACTGCAGTGTTCGACCTTTGCTATTAACATTGTGTCTGCTTCTCAAATGCTGTTGTTCTGTGATTATCATTTTAATTGTGTATGAATGTTAATCTTTGGTGCATATGTATCCTTTCAGTGCCAGATGCTGTACAGAACATTCATTGTATTGCAACAAGTTGGCAATCGATCCAAGTGCAGTGGGACCCTCCTGCTTCACCCAATGGTGTAATTACACATTACATCATAACAGTTGAAGGAAATTCTACAATTTTTTCATCTTATGATACACTGCATACTTTTAGAAATCTGCTTTCCAATATTACTTATCGAATTAAAATAAAAGCTGCAACATCTGCTGGTGGTGGTGAAGAATGCATATGCAATGCCAGTACCCTTCCAGAAAAAGGTAAGTGATTATTCAAGCTAATTTTTTTGTTAAATTTCAATGATGACTGTGAAACAAACAAGCACAAAAAACTTGCTTCAATATAGGCAGTTAAATCATTCTCTTGTTTGAATTTCTTGTTTATTGTGAATGGAATGAAACAGGGATTCCTCTTTCTCCTGTTTTAGAATACAGTGATGATAACTAATTACCATTTGAAAAAGCACAGAGAGAATATTTTTTTCTGTGTGCATTTGGAGAGTCATTTTATTAATTTATGATCACATATTATTTTTTGCCTTATAATATCTGCCTTGTTCCTAGCAGAACCTCAAAATTTGAGACTGTAAGTGTGAACAATTTTGGGGAGAAAAATTTTTTGTGTTTTGGTTTTTCTAGCTCACAGTGTTATGAATTCATTGACAATAAAGCTGTTTAGAATTCACGTAATTGAGCAGAATTTAGCTTCTACAAGAAGAATTTATCACAACTTTTGATGGATAGGATTTTTTTTTAAACAAGAAAGAAAATTGTGAGCTATATCTGAAGAAAAATGAAGGCAGGTTTTCTGGCATTGAAATGAAAAATTTTTACCCGAAGTCTGTCTTACTATCTCTCTTCACACACACACTTCACACTTCACCTAATCTTGACTGCTTTCACTTGATACGTGAAACATGGAGATGATATTCTATGCAAAATACAGCTTTAGTTCTCTGTGAATGGCTRTGTACCTATCTTCTAAATTGAATGTAGAGAGGATCTTAAATCTCAACCCAGGAAGCAAAAGTCTGTTTCAGTCCTGTTTTCCAGTCAGGGATGATTTCTATTATTGGGACTATTTCTTGGGGTTATTTTCTTCTTTTCTGATAGTTCCATATAAAAATAAAAAAATAAGTTCAAGAAAAATCCAGAAAATATTTCAGTTTTCTACTGAACAGCCAGCCTTCAAAGCTAGAGCCAGACTGAACCTGGGGATGGAGTCCAGACTGGGACATAGTCWTATAGGAGGGATGTTACCCTTTGGTAAGGGAAAACAGGAGGCTTCCCAGATGCTTCACACCTTACAGGATGGAGGAGAGGCTTCTGGTAGTGTTAAAGAAGCCTGACACCTGAGAAAGTTAATTGTTGGGTTCTTTGAGAAATTTGGGATAGGCTATCAATTAGTCCTTGAGGAAATACTGAGAAAGCTGTGGATTAAACTTGGGCTTGAGGGAGAGAATGGTGGTGTCTCATTGTCCATGTTATAAAGAGTTGTGCTAGCAGGGAAAACAAAACAAATAAGTCTTTATTTCGTAACATTTATTTTATTTTTCTTATAACTGGGAGTTTTCCTAAGTGAAGGATTTATACTACAACGCATATTTTTGCCACAAGAACTGCACAGACCCTTTCTTGCTTCATTGTTGCTTAGTCATATTTACAACAAACTAGTTATTATTAGGACATTTTCTTAGCTGTGTGTTTGCATGAATTGTTTTGTAGTGACTGGATACTAGGAATTGGAGATTCATGGATGGGAATGGAAACAGTTTTATAGCTGTTGTCAGCTTCTTATTTATGGTGGTCTAAGATTAGTCACAGAATATGTAGCCAGCACTGAGTCACTGACAATGCATTTATTTCTGACATAAAGTGAAATTGAATTTGGCTCCGTGTCTCACTGCATAGCATTTGACCTTTAAATTCTTGGCAAGATTATTTGCCTTTTTTTGGGGGGTAAATTTGTTCTTATCTGGGTACAATTAAATATGAATCATGAAGCTTAAATTTATGAGGAGATTAGTAGTGTTTTGTGTCTAATCTAGCTCCATTGTCATGGTAAACCACCTCTGCTGGGCTGCAGTATGTTATAAAAGTTGTCAGCTTTGTAGTGGTAGTATTGTGATTAAATACATTATAAAGGATATGAAAGATAATACATACATACACATGCAGAAATGAATTTGGATTTTATGACTGAATTATCCTTGGATTATTTTTAAGATAATAGACATACTAAAATTAAATTGCATTAAGGTTGAGTGAATATTTAGAAGGGAGAGAGCCATAAAATAGTAGGAAACCTCAAAAAGGCACACTAAAGCTGTGAATATTTAGTTAACTCACAAATCGGGACAAGTGTAACATTTATTCAGTTGGCAATAAAAAGAGAACAATTAAAAAGCCACTTGGGGGTATTCAAAACATGAATAATAAAAAGAAAACTGCTTCTGCTTTAATTTTTTTATTATTATTTTAAATTTCTTTAAATTTTTGTTTTATGGACTTTAAATTGTTTTTTGAGGATATTAATCATATTGATTGCAGTATTAAGACACACGGAGTAATTTCCCTACTTCTCCCCCTTACTGCTAGTCATGCTTGATATTATACGTGAACACAGTCTTACAAGAAGTTGAGGGCCCCATTGTACTTTGGTGACAGTCCTCACCATTTGTTTTCTGCTAAACAGTGATTCATTCGCATTCATTCATTACATTTAAAAGAAATATGGCCAGAAATTTGTCCAAGAAACAAAGATATTTTTTAATTTAATCTGGGCTTCATTTTCCTGGCCATTACTAACTTGTAGCTATACACAGAATAAAATTGTGAATAAAAAAGAGTAGTGCCTAAAGGAGTTGGTGATGGGAAAGTTTCTCGGGTGTTTTGGTGTGGACCTCCACACCAAAGTGCACAAAGTAGACAGTGCACAGTGTTTTAGTTTAATGGAAAGCTGAACATTCAGGATTTGAGTACAGACAACTATTCACTATTTCTCTTTTTAGCTTAAAGGAGCGCATGCCTCTCTAGATTTGCAGAATTTGATTTTTCAGTACTTAGATCCCACAGTTGGAGACTGAGTTTTCTAATGTGCTAAGGACAGAGAAACGTGGTCCATACAGGGTTTTTAAAGACATGTTCTCAACTGTGCAATTTTCTTTAAAGCATGTCTGATAATGTCAGTCCCAAGTCATGGGAAAAATAGTCTACAATTTTTTACAATTTTATGTTAGCAAAATAATTTGTGTCCCTTTCATGGCACACTTATTCATACTGAACAGAACTTAATGTCATGATGAGACCCCACCTGAAGTTAGCAGTCTATACTATATTAGTATTTAGTATGATCAAGAATATCAGCTTAACCCATGGATTTATTTGAGTAACAAAGCTTTCAAGATTTAATAGAAATAATCAATACAGAATATTTCTTTTCTTTTCAGTTACTTTTATTTTATGAAGACTTCTTTTGGTGTGTGCCCACTGCTGTCTATTCTACTTTGTTCTTCGCTTTCCTCCTGTTGATGCTCTTAATAACACCAAACAGACTTCTAGGCTGCCGCTGCCCTTTTAATCCAAACTCCAGCTACAAGCAGCTGTTCTGTAGGCAGACTCTTTTTTATTAACTTTGTTAGGAACTATGCCATATCATATTACCGTCTTCTGTTCATGGCCCTGCAGCTGTAGCTGTTGCTTTCCACAAAAGTCTTCACAGAAAGCCATAACCTCTCTTGCCTCTGTAGATTTGTGTGTGTGTCCTTTGCTGCCCTTAGGTAATCTTTGCATTGCAAATAAGATTTTTTCTACCAAGTGTTTTTGTTAGTTTAAACCACTTCCACCAGCCAATTTCAACTCGATCTGAGTCTTTGCACCATGGTAGTGCTTTTTCTACCAAGAATTTCCTTTCATTTAGGTTCTCAAATRAAAACTTAATCTCAGAGCAGTCTACCAGCTTTGGAAGGGCTGATTAATATTGCAGCCAGACAAGCATAGGGAACCAGAACCAAGATCTGGTGTTTGGTGTTTAGGTGTTTAACTTTCTGTCAACTTCAGTGAGAGTTCATGAGGTATGTAAATAGATTTTAGGATCTTAAAATCCCATGTGGATCTGACTTCAGTTACTTTTCATTGAAATTTAGGTATCCTATGAAGAATGGTAGATGAGCCTGAAAATACCTCATTACTCTTCCAGTCCAGAAACTAAATTCAGCAGCATTTCATGGCTAGCCACTCTGCCAGCTCCCTGGCTGGCTTTCAGGAATTGAATTAGAAGCTATTAAATGGAAAATTAGGTGGAGTACATTGCACCAAATGTTTCAGACTTAGAAAAGCTCCCTATTCCCAGCGATAGTTGAATTATAGCAAATGCAACATAATACAACAGGGAAAGACTGTGAGATATGTGATGAGAATTAAAGAGATCCTATGTATGATCTTGGGAAATTTAAAGTTGGGATTAGGGCAATAATTCCCACTAGCTAATCAGAGCACAGTCCTCAGCAATTAGTGTCTTACAATACCACAATCACAGCCTTTTTTCATGCCTTTTCTTTCAGTGCACCTTTTTAGGAACTTTGGATTAATAATAAAGTTCCCATTAGGTACATATCAAATTGTCAGTGTATAATAATAGACAATAAGTCTTTATACAGTTCBAGTGTTACCTGAAATAATAATTGACAAAGATGCAATTTCTGGCTTCCATAATTTTTAGTGTGAACAGAGTGACACTTCATCATAGTTGAGTCATATTTAGGAAATTTAGACAGGCTGCATGATTACTCTAGGAAGCATGGAATGATTTGTTCAAATCAGTTCCATCTGTGGACAGAAAAAGTTGGGTGAATTTTAGTCATTCTTGAGGAATGGAAATCTGATTCTCCATGCTAGAGTAATTGTAATCCTCTTTGTATCTGTAGCTGTCTTGCGATTGTCTCTGAACGCAGCCATCAAGTTCAAGAGATATTGGGCCACTGGGTGTCACTGCTCTTCACTGTGGCCCCAGGATCAAACCTCTTTCATCTGCTCCAGGTTCAGATCACATGTTTTTATTTGTTCTAGTGAATGATTATATTTGTGTTTGATTTGTCTGTGTCAGGAAGGAGATAAAATTAGCTTGATCTTAAAATGACTAATGTCAATGATTCCATTTTAAAGGTCTGTCTAGGCCCTGACAGAGAAAATTTTACAGCGAATTCGGCTGACTGACTCTTGATTTTGCGGGTACAAAATATTTTGTTTATATGGGTCTTCATAAACCAGAAAAATGACTACATAAAATAGCTATCAAAGCTTTTGCATGAAAGAATAAATGCTTATCTGATCTGTCTGCTATCAGGATACCTGCAAGTATATATTTTAAAATGGTGGTTTTCATGCAGTGCTACCTTGTGAAGATAATGTGTACTGGCTTCCTCAGTAGTCAGTGGGAAAAAGGACAAATAAAAAGAGAAACATAATTTCTCCACCATCCATCATTTCCCCCACTTTCAGTGAGTTTGTCTCTGTTCCAAATACAAGGAAAGCACATGGAGGCTGGATTTATTAAACTTTTGTTAGTCTTGTATGAGAGCCCACAAATCAGAGCTACCATCATTTTGCCTGATATAATCTCTCATTCTATGAAAGCCAAGTGTCTTTTCCTTCTTTATTTCAAAATTGATAGCTCTCAGTTATTTTTGATGTCATCATACATGCTGAAACAGAGAGAACAAGGGACTCTCCTGAAGAAGGAAAGGCCACCATGAGGACTAGACTATCAGCACTTCTCTTTCTATATTTGTAGTAGTTTATCCATTATAGTCCACATTTTATCATTATCATATTTAAGTAAGAATTCATATTTTTGCAATATCTTAACAGTTATCAATAGTCTACTTTAAAACAGAGTAGAGGATTTATAGAGGAAAAATACAGGTGTTTTCTATGAACTATTTGGCATTTCTCTGCCTTATTTTCCATAAACTGATAGTTGAAGTAGGCCTTTTCTTGTAATTTACATAAATAGCTAACATAGTTTATAGAGCTTTTATGAAAATATTGCAGTGCTTAATTTTTTTTGAAAGTAGATAAACTGCGTATGATATCTCCAAATCTGAGCAAGCAAGCAAGCATGGTATTGCATGTTTTAAGGTTCTTTGCTACATTCTGTACTTCATGCTAATAACAGACAAAAACAACTTTAATTTTGATAGCATGGAATATAATAATGGATATTGTATTTTGCAAAGTTCTTTTTAATATAGTTTGCTCTTGTTCTGTGTCTGTCTGTGTGTTAGTGTGTAGCAAGGTAGTCAAGGTGGTAGCCTATGGGGCTGTCGCATGCTGTGAGCATTGTGTACTTGTCCATGAGAGCTGAGCAGAAGAATAGGGGAAGGCCCATGGTCCTCTGCCTACTCTGTCTCCTGCAGATTCCACCTGCTCTGGGCTCATTTGGAGGATTTAAATTTCTCAACCTTTTCATCAGCTTCGTCTGACTTAAAATTTACGTTTCTTCTTAAAGATTCATATTTCCTGGATATTTTTCAGCTTATCATATTGTGACGACTGATAAACAAATTGCTGCCGACAAAAGCAATGATCAGATATTCCCACAAGGTTAAAAGGAAAGAAAAAGGAGTGTTTTCTCTTTCTTCCCCAGTAACATTGGTCTGGGATCCCTTTCTTCTTTATGTAAGCCTTGGGACTTCTTCAGCTTCAGTTTGAGGATGTATCATGTGTTTTTCTTTTACTAGCAATACCTCTTTCCCCCAAGACTCTAATGCATTCTTTAAAGCTAAGTGCTTTAACACTTATGATTTCTGAGCTGATTTCTCTGCAGTTTTTGCCATAGAGAGTATTAGTATTATCTTACAGGGCCTTAGAGATATTAGCTTTCTCTATGACTATGTGATATAGCACAAAACCATTTGTTGCATCTGGTCTGTGAAAGCAGGGAGCACTCTGCTGCCTCAATATAGACAGAGTAAATGTGTCTACATGTACAGGTATGTACATATATGCACTGCTTCTGTCTCATGGACATGGATGTAACCGTATATAAATAAATGGATATAAGCTGTATATAAATAAATGGAAGCAAAGCTTATGGGAAGTTTCTTTTTTAAYGGTTACTCAGCTCTTTCTCTTGACATTCTTGTAAAGCAGTTTTATGATGCTGGACAAACATTGCATGTATTGATACATTTCATTCAAAGGGTGAAACAGGAGGCTTAGGAAACCTTGAGGTGTTACGTGAAGATTTCATATATTACCAAGAGAGAGTGAGACAATGAGTATTTCTAAATGAGAGGTGAAGAATACCAGTTAGAAACAGCAGTAAAACATTCTGTGGGTGGGCCAAAAATAACTTTGCATAATATTCCCTCTCTTACCTGAGACATAGCCCCAAAAGTAGTAATAGAAATGTCACACCTCTCAAAGATGGTCCTACATACCACGCCTGAAAGTATTTTGCTTTATTTCAAAAACTCTAGTAAATGTATGCCACTTAATAAGTACAGTGTGATTCATGCCATTGGAATTACTTTTTATTAAACATATGAATTTGAATCTTAGTCTTTAGATATGCTTATTAAAATATTTTTTCAACACTGGATAAAAGTATTATAGTTGCAATCACTTTTCATTCAAATTAAGGTGTCTTACAAGTGTTTTCCTCTGTAGTTCCTAGTGCTCCCAGGGACATAGTTTTTTCCAATGTGCAATCAACAAGTGTGACCTTGCACTGGAGATCACCAAAATCTATCCTTGGCTACTTTCAAAACTACAAGATTACCACACAGCTACAATCCATCCACTGCAGTGACTGGGAAGCTATGGGATGTATTGAACGTGAGATGCATCAGTATTTATATGAAAATGTCATGAATAGCTGGATAGAAGACACAGTGTATGGACTGAAAAAATACAGGTGGTACAGATTTGCAGTTGCTGCCAGTACGAATGTTGGTTATGGCAGTTCTTCACCTTGGATTGCAACACAAACCCTTCCTGGCTGTAAGTAAGGATGTCTGCCATGTCTGGTACCATGTGATGTTCACCTAAATAAGCAAGAACACTTATTAGAAGTTATTTCTTCATAGACCTACAATATATGGGAGAAGTCAATAAGGATTTATTGCAACTCTTGACCTATGATATATATGTTTATATTTTATGAATCGTGCGGCAGGTATACGTGCCTAACACTGCTTGATATTTTAAAGCCTTTTGTATACTCCATTGTATTTACTGCTTACCCAACACCAATTTCAATCCTCTGCCATCTTACACATGTGACTTGGTAAGTCTAAATTTTTGCTACTTTGGGTTGATATGCTGTCTTCAATACATTTTCATATGTGGGGTGTGTCAATGAAAAGTAGTCCTGTTTTAATTCTTTGACAAAAAGTCTATTCATTAATGTTGTAAAACTTCACTGAAATTCTGTTGTATGTTCTCAGCAATAGAATTTAAGCAATAACTTCAGAGGAATCAGGATTTCTTTCCAATACCATATCTACTTACAAAGTTTACTAATCAGAGTGGCCATGTAGCATGTACAGGATTGCCATGACACATATTAGAATTCTCATGCCTCAGCTGAGGATTTAAGTTTCCAAGTAAGAAAAGAGGTAGTAGGTCATAAATAAGTCACCACTAAATATTTGAGAGAAGAAAACACGAAACATAAATTATTTCAGATATTGTCGTGGGGACATATGACCTCTCCTATCAGCTTGTAGCCATCCTAGGATAGAGAATATTTGAAATCGGCCCTCTGGCCTGTGTAGAACAACTGAAAATCACCATGAGTTGCTTGACTTAATCACAGCTCTTTCAGTCATTTCCCTCACAAATAGAGGTACTAAGTACTTAAACAGCTCTGTACCAAGGAATACTCAATGGCCCAGGTACTTATTTTGTCCCATGCATGCTTTTATGATCATGTGATGTGAACACAGGAGACTTTGGACTGTTATAGTAAACATCACAACAGCCTGTTTTAATTATAAAACACAGAAGCAGTCCTTTGGATTGAGAAGTGCTGGAACCAGCTGCAGAGTCATTCTCAGGTGCACTTACTTTTTTTTGTCCAGTGATTCTTGTGGGGAAGCTCTGCCTGTAAATCAATGCAACATTTTAAATGAAGGAGAAGAAAAAAAATTACAAACCCAGATGGAGCAGAAAATACGTAACGGAAGTTGTGTAGCTTTTGAGTCAGCAGCTCTGAGGAGATTTCTTACTATTCAATTGATAGAACACAGCTAGTGACATATGCAAATACTTCTTTTCAAAAAATGGTTCCTGAGTTTAAAATAGAGATTTAAACTGGATAGAGAAGAAGATAATGGAAACACATGTAATTGCATAAAGATAGGATACTTTTTATGATTTCCTCTCTGGATAGTGATAACTTGGTTTAAGAGAGAACTAGTTTCTTATCCAGTCCCAGTGAGAAGATGGTAGTCAAAAGTATAAACATCTCAATAGACTGCACAAGCCCTTTCCACACCAATACAGTGTGATTCTTATCAGTAGGTCCCCCGTGTGTTCTATTAGACATTTTAAAAGCGGCGGGGTAGAAGTTACAAAAGTTCCACCAGTTCTTCCAGCCCAAGTGTCCGGAGCTGTTGACCTGTGTCTGTGGTGATGGAAGTAGGCAGCAACAAATTTTCTGTGAGCTAAATTGGTTGAGTATTGGGAGATAAACTGCATGTAAAACACACTGCTGTGGATCAAGGAAGCATGGGCACTATTCCAGATGTCATGGCTGGGCACTGGTCTTTTTCCTGGAGTAATGGCAATCAGCTGAGTAGGAAAAAAAGAGGAAGGTGACATGACACAGCTGGGTAGCCAGCTGGCAGCTCTGTTGTGCTTCAGCAGTGCTGGGAGCTTCCCTGGCAGTGGCTGATCTTTAGCAAGGGCCAGTTTCTAGCTACCTCATACTTTCCAAAGACTAGTTTTTAAAATTGCTGTTAAAAAYCTGCTCAGATCCCATCTTTGTTTTGCAAAGGTTACAGCCTGTAGCAGGAAAGAGAAATTCAGAATGCACTGAACAGATTCACTATTCTGGGCAGAGCAGAGTGCATGCAGAGAGCATTTGTTGATCCCCCCTGTCCTTTCCCTCACAGACAGGGCCAAGCATCCTCTGGATTAGCTTGCTGATACTCAGCCAATATACATGGTCTGTCAGGGCTTAAGAGTGCTTAGCTGCTATGTAAAATACTCTGAGTACTTAGCCCATAAAAATCAATGAGAATTGTGTTTGTATACTTAMGGGCAGAAATTAGGCACTCTTTCACTTGATTTTCAAGAAGTACATCGCTAAGACATTGCTTCTGCTAAAGGTAAAGTACCTTAGTTGTGAAATAATGTTCAAAGGATTTTTTCTTCATAATTCATTGGGTACTCAGAAATTTGTGCTTCTCTCAAGCCTTAAGAAAATATTAAAGTATTATATTCAGGAGGCTATAGCATTTAAGCTGAAAACTGTTGGACTCTTTTCCCAGAATATAAACAGAAGAATCTTCAACAGGAGCAAAAATTACATAAAAGAAATCCCAAATATTTTTTACAAGTTCTGACGATTTGGCTGTTGTGCTAAAGCAGAAATACATAATCATTTTGAATGCCCAGTGAATAAGGTGATAATCTTACCTGTTTATTTCAGTTGTTCATTATGAAGACAAATGTAAGGCTACAGGAATTATTTGAAAGATTCTTTAACTCATTTGCAAGTTTCAAACAAAAAAATAATGGCGGTGTTCTGTACTAAGTGTGGTTATAGAGTTACTCTTTGGAAAATGTTATAGATTGTTAGTGCAGTCCAGTTTTCACATCACCCAGATAAACTATTCAGCTTTCTGTCATGCAGATTATCCTGACAGGAATTGCCTTACTGTCTCATAAAAAAGTGTGATGGCACCATTAATACTTAGCTGTTTGATTACCCAGGAGCCAAATCTATTCTACAAGATTAAATATTTTCATCATAACTCTGATTTATATAGTTAGCAGCACAGAAGATTACAGTGTTGTGTCTCAGTAAGGGAAAGGGCAATAAGTGTTTTCCATAGCTATGGAAACTTTGTTCCCTCACACCTGCACTTATCCTGAGTTTCACTATTACATTTACAAGGAGAATAAGGTTGGTTGAACTTATCTTTTCTGACAGAAATAATCGTGGAGGGTCAGTGTTAGATGGAAAATGAGTGACAGGGAGATMACTGACCTCATTTTGGATCCCATACAGTTACACAATGCAATGCTTTTTGGTAAACGGCCAAGTCCCCTAATGCCAGGATATACTGAGGTACAAAGGAAAATCCCAGATGTTCGAATGTCCCATGAAAGCTCGGACATAGAAGCATGAGGCAGAGTGTTATGCTCCTCTTTTCAGCACCTACTTTCCCAATCACCGCTGATACCCAGTTGCTTGGTACTATTGAAGAAATTTTTCTGTGTGATGAAAAGTAATGAGATTTCATGTCTTGTCATGTGTTCTTTCTTCTGGAAACCTTTGCCTGAGAGAACTTGTTTTTCTTTGTTACATTTCCTCAAAACTAAACACTGTAAAATAATTATGGATTACAAGATGTAACTGTTTAAAATTATATAAAAATAACCTAGATAATTAAAAATTAAATAACTGAAGCATGCACTTAATTTTTGTTGGGAAAAAAAGAAGAGCTAGTCCTAACCAAACTGGCAAGCACGGATTTTTGTTAGAAGACTGGAGTATTCAGTCTTATTTTTGAGGATCATGCTAAATGATGGGCAAGCCAGACTTATCTTCAAACTAACGCAGTTAACTGCTGCCTTAGCATCAGGACACAGATGGATGGGAAAGATGACCCTGACCTCCATAAGACCCACATTCCTGTGCAAGGATAGAAGCATGATAATCAGGAAATGATGGTTATTAGTTACAGAAAATGCATTATTGTGAAAATCAGGAGAAAAGTGCTTATGAGAGGAAGTGATTGGATTATGGGGGAATGAGAGAATAAGACTAGGTCATTTCTGCTGAGTAAATTGCTGTGATTTATTAGAGAAAGGGGGTAGTGATGTCATGGCTTCATATTGATGAGATTCATTTCACAAACAAACCTAAATCAGAACCTGGCAGTTATCCACTAAATCAAACACAGTTTTTAAAAAGACATTTTTTGTAAGATATGAGGCACGTCAGACACTTTTAATTTTGTAGTTTTCTCCCTAATTATACATGTTATTTCAGAAAATTCTCCTACACTTCAGTATGACTTGCTTAACATCTGATACTTTATTTTTCATTATGAAAGTAAATCAGGTATTAATGCTTAGATGAACTTTGGATAAGTACCTTAAATATAGCATACTCAATCAGAATTTTCTTGCAAATATCTCAAAGTACATCAATTATAAACTGCATCTGGAAATTAACCATATAAGTAACTGCAAATTGGATGATTTGTAGATTAGATTATGCTTTAAAATTATTTCACACCATTGTTATCTAATGCATAACTGCAAAGTGTCTTCTGAAAAAAATATTGAGAGAGTAAATTTTCCATTAGTTCTGTAAAAAACAATGGAAAATTGTCTTTGGAAACTTGGCTGGTTTGAAAATGAAAGCTCAAGGAACTATACATGTATATAATTTTGTACTGTTTTTCAGGAATTTCATTTTGCAGTAAAGCTAATAAATATCACTGCCATAGCTACTGAAAAGCACTGTTTGGCAACATGTCTGACATGCATTATCTGAAAAGTAAAACTTGTGCTCATTCTAATTTTCGGGGAACTTTCTTGTTCTTGTATTTTGTTTTATCTCTTGTGACAATCGAGGATCTTTAGTACGGTCTCTTACACTCCCCATTTGACAGCCAGCCTTCTCTGAGCACTCTTCTCTTTTACCACCCCTCATGGACACTCACTGTTCTTTCAGGTACACTCCATTTGGTTGTTCCATGCTACTCAGTATTTCTGGGGCCTGCTTCCAATGAATGAATTTGATCCTGCCTCTAAAGTCTTGTATATTCCTGCTAATCCCAGAACAGGAATCTAATTTCTATATCCACCACCCTAAACTCATCATAGCACCTTACCTAATCCCAAATATTTCTGTTTTATTCTGCTATGATGGTGCTAAATTTTCACCTCCATAGTGCAAAATTTTATTATTTTCCTTATTAATCTTTTACACATAATTGCAACATCTACATACTTCTTTCCACATTCTTTTCCTTTTTCTACCCTGTGCTCTCCCTGAAAAACTAAGTAGCCTTGTATACCCTCCAATTTTTTTCCTCATTTAGCCCTCTTACCTAATGATTAATAGTGGCAAACTACATATTCATGCATTAATCTTGTTTGAGAAAAGAGACTGCATCTTCTGATTAGCATAGGCATGATCACTTTAGTATTTTTGTAATAGTATACTGTTAACTGATACGTATATTTTTGTAGTAGATAGAAAAGCAGGAACCTTAAATTCAAATTCTGGAAATATGTACAAATATGTTATTACTTTATAAAAGGCTGTTCAGTGATACCACAATTGTCTTTTATTTATTTTGTAGTAGATTCAAAAACAAGGTGCCCTGGAGCCAAATTCTGCAATTATCTACAAATCTGTTGTCATTCTGTTCCAAATTTTATTTTCTTTAAATTGAGATGGATGTTATTAAAAAATAATACAACTTACTGAGAATTACTGACTATTGTATTATGATTTCATTATTTTCTTATTCGTGAATAAGAAATAACTAGGTTATTTCACATATCACCTTGACAAATGGAAATTTTGGGGAAATCCTGTTTCTTAATATTAACATTCTTGCCCTCTTTCAATTCTTACCACTTCTTTTGCTTGGGTTTCCTGGAGTTTCTCAACATGTCAAGAATAAATTTAAAGGAAATATGGAAATTTATTTCTACTTATACTTTCCAATACTGCTGGAAATTTTTTCTAGCATGCAGAATATTATGTTTTTTCACAGTTTCTTGATCTTTGAATGAATCATTTGACATAAACAAATATATTATGCTTGTCTATTAGTATAAATATTTGCATATTTTTTTTGTGAAATACTTATAAAGAGCTTGTAATTAAGTAACCCTTTAATCTCAATTTCAGATCAAGTCATAAGCAGTCCATACTCTTGAGAAGTTGTAGTAATTGCAATGAAAGATATATTTCTAAATCACATGGAAGAAAAAGAAAGAAAGAAAAAGAAAGAAAAAATTATAGTTATTTAAGCAGTGTGTAATCTTAATGTGTGAAAAGGTTTTATTTTATAACTTCTACTGGCCATTAAAATTACTGGGTTATTTTTTGTGGATCTGTTTGTCCATGATTCACATACATTGTTTTTTTCCACAGCTCCAGATGGTCCTCCAGAAAATGTGACTGTTTYAGCTACATCTTCTCACAGTATTAATATCAGCTGGAGCGAACCTGCCATCATTACGGGACCAACGAGCTACCTCATAGATGTCACCTCTGTAAGGCAACTCTGTTTTACTGTTAATGGTTATACAGATGTTTGGTGATATCAATACCACAGCAGATGTCCTTAGAGAAATTGCAGGACAGATATAACTGGATTGAAAACCCATATGATTGTGTCTATTTCCACATAAATTCCGCATAAGAAATAATTGTACATTTATTAATTTATTAATGGGAGATTAATTGCTTCATATTAAAAAAAAAAATGTGCTAATAAGAAGTCTTGAAGAAAGCAGAAGTGTATCTATAAATGTACACAAGAAAACAGTAGTTGAGCTGCGTGAAAGTGTACCTTTCTTTTTTCCTTCAAAGGAAGGAAAGGTTCATCATAGTGATTTCACAAACCAAAGTAGAGAGCCTAGCAAAAGGAAATTACTTGTACAAAGTTACATAGCACCAGAGGGCAAACTTTAAAGTCAAACTAGATTTCCCACTTTGGTCTTGGTGCTCTGTCCATCAGATTAGCTGTATTTTGGTAGCACAGTAATAACACTTCTTTCTCCTTGATCTTTAGAAAAAAAAAAAAAAAAAAAAAGCTGATGTAAGAGAAAAGATCTAGTGGCTTTTCTCTTTTCATCCTCTACTACACTTACAAAACTCCCTAAAACCACTACTAATAAACCTCATTTCCTGCACTGTTGCAAGACAGGCACCTTTCTAAGTTCAAGCTCATGAGAAGTAGGATATCGATTCCTTGTTCTGCCAGAAGTTATACAGACAGCACTATAAGTGAAAACATGAAGTAGTTTACCAGACTTTACTAAGGAAAAGTTGTTATTTGCAGTTTCAAAAATTCTGAACCAGTGTGTCAGATAGTAGGAGAAGAAGTTAAAGGCGACTTCAAACTATGTAAGGCCCTTAAATAGAAAATTCTTTAAATTCTCTGATAAGAAAATGACTGTGTGTGTATATTTAATGTTTCTGAATCTGTCACAAGGAATACGGATCTGCTAACATATTAATGCTGAGATACTTCTCCAATCAAAATTTCTAAGATCAGGAAAAAAATACAAAGTATTTTTAAGTTACTCAGAAAGTTAAGAGAGAGTGTGTGTAGTCCTGCGAATTTCTCTTCCTCCAAGTTCATTGTACAGCATGTAGAGTGAAATCTGCTGAGCTCTGAACATGCTTACTGCAGCAGCAGAATATCAGGATGAGGGATATATGACAAGAGGAGGACTTACAGGAATGATTCCTTTGCCCAATGGGTAGGTCACTAAAAATGATATAACAAATAGTATTTTCCCTCAATAAAGTTAGAGGAGACTTCTTGCTTGTGAAAAATACCTGTCATTTTTGATTAAACAGCATTATAGTGCATCAGCAGAAAAACATTTCATGGACTTTATAAAATTTACAAATTCAGTTTTCAAAATTTTATTATTTTGTGTTTAATGTTTTATCCATTTGTACTGAAACAATTTCCTCAGTCTGAAAACTCTGAAATTATAAATGGTATAATCTCATTCTAAGCTCTTAAAATACTATAAATACCTTATAAATATAAATTATAATTAAACTCCTGAAGCAAGATGAACTGGGGAATGTTCCAGGTAAACTTGCCAGCATTTGAAACTTAAAACTGTTTTTAGTCTTCAGTTTAGAGAACTAGTCTTGTTTTTACAAAGTGAGTTTTTTGGGGGTTTTTTTCCAAATATTTTTCAGATAACCAGCTTTGTGTCCATGGATTCCTTGTAATTAGGTGTTGTCTGCCTAATGATCAGTAACTACAGGTGCCAGTTCTGTAGAACTTTAGTAGACAAATCTATTCCTTCTTAAAGACCAATAAAGCTGTCACAATCTTTTTCAGTGAAATTTTTAGTGCATCTTTTATTGTCCCAGTGGGAAATTGTTATGACAACTCCAAATTCCACAAACTTCCAGCATGTATAAGTTTACTCTTTTTCTTTCTCAGATGCGTAATTTTAAATATTTATAAAAACAACATCATAGAACAGAATAATTCAGGTTTTTACTCTGTTATATACTAAAAGTTAATAATTAGCATTCATAAATGAACTTATTAGGATTCCGCTAAATTGCTAGGATGTTCCTTGCAGTTTTATAGATCAAAAAAACTAGAAAGTAGTCCGTCATTATTGTTCCTCCAAGTCATATTTTAGTTTCTTGTACTGTCAACTCTAATTAGAATTAGTTCTAAATAAAATATTCCTGGAAATGGGTAAGGAAAGTGGAACTTAGCCACTAAACTTCATGAAGAATAGAAATACATTTAATGATATACTGCTGGGATTGTACTTTAGCTGTTGAAAAAGTATTTATAAATCAGATTTTTGATAGTTAGATACAAGAAAGGGTTTCAGTTCTTTATGGCCATCCCAGGAAATGCATGTCTGTTTAATTCATCAGAAAGTTTAGTTCAGGTTAATTCTCAGTGGGGATATATGCCTATCCATCAAATAAAAGGTATGCCTTAGCTATTCTAATGTTTTATCAGCTGCATGTAACACAGATTTTGTTCAGTGGGAAAACTACTGTACAGCTACCTAATCCTCTTTTCAAATTACACACTGAAGAAACAGTAATAAAACCACTATTAAGTGAAGCAGTGGGAATATACATAAATAGAATTTTGTAAAGGATACTTGATGAAACATTAGAAAAAGTCACATTGTCTCCTTGTTTTCATTTGTGAAGCTATCGCTAGAACTGATCAATTGTAAAGTCCAACCCTGGAGATTTTTCTACAGAAATACAGATTATTTTAGATGTAACGATGATAGGTATCCACAATGCAATCCAGCCCATGGCCTGCTCTAACACAGAAACAGGAAGCTAAAATATTCTTCACAATTTATTTGTTACCATTTTCATGTAATATCCAGTGCTGAAAATAGGTCAGCAACTCCCAATAGATTATTATACTTTATAACTAAATTAATAGTCATAGTTTTAGTTACTTTTTAGGTATATAATTGGAGATAGTATAATTTTTAATTCTAATTGTTTTGGTGCAAATGAAATTTCTATTTGTATTTTCAGGAACACTGTAAACTGTGGGTTATCTTCAATTTATAAACATCCTTTTTTATATTTTAAAATTATCACTAGGTCTCCTATAATCCTCTCTTTTCTAGATTGAACCCTAAAACTTTCCAACTTTTCTAGTGAGAGAATTACTTCTTCAGCGCTCTCTCACAAAAAAGAACTCCTATTAAAATATCCAAAGAAAAATTGCACTTTCTTCAGTTGTATCAACGTTCTATATTGCTGCCCAGTTTTCTAATTGTATTCCAAACAACCTTCTGTGATACAGCTGCTCATCTTCTGGATCTTTGCCTAGTTTGATTCCCATTTCAGGTCACTAAAGGTGCCCTGGCCTGGTGTCTATAAATCAGTTCATGTTTGCTTGGGGTGAGGCAGCACCAACCAAACATCCCATTTCCCACAGGAAAATGCCGAAGAGGCAGCATATGGGTGAGATGGGAGTGGACTCCCCAGCACACCTTTATACTCTTGGTGTCTAGAGACTTGTGAACCCTTCTATGTAACTGGTTAGAGAAATGGGAGAATAAGAGTTAAATAAGAGGTTCAAATAAAAAATTTACTGCTTTTGGCTGTTTCAAGCCTTGTAACAACTTTCTTTTTATTTTATTATTTTTTGCAGGTAGATAATGATAACTATATAGCTCAGTTTTTGAAGACAAATGATGAGAATAAAGTCTTAGAAATTTCTGATTTAAAAGCATTTACGAGGTATTCTGTAGTAATCATTGCCTTTACGGGGGATGTTAATGCCGCACTTCTAGAAGGCAAGGCTAGTTCTCCACTAATTGTCTCCACTTTTGAAGCAGGTTTGTATTTTTTTCTATTTTATGCATATCAAACTTCAGTGTTTTTCTTTCATTTGACAAATAAATGAGAATTTGGAACATTTAAGGTGGGCTTTTAATACAGATTTGTCCTCATAATATTTTTTTCTGTAATATTTAAAAAGGTGTCAGACAACAAAAAAGCAATGGTTAGAAATACCAAAATTTACCTTTAGTTATGCAGGGATCCTAATTTGCTCCATGTAAAATTTGTGGATTGTGGATAAAAATATGTGGAACACAGCCATCTAGATTACTTCTATAGTGAACTAAGAGAGAGGTTCTATCTATATTAGCATATATGTCTAATATACTTGTCTTAGGCAGGGATGTTTCCCTTGTGAAGGTGTCTGTCTTCAAAGAGACTACTGAAAACTCTGAAGAACGTCTTCAGTTTTGGTGCAAAATTTAAACATAGAAAATTAAGTGAAGTGAATCCTACCATTTATAAATGGTGTCTGTGCTGACTTGAGGACATTATCTGTGTATTTTCAGTGGAAGGAAGTTGCTAGTGAAGGCCCACAGGAATCTTTTTGAGCCAGCTGTTCCACAGATTCAAAACAATCTGGAGAGTGAGCTGGATATTCAGGTTGCAAAAGTAGAGGATGCTGTTAAGTTACTGTGAGAAATAAAACTGAGAGATGAAATGTTACAGAGAAGTAGACTGCATTTGCATTTGCTGGGGAAAGTGTTAATAGGTGTACATGGGGAAGATCTAGTGCTAACTTTACATGCATAGATGATGGTTATTCTCTGTCTACTGTCTTTTCTGGGTTTTAATTGTTTTCAATTGTTTAAACAAACAAACAAGCAAAACAGTAAAAATATTTTCTCGAGAGGTATTAAAGTTTTGTTTCATTCAAACTAATAAGTGCCTGTGTACCAAGCACAATTCTATCTCCAATGCTTTTAAGAAGTTAAATTCTAAGGGTTATCTATTGCTATCCCTAGAAGCTGATACAGTCTTTTACTGTAGAAAAATTAAAGAATAAACTATGTGGTAGCTGGTTCTATCCTGAGATAATATCCTGTGGTACATTTTCTGGTAGCCCTTTTTCTTATGTAAATATGTGATACATTAGGAGGTGCAGTAACTTTAGAGAGGAACAGTTGTTTTTTTCCATCTCATCTTGTTTCATCTGGTTTGTACAGCTTAGCATATGGCTTAGTTAGGACCAGTTTACTCAGACTTACTCGAAAGAAGCCTGAGTAAGCTTATGTTAGCTGGTACAAAAAAAACCTCAGAAGCAGGACAACTGCATCTAAATCTTGGCTGAGGGAATGTGTTTACCTTCCATTGCTTGATTTCACTATTTAGAGGTCATGCTACATACTTGTCTGCTCAGGTAAAGCAATAAATATTTAGCTGCCTGGAAAGAATGTTACAGCATTTTCTTCCAGATAGGGAAATTGGGAAAATGATTTATACCTTTGCTCTCTTGAGCATAAGCTACTGGAATAAGCATTTGACAAGAAACTGCCTCTGGGAAAAATGCATGTTGTGCTTGTGTCTGAGCATTGGTTAGTGGAAATGTTTTTCCTAAAGACTTAGTTGTGTTTAGCAGAGACTCTTAGGGTCATGGTGACTCGTTTATATGTTGGGAGGGAGCTTGCTGTTAACAGAGGTCTTTCAGAAAGGGATACTCACCTACTCTTGCTGCTTGCTTGTCAACCCATGCAAGAATTTGTTTACCCCAGATGTGTTTCAAGGTATAATGAAGTTTTCAGGCTTTCTGAGTAGATAATCAGAAAAAAAAAAATCTGAGTAGAGATTACTGAGTGTTACCGAATAATTACTTTTAAAATTTGTAACATTCAGTGTCATAATTAAGAATAGGATTTCAGTAGAGAGTTTACTTTTTTTTGTATTTATTAATATTTACATGTGCAATAAGCATTTGAGAATTTTTAATAAAAACCAGAAAATATCAATGAAACAATACTGATATACAAAAAAAGTAATTTTATTTTTTCAGGTTTTATTTTAATAGTTATTATAGTAAACTGTTTAAGTAGGTCATTGAAATATTTATTTCAGTTCCTGAAGACCCACCTAACAACATAACTTTTCAGAAGATACCAGATGAAGTCACAAAGTTCCAAGTAACATTTGTGCCACCATCTGAACCAAATGGAAATATTCAAGTGTATCAAGCTATGGTTTATAATGAAGATGACCCTGCTGCCATCCAGATCCACAACCTTAGTGTCATTGAAAAAAAAGATCAGTCAGTCACTGCCATGATAGAAGGACTAAAAGGAGGACATACCTATAATGTCAGCGTAAGAACTGATACTTTGGGGGGTGGGGGGGGTATCTTTTTCTTTGATCTAAGTGTGAGATTAGTTTGAAACTTTGGCTGAATATGAGCTTTTCATGCCAAGAATATTATTTGGAGTGCAAAGAGAGACAAGTCTGAGGAACAAGGGGAGCAATGAAGAGGATAGAGTCACTGGGAGCAAGACATATCACTAGCCTGGATGACCAGTTCATATGCTTAGCAAAGCAATCTGTGACACATAGTCACAAGCACAAGACTAAATCTCTCTTAAGTCCACTACTGGCATTGTTTGTTTGGCTCACTTGACGTGAAAGGTCCAGTTCTGCAAGAGGAGCTTGCTGGAAATATGTACATGGGGTCCTTTCAAATAGTCAGAGACTGGGACATAAGAGGAAGAAAGATCATTCTTTAAGTGGGCTTGCTTACTCCTTGTCGTGTAAGAGCTACATTATAAGCAATAAAGTGTTACTGTTCTTAGGATTTTAAAGCAATATAAAGTAAGTTCTAGCCAAGTGTGAATGACAAAAAGAGTGTTTTGACATTCATTGTTACTTCAGATATATCCAGAACTGGCCAATATGAAGCTATTACAATACTCATTAAAACATTTGTTTTTTTTTTAAGGTGTATGCAATTAATGGTGCTGGTGCAGGGCCAAAAATTCAATTGAAAATAACCATGGATATCAAAGGTATGTCCCATAGAATACCCTTTATCTGAAATCTCTATTCTGAAAAAATTTCCTATCCTACTTGTGAATTCATATCTGTGTGCCTTAAGCTATTATTTGGAGGCCACATGATGTAGGAACAGGAATATATAATTAATCACCTGGAATTGTAGTCTTCAGTTTTGCTGATCATTTGCTATTTATATCAGAATGAAACTGTAAAGCACGTGCAGGCTCAGTGAAGTAACCMTATCAAGTTCAGTATTTTGTTTCAACAAACAGCTTAGAATTTGACACAGGAATAGCTAAGTATGTGGTATCACAGTTGTCAAAATAAACAAAGTGATTGATTAATTGAAAAACTTAAACTCACTATTTTTGATGTTTTCTCTTTTAATTGAAAACTGATATAAGTATGCATTTATCAGAATACAGTTTTTAGAGGCTTAAGACAGTAAGTAGAACATTAAGTCATCCCTGAAAATATGCTGGAGTTTTGGGTTTTTTTTTTTTTGCGTAATTCAGCTGTGTGCCTGAACAATGCCCTTGCAGTGAAAATATTGTAAAATAGAACTCTGTGGTATGTCTTTGTTTAAAAACAGAACCACCAAGGCCCAAAAAGAAACCAGCACCAGTTTATGATCCCAATGGAGCATTGCTCGTCACAGATACAACACTTACAATCAGAATGCCAATATGTTATTACAGTGACGATCATGGCCCTATAAAGAAGATACAAGTTCTTGTTGTGGAAGCTGGAGGTAGAATGTTACAAGTTTCCTTGAAAATTGTTTTCAGATTCAGGCTGTTGGTCTTTTTAGTTTATTTTCTTGGGTTCCAGTTATTTTGTTGACGAAAGTGCACTAAGTACAAAGTATCTTTCACAATACCTGTGGGTTGGGCATTGGATTCTGAGAATACTTGCCAATGAAGTGTCTTCCATGCTGTTTGAAGCTGCCAATATTTTCCTGTCCCTAATTTTATCACTATAGTTCTTTATTTTCTGTTTCCTTGGAAAACACTCCAACATTTGACATTTGTGAATGAAAATAAATACGAAAGTTTTGGGTTTTGGCAAGGTTTTTCTTCTGTCACTATTAGTGATGCCCATAAAAGAATGCAGCCATGTGCAGTTGACATTTCCATTTCATTACGGGGGCAGAGTTATATAAATCCCTCCTGTAGACTGTGGGTAAGAATGTTTATTCCTTGTACCGGCTGATGAACGTTTACTTGTGTGAACAGTGCTGTGAAACCTTTTGAGTAATTGCTTACCAGTGTGAGTGGGATGTAATGATAGGACATCATATGGTCTTTACCTAAGAAGGACAGACACCAGATATTTAAATCCCTAATTTTAGTTGGTTTAAAAATATAGAAGTTAAGCACGCATATTAAGTGAACTCACCTTAAGTGCCTCACCTTTTTCTGAACTTTGCATTTTACCACTAATCCTAAAGACATTTACTTCATAGTTCTTGCTGTGAAGATTCTCTTGAACTGACAGATAAGCAAACACCACACTAGACAACATTTTGAAGATCTTTCTCATGAGCTGCTGGGTACTGCCCATGTTTGCAAATCTAGTAATTTAATTTATGAAACAATCATTGCTATCTTCAGATTAAAGAGTTTTTACTGTCTTTGCTAGCTAGCCATGTTCAAAGTCAAGTGTCTTGCATATGTAATAAACTCTAGAGGCAGAGCTTCTGTCGGAGATTGCTCCTCACATTTTCTAGATTTGTTGTTTCAGTTGGCTTACTCAGAGTTAACAAAACACAGGTAACGTGGACATTAGGGAAATTTGGATTCAAGTCCAAATTCAGTTATTTGTGTAAATGGAACCAATAGCATGCTAAACTCTTAAAAATATAATTTCCTATGTAGCTTCTTTAATTGCAGTCTGGTTAGAATGTAAATTGTACCTATTGTTTCTTTTCTTGACAATAGCTCAGCATGATGGGAATGTTACTAAGTGGTATGATGCCTACTTCAACAGACCAAGGCCATATTTTACAAATGAAGGCTTTCCAAACCCACCATGTATAGAAGGAAAAGAAGATCTGAGTGGGAAAGAAGAGATATATGTCATAGGTGCTGATACTACATGTATGATGTCAGGTAGTCAAGACAAAATATGTAATGGCCCATTGAAACCCAGAAAGCAGTACCTGTAAGTACATTTATCTCTATATTAGTCCAGGAAAAAGATTTAAGTGAAATATAGATTTATGCAAACACTCAAAACATATAATTCAATTAGAAAAGGTGGAAGTTGAAATTATCATCATATGTATGTAATTTCTAATTTTTTGGCTAGGCATAGCTATTGGGAGACAAATTTTTTACAAATTTTTTCACAAAATTTTCCAAGCGAAAAATGCTTATTTCGTTCTTCTTGTACAAATTCAAGATAAGTAATTCACATAGGAGTGCTTTATACATTTAAGATTTTGGCACTGAGCTCTTAATGTCTGCCATGTCACTTTTGCAGGTGAATAATGATTTAAAATTATAGTTCTCTAATTTAAAAATATTTTTTAGTTTCTATATGAAGTAATATTTTAGAAAATGAACACATGCTTTGTTTCATTAGTTTTCTTGGTTTTGTTTCACAGATTTAAGTTCAGAGCAACTAACATTAAAGGACAGTTTACAGATTCTGACTATTCTGACCCTGTCAAAACATTAGGTAAGAAGAGTGTCACTCACTAAAATATTTCTCTATTTCTAAAGAGTTTACACAATTCTATGTTTCTTTTAATACAGTGGTTTCCGTGAAGTAAATAATCTCTCTGGATATAGCTTAACTAGAATGGCTGAAGAAATATATCCTTTGCCTTATATGTCCTTCTGATGTCAAGAGATTCTTCATCAGCTGGACTTTTAAATGAAGAGGTGGTTTTGACAAAKTGTGTTTGCAGAGATTTAATTATACCGATAAAAATATCATGTTGCCAGGATAGATCATCTTATTTGGCAAACTGACAATTGCTATTCTGTTTGTGCTGTTTCCTTCTGTGTTGGATGTAGAACAAGCACTGGGTACTCTTGGCTGCATTAAAAATTGGTTGGCTGGCCAGGCCCAAAGAATGGTGCTTAAATGGAGTTCCATCCAGTCAGCAGCTGGTCCCTAGTGGGGTTCTCCGGGGCTCAGTATTTGTCCAGTCCTATTTAATGTCCCTGTTGATGACCTTGATAAGGGGATCGAGGGCATCTTCAACCAGTTTTCAGACTACACCAGTTTGGGCGGAAGTGTCGATCTGCTGGAGGACAGGAAGGCTCTGCAGAGGGATCAGGACAGGCTGAATTGGTGGGCCAAGGCCAGTCGTATGATGTTCAACAAGGCAAAGTGCCAGGTCCTGGGTGACTTGGGTCACCCTGTGCAGTGCGACAGGCTGGGAACAGAGTGACTGGAATGATGCTTGAGGGAAAAAGGATCTTTGGGTTCTGGTCAGCAGTGGCTGAACATGAGCCAGCTGTGCCCAGGTGGCCAAGAAGGGCAATGGCACCCTGGTTTGTATCAGGAATAGTGTGGCAGCAGGAGCGGGCAGGGATCATTTCCCTGTGCTTGGCACTGGTGAGGCCACACCTCAAATCCTGTGTCCAGGGAAAGGCAATGTTCTTTAAAGTAGAAGTCCTTTAAAGAGCAGCCGAGGGAGCTGGGCTCATTTAGGCTGGAGGAAAGGAAGCTCAAGAGAGTTCTTATGACTTTCTGCCTGAAAGGTTTTAGCAAGATGGGTGTCAATCTCTTCCCTCAGGTAACAAGCTATAGGACAAGAGGAAACATGGTGCTAGGGGAGGTTTAAATCAGATACAAAGAAAAATTTCTTCACAGAAGGGGTGTCAAACATTGGAACAGGCTGCCCAGGAAAGTGATAGTCACCATCCCTGGAGGTAAAGACGTGTAGATGTGGCACTTAGGAACAGGACTTAGTTGTGGCCTTGGCACTGCTGCGTTAGCAGTTAGACTTCATGAATGTAAAGATCTTTTCCAACCTAGATTATTCTATGATTATATTCCAGTGAGCTTAATGGCAGGTCATCTGAGGGCAGGACCCTTTAGCCCCTTCATCCTTTAGATATAGATAAAGCTCATATGAATTAATATAATTAATATAATCTAATAGAATCCATCTAGTTCTAAAGTCATTAGTCAATAGGCCAGCTATTATTTGGTCTGAAATCAAACATAATTCCTTCATGGCCATGTTTATATATCCCCAAAATTGAGAATGACATCTCTTGTAGCAGATTGCAACAAGATCTGTAAGTTCTTTTAATATATTTGTAAGTCAAAAACTTACTTAGCTAAGCATTATCCCTGACTTTCTGAAAATGGATACCAGGACAACTGGATGAGTAGCCAGAAGAATTTTAGTGGGCACATATTTTTCATTTGGCATTTATCTTCTGTGATATGAGCTCTCTTATTCATCTAAACCATTTTAGGAATTTGTTACATGATCTGACACTGAAGACCTTAAAATGCTAATTCACTACCTGAATATTCTGAAAGGATCTGTCACTATTTCTTCGACCTGGAATGCTTTGGAAAGYGCAATGTAAAAGTTGTCTTTATATGTTCTGGCTTTAAAAGTTCTAAACAAATGAAGTAAATATATTTTCTCAACAAGGGAAGGATAGTGTGTCCAATCACAGGGAAAACAAGTCTACTGTAAATGAGTCCAACTGTATCCAGTCCTCTGGGAGATTTTCTCCTTTCTAACAGAAAAATCTGCAGCCCTTAGTGGCAGGCAGATAGTGTAATTCATTGCCCTCTATATGATTATTGAAAACTTGTGACACTTTCTACCTTGTACATGATAAATAAGCAAGATCTGTTTGTATGCTGAATAAAATGTAATAGGGAACAAAACAAAACAAAAGATAAGTTCCTCAGATATCCATGTCTCCTCATACCCATCCAATGCCTTCTGTGGCTAAATGCTAAACTTTAACATCAAGCACAGCTTTTTAAGGCCAGACTCTGGCATACTTTTGTCTTACCTTAACTTCTAAACTTCAGAGTCTATGCAACTTACATGGAATAGATGATCAAAAGCTCCTTGCATGCTTTCTTATAAATGCTGTGGAATCAACACCACACTGATGTATCACAAGTGATGCAGGTACTGCCATTGAATAGTCTTGAAGATACAGCACTCTCCTGAAACACATAGCATGAGGAGCCTTGTCCAAGTGTATCCTTATAGAATATGCTTTGGTTGTAGGAACTTCCAGCTTACTCTACAAATGTAATTCAGAAAACATGATAAAATTTATAAATCTTTGCAACCCAATTTCATCCATTGCACTCATAACATCAGCTGCTCTCCAGGAGAAATTTATGCTGCCTGAAGTCAGACTTGCAATTTCATTTAAAATCAATTAGCTTCTTTAGTAATAATCACTGCAATTTGTGGGTTTCCACCATTACATTTTCATTTTCTTAGATAAAGTACTAATTTGAATTTTGACAGAGGTATTCACACTAGTTCAAAAACCCCTACATTATTTTGGTTTCTAAATCTAGTGATAGAATAGATAGGCCTTTGATCTGGAAAATCAGAAAGTTAACCTTGTGTCAGTGCAACTTAATGCATGTTTGAAGCAARAAAGTATGGAAAACCTTGAGAGAGAATTCTGTGTCACATGTCCAATGCTCTTGTAAATAATAGGAATTTTGCTAGGGAGAAACATAGAAGCAAAAATTATGGGACTATAAACTGCAATATTTTTTTAATGATAGTAAAGGATAAATTTTAATACGGTGCACCCACCCAACTGTATTTAGAGTACCACAACTTCCTCTTGAGCTGGAACGATGGAGTTTCTTCCTCCTAATCCATCACTCTCATTGAAAGTGAATGTCTATACTACACTGAAAGGTCAGAATTTTTTTCTGAGATACTTAAGATACAGTGGTAAATACTGTTTAAACCTATAATACGTCAAGGTAGCATGTAACCTGTTTGTAAACTCTGTTGGCTAGTTCAGCAAATCACTGTGGGGCAGCTGGTCGTGCTGTGTGAGTGTACTTYTTCCATGTGAAATGTAAGGCTGATGAAATAGGAAATAATCAAAATGGTGTTTCCTTACATTGTTTTTACATAGAAATTGACTTTATTTATTCTACTGTTGCAGTTTGTTGATATCACATCTTGAGTGTAGTACTTCAGAATTATATATCATGATATTTTCTATTTTGTCTCTTTTCCCATGTCCATGATTATCTCTACAGACATGTCTACAGAGATATGTTTAGTCCTCCCCTGTTGCAAAGAAGCAGGAGATAATGTGTTAATTGTGCATTTTAACACAGACTTCACTGTTCAGTGCAAAATAGACAGAACTGTTGTAGAGGTTCCTCTGGATATTCTTCTGATCCACATCATTAACAATTTTGCCCTATCACAGTGATGAGGGAGTGGAAGGAACTTTCTCATTCATTTTCTCATCAAAACGTTTTTGTATGTTCTTGCTTTTCTGTTCTATTATCTTTACCTAAGATTAAATTTTTTCTTATCTTGTATTGTCCCGTGTTGCATCTAAAATTTTACAAATGCAATGGAAGATTTCAGGTGTTTTGCAAACTCTACTGAATTCTGTTTGTCACTTCATACAGACATGATATTGCTTATTCATCTTGGTGTCAGTCTACAGTAATCTCACACTTCTGATAAACTTCTACCTAATCTACTGTTTACTGTGCTATATTATTGACTATTCCTGCCTACATAGAGAACCATGCAAAATTTCAYTCCACCGTTTTAAGGTGATTTCTTCAGATAAATCAGGATTATTTTTAATTTTAATCACATTCTCTCATGCACACCAGTCTAGATCATCTGCAATATACTCTCTAATCCAAAAATCATAGCCTTTTGAGAGAAACAAAACTGAGACTGTGGTGTTTCCCAGTGAGTCCTTGGGAGAATGTTGTCCCTTGACGGGGAAATGGTTTCATATGGCAGGGAGCAGTACGTTTTCTCCTTCTCCTTGAGGCTAAACAGGAACTAAGTTTTTCTACAGTGGACCACAACTGGAGGTGAATGTCAGCAAAACTGAACCATACCAGCAGTAGTATTCCCTTGCTTTTTTTTATTTTCACTTTTGCCTAAGGGAAAAAGTGCATAAGTTTTATTACAGGTACAGGATTCCAGGAAGGGTGGGAAATCAGGTAAGCCTCAGAAATTTAGCATGAAAGAGGTTCAAAAAAGAGGCCCAGAAGCTACTAATCTAAGTACCTTATCAGTTTCTGAATAAACTTTCATTCTCCCTGGGAAGGACTGATTAGAATACCTTTACTTTTCCATCATAGAGGGCTTTATGATTATTTTGACCTACTGGTAGTTATTCCTAACAATAGGACCAATACTCATAGAAACCAAGAGTATGAGTTAATGGTGGCAGATTAATCCAGAAATTTCAGATCTGATCACTAGCTGGTTTCCTTCAGCAGTGTTAGAATACCTCTAAAAGTAGCATCTTTTATTTTATATCTGTGAGTGGCAGCTGCAAGCCTCATTGCTTTAGAGTTGTGCTCTTCCTTTTCTGTTTGAGGAGTTGAGGTAGTGCTCCTCTATCCTTGGCTACATGGAGACTGAAGCAGCAGCTGAACTCAGCTGGGTGTTCAGACTGATGTGACTGAAGTGTAGACCTACTTTAACCTGTATAGCAGGTAAAACAAAAGCACTGGGATGGCTTGGTACATACATTGGCGCATACAGCTGCATTAATATTATGTATTACATAGATCAGCATAAACTGTTACATAAACTGTTTCTGCTTTTGTTATACTTTTCCTTCTGAAGCAACTCTACAACCAGCATAAAATGGGTGTAGTTATACAGAGACAAAAAGTATTTGTCTCTCATTATTCCCTTATTTCATACTTTCAAAAATTTAAAAATTCAGAAGAATCTATGATATATTAGCTTTCCACTTTCTGTTGCAGGTGAAGGACCAACAGGAAGATCTGTAGAAGTTTTCCTTTCTGTTATTTTATGTATAATTTCAGTTGTTTTTGTGGTGGCTGCAGTATATGCTTTTGCAAGGTGAGATTTATGTATTCTTGTCATAGCATGTTTGAAAACACTCAAAAATGGTTTAAAAAGGGTTAAAACAGTCCTATAAATGAAACTAATCTGTAATTTCAAAATGTGCTGATTTATGAAGACACTTTGCAAGAGACTAAAAAAAATTCAATCTAGTAAGGGTAACGTCCATAGATGAAGAGGAAAATCCAAATTCTCCAGAGGTAAATCAGAGTTGTAGCCTATCTTAACCTTTCAGAGCCACTTCTCTATTGACAGATCAGAATGTCAACTGGTTATAGTTATCATGATGGCTAACACTGTTTACAGTTGGGTATGAAGTAAATACTCTAAATTCTTTTTTCTGTCTTACTAATAAATTTATCAGTTAAATACACTGAAGTCTCACACATGGAAGAGAAATTGAGTTTTAATTCAAATAGTGAACAAAAAGTCCATATAAAGAAGCAGGCTGATACTGCACACATGATGCAAGTTTGCTTATTCATCAGTTCTGTTCTTATTCAGCTGCATTATTCAGACATTACTAAAGGATTTTTGTAGGAAAACTAAAAGAATACACTAAAAGAATACACTAAAAGAAGCACTTAGATTATTTATTTTGAATTTTAGACAACATAATTTCAGTATTTGACTAAATTATACTGTTAGAAGGAAGACAAGAGTAAAAGCCAAGGAAAAATTCCTGGCAACCATTTTTCAATTTCAGCCTGTCAAATCAAAGTGATTACGTAATGTGTCCTTAAATCTTTTGTATGTTTATTTTTCACCATTGTTTTCCATGTAGAATTCGGCAAAAGCAAAAAGACGGAGGGACATACTCCCCCCGAGATGCTGAAATTGTTGACACGAAATTCAAACTGGATCAGCTGATCACAGTGGCAGACCTGGAGCTGAGGGATGAGAGATTTACACGGTAAGCATACTCCTTAGGCAAAACAGTAGTCCAAAGGGTCTGTAGCCATGACCCCTTTCTGACCTTTGCTTGTTTGGAAGTGTTTGTGCTGTTCTTATTTACACAGGTCACTGAGATCCTTTTTCAAAGAATGACCTCCATCCTCAAGAAACTTCTCACTAGCTTTTAGAAAATCACTAAATCTTAAGCTCTTTTTACAAGATAAAAAATCTATGTGCAAATCACTGTTTAATTGTGTTAGCCAAAGAAGGGCTACATAATTCAAACATGCAGAATTTCTGAGTTTTTTTTAGTGTCCCAACTTTTTGTGTAGGCTGCAAATTTACACAATATTTTTGAAAAAGCTAGACTCCTAGATGTCCCTGTCAACTAATCAAGAACGAATCAACTAACTAAAGAATAAATCTGTTATTGTTTAATTGACATTTAGAAAGCTTTTGGTTTTTTCAAACAAAGGGATTGGCATAACATCTGGATGTCTGTGGAGCTCAGCGCACTTGCTGTCCTAACATCTGCTCTTTCAATTGCATGTAGCAATTCATATTTTGTGTCTGAAAAAAATCTTGTCACAGATATTCATCAGAAGGAAAACCGCTTTCTGGCTTCCAGAAATATTGATATTATTGACCAGATAAATATAATTATGATTATCAATAATATGTGACATCCAACTGAATTAAAAATGTTTGGTGAACATTTTTCACTTGCCTGTATTTTCCCTGCTGTGTCACAGATGAAACACTGTGGTAGGCAGTCTCCTAAAAGATGAGAAGCCTAAAATAGTCTTGCCCTAGCAGTCAAATATCCTACTGTTGCAGACTAGGAATAGCTGGAAGATGAAAGGTGGTAGCTGTCAACCTGGGGGTTTTGTGTGTCTGTGTGGTACAGAGTTAATTGATTGCGTGTACAAAGCTGTTCAAAATAGAGCACACAAGAATGGCTGCTTGTAGCAGATGAGAAAACATACTGGGAATCATCTTGAACTCATTGACATAACGGCTGGGGCATGTTCTGTGTGGGGCACTAGTTTACATAGCAGAATTTAGTACCTGCCAATAACAGTGGAAAGCATCCTCTGAAGGCAGAGCCATAGCCAATGCACTGAGATAACTGTGCCTCAGAAAAATGATCTTGATGGATCTTCAAAATTACCTTGTTTCCGTGTTGTTAGCTGAATAAGAATAGTACTAATGTTGTTTGTATACTAAAGTGTTAATGGATTTTACTTCCAGATACTCTTCATTTTTCTTTAGACGCAAGGAGATTTTTGTCATCCAGTAAGTTTTTGTATTATTGAAGCAACATGGTGTGTTTTTCATTCTGTTCTCTTAACCTGTGTGTTATCGCACTATATTGAATGATATAGTTAATCAAAATGAATTGTCAGTCTTTGCAGCTATTCTGATGACAAACAGTGGTATTTGTCATCATGAAATCATGTTTATTTTTAGTCCCTAATGTTGAGTTGTAGGAGTCATTATTTTGAAAAAAATCAGGGCAATTTTAACCTGGAAATTATAAAACATTTTGGCAAATAGCCCTGATATATACAATATATCCTTGAAACAAAGGTAGTGTAAATGTGATGTACAAAACATGCTGTTTCTTTCCTTTGAAAGTTAGAATGTATATGATTTAGAGAAATTAGAGTTTTTCTTCAACTCTCTTCTTTACCCACACTGGAGCTATTTTATATTTTGACCCTACAATCTCAGCTTTATATCCACACAATCAAATCCTTTTCCAGTTTGCAGATAGCATTCTCTTTTCTGTCTAAATTATGTGTAGTTTAAATTTTTAAGGTTTAACTCTCTAAAGGGTAATCGATAACTATAATAATTCATACTTATATACACTTCATTACATGATTTATACACAGCAAGGCCTTTACTGAACAGTGCTTCTGCAGCTTTACAATAGTTAGTTACATTACCCTTATTTCAATGAGTCAATCTCACATTTTTGGAGATTTTTCATGTCCTTCCATGTATATTGTTCTCTTCGCTCCTTCCAACCATCCTTTAAGCAAAGACTCTCTGCTTCTGTCATTGTAAGGTACAGGATGCAGCTGTTAAAATTTTGCATTATTATTTTTTCAACTGTAGTGGCATTGGAGCTACAGCAGGCTGCTTGGCCAGGTTCTTTGTTGAACATTATGGCAAACTGCTGAAGTGCATTTCACTAGTTAAGAGCTACTCAGGACAGGATTTATGACATCTTTTCAGCTGAAAGACAGAAAATGTCCCAAGGTACTCTATTAGATAACATAACACAGTAATAAGGGGTAGGATATTCTTTACCTGTTAAAAATTTTGTAGTTTACTATGGCTTTTTTTTTTAAGCTTCAAAGAATCTTTCACTATGTGAAATATTCTGTTTTGGTAAGGTCAATGGCCAAAAGGGACATTTTAGGTGTCTCTCATGCTATCCTTAATAGAGCTACATCCTTCCTTACAACAATGGGCTATATCAAGGAACTGGCAGAAGCATGGCGGCATTTACCAAGGCAGTTTACTGCAAAACCTAATGACTAAAATATTTTTGTTTCCTATTTTTAGACTTCTGTAGTTGCACCATAAAAGAACTTCTGTACCTGTTACAATTGGGGAACAGCTATGTGGATGTCAATCACGGTCCCAGTCCTTATGTTGACCCTATCACTCTCACAATTTGTGGTTAAAGCAGTGACATGTTCGCAGGTTAAATTATTGTGTTATATGTTGACAGGTAACAGTACAACCTTCACCAATTTCCCATGCATTTGGAATGGGCATCGCTGCATCTGTACCATCTACATTGGCCACATTTAGGCAGCTATCTCAGCTGTGTTTGCAAAGCTTGCTGTGTTTCAGCTTTTGGCATCTTGAAAGTGTATGGGGAAGGCAAAGATGGACAGACTCCTTTACCAGTCTGGCATGTTTGTATTTTTCAGACAGCAGTAAATCAACTGAAATGTGTCCATCTTCATGGGGTTAGTGTGAAAATCATAAGTGATAAAAGAACAATATAGATTTTTTTCCTCTACCTACTAATCAACCCATTCTAGCTACTAATCATCCCATTCAGTGCTCATTTGAAGGGGGTATTTTAGAAACCAGGTTTTTTGCCACTTTTTTGACATTACATTATTTAGCTACTATAAATCAATAAAGGCACACACTTGCAGCTGACATAGATCATCCAGAAAATCAAAATACTCTGGCCTGCTCCATAAGATCCTTCTTGATTGTCTCTCATCCATCATCTCTGCAGACATTCTCTCATACTTAGCAGATCATGGTTTATGATCTTGGCTCATATTCTCAGAAAATTTTTGCAGCTGGTATCTCGTGAGAAAAACAAAGTGGAAAAATATTTGTCTGTTCTGTATGAATATGACTGCCAATATGTTTTATCATTCTTAGATCAAAAATTCAGCATTTTGAAGCTCAGCAAATGTTCAGCATAGGTTAATCAAAGCATTGTCTTTCATGAATTTTTAAAACTTTCATAATACAAAGTATTTTGCATTATAAATGTCAGTTTGAGTRGAAAAACAGAAATTTAAAAGTGTGAAGCATCCCATTTTAACAATTTTGAAACTTTTTTGTGGGTAATATTTTTTTTCCAGGAATTATGGGGAAATCCCCATTCCCAGTAGTAATCTTTTAACATAATGGTCATCATAAAAAAAATATTTACAGGCTTCAGAGTCTAAAATTACTAATACTAACTAGTATATAGACAYTGTCTCAACAAGTCTTCATTAAGAAATTAATCAATTGGATGTAATTTCAGAGGGCATGCACTAAATTCCATTGAATTTAGTGGAAAATGAGATCTTCTTTATGAATCCAAAATGCTAACTTTGAATGTTTGGGACACACGTTGCATTCCATGATGGAGATAGAGATACTGCGAGACTGATAATAACAATAAAAAACAACTTTGTTTAAAACATATATAGCCCATTAGTCCAAACTGGATGAAACACTCTTTCATTAAGCACACTGAATATACATTTACTGGGTGCTCTCATTACTTGCCTTTTATWTGTCCACAAGGTTTGCCAAGTCAGTCTTCAAAGAAGACACTAACTCTTCTAGATTCTGTCCCTAAATTTTCAGGGTACATCAGGTTTGGTGAGAGACAAGTAACTCTTCCCTATTCCAGGTACTTACCTAGGAGACAATCTGTCTRGCACCCTAATTTTGCAGTGGTTTCTGCAGCAAGGATAACGCCATGTAGATTCTTAAATCTTTCCTTGAGAAGTTGCACCTTGTGGTTGATCTTTTGATGCTTTTGTTTCACTCTATGTGAGATGGCTTGTCAAGCAAAGGAGGTCAGAAGAAATATTTCTGCATTAATGACACTGTAGCCCTTGAAAATATTTCTGCATTACAGACACTGTAGCCCTTGCAAATATCAGGTAATTAGAACTCCTTATGGAGAAGTATTGTACAGAAAATTATTGTCTGACCTTATCTTTCCTACATACTATGCATTCAGTAGGTGTCTATTTGAGGTAATAATTTTGCGTGCACATTAATTTCTATAGATCAGCCTGATTCTTTCTTTGTGTAAGCAAACCTGTCTTCTTTTGAGTAGGGATAGGCATGGCTTCTGCCTTGCATTTTTCTTCAACAAGTTTCCCTTTAGTAATCAGCTATCACAAATAGGCTTCCTGAAGTTTATATCCCAGGAGAACAAGGTTTATTAATGTATGTGTCCTGGTACAATGGAAGAAATGACCATGTGTTCTCTTTGCTTAGGACTTTAATATGTAGGAAGGGTTAAGCACCCTATTGCTTTCAATTAACTTGATAAAAATTAGTTCCTCTGCTGGTCCTAGGAAGTGTCAGTGGTGCTTATGAGTTAAGCCTTTTGCCTACACAGTAATTTCTGTAGTTTTCTGGTTGGACGAAGCTTTAATTCCCTGTGGATTTCAGATGATTGACCCAGAGAGAAAGCTGAGTCTGTGTGACAATATGTCCTCAGTTATCACTGCCAACATAAATAAATGGCTTCTTTCTAGCTCTATCATAAGTAATCTGAGTGGGATTCAGATTTTTGATAGTCTTCAAAAAAAACCCCATACATGAAACAATACACTGTTTTAAAGAAAAWCAGATTTAAGGCAATAAAGCATCCTTTATCCTAGAGAATGTTTTTCTTTCCTCATTTCAAAGTCAGACAAGTGGGAATCTGAAATGGTCCAGCTGAAATAGAGAAATTTTCAACTTCATGGTTTGATTTTAAATTGTGCTTATCAAGATCTAGTGATATTTATATTTTTTAGTTTTATAAAAAGCACTGGGAAATGTGGAGGACAAGATTACAGATAGATGACTATTTTTTCATTGACAAAAGGTTGTAAAATTATTACTATGTATTCCAAGTCAAGAGACATGGAAAAAATACTATATTTTTAAGCCTGTGCTGATGCTGAAACTGTGCATTGCTGGTAGCATTTAATGAGAACCCAAATTTAATCCCCTCTGAAGATCCTTACACAACAAAGCCAACACCTTTGCCACAGTTAGACAAGCTAGGCATTAACTTTTCTACAAGCATTTTAAAGTAAATCATCTTATTTTCTGAACTGCCAAGCCACTGCTATGTGCACTTGCTGCTAACAGAAGTGTGGCAGTTCAGTAGTTCCAAAACCAAGTTTTTCACATAAATTCTCACAGATAGGTTAAAGTATCAATCCATAGATGCCTTGCTTCTTAAAAAAAGGTATGCTGTTGGATCTGTGTACCTTCATCACTGAAACTCTAAATGGCATACCTGGATTGCTTATGCACAGCATAGAAGTAATTTTTATTTCCTAATGACCAAACTGCCTTTTCTTACTCAACTTACGTGCAGTTAGCCCCTCATTGCTAAAAATTTGAGAGGAGAGCTAACTGTATTTGAAAAATTACTGGAATGTCAACTGCAACATGATTTTTTCTGTTGTTCTACAGGGATGATAGGTAAATTCAAAGAAAAAAAAACAAGTGTAATTTCCCTTCAAAGTCTGCTTATAATTTGTTCCTGAAAAAAAGTCTGGCATAAATTTTATTTTCTGATCATAGACAAATATATATTTCTGTGCAGTAATATTCTGTAACAGATATTAAAATTCCTTTTCTTATTAGAAAACTTTAGTTCTATAATGTTGCCAATATTACTAGAAGATAGTTGCATCTGCCACATTATGCAAAGGACTTATGTGATACAATAAGCACAAGCTATATCTCTAAACATTCTGAATAAATTCTGAATTGCATGTCTTATTGCTTTCTTTTTCACTCTGAAGCTGTCATTTCTATTTCTGTGAATGCTTACACTTTTAACTCCAGTGAGACTGATCCAGTAAGGCTTAAAGAGCCATTTTGCTTTGTGTGAAGATAACTGTTCTGACAAAGTATGTGCCACAAATGTGTCCTCAGTAGCTTTGAAATTAACTTCTTTGATGCTTAAGAATAAATTATTCAACAATCATATTAATCTAATTTTATTATCTCAATTATTTTTAAAGCAATTTTTTCCTTTCCTACTAAAATTATGATAGCAATAGAGTAGACATTTGTAATGTCTAATTTTTTTGTAATATTTTCTGTAATAATGAATGATTTTTGGAGAAACAGACACAGAAAAGGGACTTTGAGATTTTTTTTTGAAGGAGCAGGTCATCTTTAAATTGTATTATTTCAAACTTTTTTTGCTTGGTCCTTTAGACAAGCTTTGTGAGTCTGAGTGCTCTAAATTTGGCTTCTAAATCAAATTTAGAAGTCAATTGTGACCAAGTTTCAAGGCCATCTGAAAATCCCCTGCCTATAGATGTTCATGTATTATCTTCATGAAACTTGCCGTGAGATCAAGTTAAAGATTTAATACGTATTACAGTTGTTAAAATTGACACATACAGAAACAGCAGCAAACATGTGAAAAATGAACATGAAACCAGGACAATAATTTTTTTAAATCTTTAGAAAAACAACCAGAGCTGTGGTTTCTGTAGAGACACACCATCAGCATGATTCATCTGTTACTTATTTTAGATATCTGCTTTGACTTAGGTGAAATGACACCTATTTCTCTTCACTGATGATAAAAGAAATCTAGAGGGACTAACTAAGAAGGAGGTGTCTGTGTTCAGTCAGATTAATCCTATCCTTATGCTCTGAAATGGCCCTTAGAAGAATGATATTGGGTAAATCATGCAAAATTAAGCCTGTCAATGTATGTGTAATGATGTGCAGAAAGTATGGATTTCCCATGGCCATATGAACCCAGAACACTGTAAAGTGACCTAAAGAGAGAGATAGAAATTGTAATTATTTTATTCCTATCTGCCAATACTGGAGATAAAAATTAATCAAGACAATCATTCAAGATATCTGAATTTGAATCCATAAGGGAAACAAGTCTTTAGTTACTTGGTATTTAGAYTCTATTAACATGCACAATATTGGTTAACTCTCACCTTGCTACATTTGACAAAAATCTCTGTTGCAGGTTACTTAGTTATAGAAAATCCATCAAGTAAGTTTATTAAACATTCTTATGTTGTATTCATTGGTGAGTTACAATGTGTGGTTCCTTCTTCTATATTTATTAGAAAAACTCCATGCTACATATAAATCATAAAAGCATGACTAATTGCATGGTAACCGGAGAAATGCTTTCTCTCTCTCTGGGGTGAAGACTGCATGTCTGTGTTTTAGCTTGGGAAGTAATACAGGGTTATTTAAACTCCTTAGGATTTAAAAACCATGTCATTATGAGAATGAGGTCACTGCAATATTTTATGAGTCTAAAACCTTGCAATGTATAAAATATTTTCTGTGTGACAAAGAAGTTCTGCGTACCCTAGGATGCAATAAGTTTACAAATTTACTTTAATGTCAAAACCTTGCCTTGAAGTAATGTTACCTTTAAAACAATCATGATCTACAGTACTTTTAACACTAGCAACATTAAAAATTTTGTGAGGGGGAACAAGAAAGGGATAAAATATTTCTCTTTTAAGTGATCAAAAAGAAATCAAGTAAGCATGCTGTAAGCAGTTCATAATTTTCTGCCTGTATCAGTTTCCATTGAACTGGGAAAATGTTTATTGATAAACTGCATTTAAAGAAAAAGAATGACAAAGACATTCTCTATGGGTTTCTAATTTTTCTATTCTTACTTTCAGGCCAGTAAGCAAGAAATCCTTTCTACAACATGTTGAAGAACTTTGCACAAACAACAACCTAAAGTTTCAGGAAGAATTTTCGGTACGTTGCTAGCAGTTGTCACAACATCGCACGACCTTCAGTCGTTTCATGTGTCACATTTCATGTCCATTTTGAGCAGAAAAGACCATGAAGGACTCTGGCCTTGATAATCAATACCCAGTTACCAGGCTGATTGTTTAGAAAGTAATATTACACTGATTTGGATTCTTCAGTCTATACTGCAATGTGGTCAGAATTATTCACCTTAGTGTCAGGAAAAGATGATCTTCTTTAGTCTCCAACCTTTCAAGACCACCATATTTATGTTTTTACATCTGTAGTGTTGCATATGTAGTTTACCTAAGAACAAGTTATTTAGAGTTTTCTAGCATATATATAACACAGATATATTTAACTGCAATAAATATATTCGTTTTTCTGCATGATGATGACTCCAAAAGCACAGTGGATGTTCATTCTGTGAAACTTTCAGGCCCTAGTCATACTGCCATGTAACTCAGCAATTTTTTTATTTCATAGAGTTTAGTACAGAAAGGAAAAGGTTTCTGCATGGTACTTTGCTTTTTGTTCCTCTACAAGTAATAGGTCATATTTGTTATGCTCTTGAGAATAGCTTCCATGTGAATAGCCTCCATGTCCTTACATGAGCAGATGAACACAGCAAGCCTATCTTTCTTTCTGAGAAGAGCCTAGTTCTCAAAATATACATTACAGATAATATAATGGATTTATAATTTCAAATTTAAATCTCAAAGTCTTCATTATTTTAATTAATATTATATGGCTATCATATTCTTTTCTCAACAATAACTTCTTGTTATTTCAGAACTTTTATCATCATTATCTTTCTTAACACATACAGTCATTTGCCCAAAAATGGTTTGTTGTGTCCAGTGACTTTATTATTTTGGATTTATAAATTTACCATGAATAACTCACCAGTTGGATTAACAAAAATGAAAATGTAACAATTGGCTTTTCTTCTGCTAGATTAAAATATTTCTGTTTCCAAGGGAACACTAACAAAAGTGTATAAAGTTTAATGGCATTTTCTACAGTTTTTCTGTTATGCTCATTAGGTAAAATTGGTCTGGATTTAATAATATAAAGCACCATAAAATTCTCAGAGCAATAAAGTAAGAACTTTTTTTCCTAAAACCAGACGTGTTATATCACTTGAGCAAGAATGATTATAGTTACGTTATCCATGACTGAACAGATGAAAATTTTACTATCAATAACACTTTCACACATTAACATTCATTTCTAGAAAGTCTCTAGTACTAATTTATTTAGGTTTGACCCACACTGGGTAAACTTTACAGCATTGTAATGCCTTGAATCTTAAGCAAGAATGTTTCATCAAATCAAAATCTTTGCAATCCATTTACAATTTAGAGAAATACGAGAAGCTGAGGCCTCCTTCAAATAATTTATATAATCAACCTATAATAGGCAGTGGACATTTATTATATGTCATTTAGGTTTTCAGTCTTTTTTCTCTCTGAGCTTCAACTTCCATGTTTCAGAGAGTAATGATATCTTCCCAGATGACTTGTCCTAGGGCAGGCAGAATTTCAAGGTAGGTTCAGTGTCTCATTCAGAGTGTGTCTATATTATTTGTAGCTCGTCTCAACAGATAATAAATAGGATTTACCACACACTTGACATTGGTAATGACAATGCTCAAGAACAGGCAGTGCAACCAACAAACAAGTAGACCTCATTATCTGCATTGTTTTAATCCACATTCATAATTTTACTTTTACATTAATGATGTGAGGGTCCTGTAATGTGTGTAGGAAAGATTAGCTCAAGATATAAAGCCATGAACATGATGTAAACCCATATCTGAAGCACATAACTAAGTGGTGAAACGCTGGAACAAGTTGCCCATAGAAGTTGTGGATGCCCCATTTCTAGAAGTGTCCAAGGCCAAGCTGGATGGGGCTTTGAGCAACCTGTCTAGTGGACAGTGTCCCTGCCCATGGCAGCATGGTGTTGGATTAAATTATGTTAATGTCCCTTCCAATTCAAACCATTTTATGGTTCTATGAAAAGCATAATGCTGAGTTTGCTTGGCCTCTCTGTCTCTGTACAAGCACATTCAAGTGTGCTGGGAACTAAATATGAGAATGTGATAATTTACACTAATAAACTACTAGTACATTCCCTGTGTTGAATTTGGATTGTTTCAGCTGCCTTGCCTTCTTGGAGAATTGCAAGATAGCTTTGGCAGGTAAAGTAGTCAAGGAATCATTTACAATAGATAGTTTGCAGGCAACAAACATGGTTTGGAGTTTTCCAGCATAAATGTGACTCTTCCCATTTTATTGAGTCTTGTTGGTTTCATCTAATTTGTTGGATTGACCAAGCTTCAGTACCAGGACCTCTTCCGGGTTTAGTCTTGGTACACATAGGAACATGACCTGAGTGTAAATGTGACAAGATAAATACACACCTCAGAATGGACCTGGATGGATTTCTTGTCAGAAAATACAAGTTTAAAGAAACCATAGGGAGCCAAAGTAACTGATGAGGGACACCACCTCACTGCTATTCAAGCTTTCTAGCTGATTCCTGTGTCTCAACATATTTGGGAATTTATGCTTTTCTAGTAACTGGCAATTTACTGAAACAGAAATACTTGTATAATATTTCTTTTATGTTAAGTTCTGTTCATGAATAAAAAAGTGAAATACTTCCAAATGTTACCATAGTGCCATAAAGCTACTGCAGTAAACAAAATGCAAATTATTTGTTTCAAAGTTTTATGAGTTTGCAAAGAAACAAGGTTTCTGTGRTAAGTTATTACTGAGCCTGGAAACCCAAACAGTCCTTCCCCAAATCTGAAAAGAATAATTTAGACTGAAATCCATACTAATGCAGAGAAGGGGTACAAGGCTTTTGTGCACTTGTTCAGTTATGGAAACATCATGAAAATAACATGATCGGCTTCTCTATTTCCTCTCTACTAGAAAGTGGTTTACAATGGTGCTATTTCTACACTGATTAACTGGCAAGCTAAAACTTGGAGGMGTGAGGCAAAGGAGACAAGTTAAAGTTCACAAGATACATGATTCCAAAATACCTGCACAATGCAAAATAAGCATTTTGGGTATGTCCTTCCTTCATGAAAACATTCAATGATAGAAACCTTGTGGGAGAGTTTCAGCTTTCTGAATGAGAGGAGTTTTAACATTTCCTCCTTTAACAGTGTTTTACACATACAGCTGACAAAATATTTGAATTAATGAAAGAAAACCACTGTAATAAACAGTCCTGGTTTTCCATTTTTCATTACCTCCCTCATTTATTTATTTATTTGCTAGTAGATTCCCATTACATTTTATTTACAAAAGACAAATTGTCTCAAATACCTGGGCAAAAAAGCACTTGAAAATAATTAATAATGAGACAGATAGTAAGGCTATCTGTCCAACTTTTGGAAGTAACCCATGCAGACAGTAGCTATTAAAATTAAAAGACCAATTTGAAGGGATTACTCAACACAAGCAACAAAATGTCATATTCAAAACAGTAGGTAGATCATTTAATTTATATCTTAGATACATATAAAAAACACTTTCATATAAAATCTATGAAGCAAAGAGAAATTCCATTAAATTTAGAATATATTTGGGAATCTGTCTTTTCTGAATTTTCTTTTACCACAAGAAGATCATCACTTTAATACATTTTCTCTATTAGGTTCTGAAGTTGCCTTCACTCTTTTAATCAATTTTGTAAATTATACCTGTTTATGCCCACAATCATCCCCATCAAGTAAGTTCCTCAGCATGATTTATCCATCTCTGTCCTACAGTAATTGAACTAATGACCAGTTACAAAACTGCAGTACAACCCAAAACAACTCTTTCCACCCTTTTCACAGACTGTCCCATGAACAATATCTCATTGCCAGTTGTCTCAATTAAATTCTCATTAGTTCTCATGCTGTACCTCAACCTCTCCCAATATACAGGAGTCAGGAAAAGGCATTATTCAAGACTAAGGCTGAGTCAGTAGGGCACAGTAACCAAGCATGTGATTTCATGGAAAAAAAACAGGAACGAACTGCAAAAGGTGATAGACTGACTTTATCCAGGCTTGTAAAGGTGAAAGTTCATGTAAGCTTAATTGTTCAACTTGACAGCATTGTCTGCAGTGCTGCATCCAACATTGCTGGTGTAACTGGGGTTGACGTGAGGTGGAAAGCTCTGTAGTGCTTCCAGCTGTTCTTAGAAATTCAGTATTGCAGAACYGTAGAGTTTTTCCTGTTACTGGATGATTGTGTCATATTTTAAATTCACTCAAAATTTTCCAACAAACATTTATTCCTCTGCAGGAACTTCCCAAGTTTCTTGAAGACCTTGCTTCAACTGATGCTGATCTGCCTTGGAACAGGTCTAAGAATCGTTTCCCAAACATAAAGCCATGTATGTGTGTTTATTGACCAGCTCCTCCATTTTGCTCTTTACTTTCAATAGTATGACATATATTTGGAATGCAAGTGCATTTTTGTTTGCTCTGTCTTTGAAATAGTGGCACAGTCATGTCCACTTTATGAAATAATTTTCTGTCAAGTAATCTGTCTTTGTGAGGTTTTTTTAAAGACAGTTTTATTTGCAAGTAGCTTTCAGCTTGCTTTCACAAGCTTTAATATGCAGGTGCAAGAAACTGTAGCCTCAATAGTTTCTGGGCTTTGTAATTCAAGCCATGTAGCAAACGCTTTAACATTCTTCCTAGTTGATTTTTCCCCCCTTTAGTAAGGCGTAATTTTTTAAACATATAAAATCCATATGTTTGTGCATTCAGCTACCTCAGGAGTCTGGATATGCCTTCTTGTGGATTTGTACAAAGGTTCCACAGAAGATCAGAGTTACTGTATGATAACTTATAAGCCCAGGATAGATATTATCACAGGAGACAGGAGCCTGTCTCTCTATACTCAGCACTGCTTCATTTTTCAGTTAATAAGACAAGAAATGTCATTATTGTTTTAGGCATTAGCTGTGATGTGAGATGAAGTGCATGGCATTCCTTGGTTAATAATGCTACATTCTGTGCTATTAACTTTTCAGAGCAGCTGTTCCTGCTATCTACTGCCTTGCTCAAGATCTACTCCAAGTTACAGTCACTGAAAATTTATTTTCATGACACACAATAAAACATAAACTGCTATGTTTCATAAATACTTAAATTGGTGTTCTAATGTTCTTTTCTAAGTTGAAGACCAAAGACCAAAATTCTGGTGTTACACATATGACAGAAACATAAAATGTTTCTTGGATTTTATAATTTCTGCATTCGTACTGTGGGACAAAATCAGAAATCCTCCCCCTTTTTTTTTTAAATAACGACTTAACCTTATGTAAAAAAAAAGTAAACTATGGAAAAATGCCAGAATCTGGCTCAGATCTGTGACCTAGGCAGCAAGTGAATAGAAAAAGCTATCAGATCCCTGACACTGCTCTCTGATTCACACAGAAGTTGTGTGTGCTAGAACAGCATGGCTTGAACTCCACAGGCTACTTTTAGGCAGAGAATCCTCCATACATACATTAAATTGAAAGTTTTGGCTCATTCACCATTTAAATTAAAAAGTATTATATACAACATGTCTGGAACATTAAATAAAGACCTTAAAGAAATGGAAAACAGTTAAATTACCTTTGTAATTAGTGTTCTACTCTATCAAATATTGTTAGATTAGCAATAATAACAGCAGTTTTGATTTCTTAGAATTCCAGGAACTTGTTACATGTTTTATGGTTTTTGAACAAATTTTTTAGTTAACTAGACTTTACTTCTATGATAGATAATAACAACAGAGTAAAGCTGATGCCTGATGCTGGTATTCCTGGATCTGACTACATTAATGCCAGCTATGTGTCTGTAAGTAGAAAGTCTCTCCCAATTTCACTGTATTTGTTTTCTTGTAGAAAAAAAAAAAGTGGAAAAAAAACTTGCAAGGAAAAAGAGAATTCTGATTTTTCTTTCACTCACTATTGTCACTGCTGTCATGACATTGTTCAAGTGATCCCTACAGCACTAAACATGACTAGTTAAAAATATACACATCCTATTTTCATTGCTAAGCAATGATTTCCAGTAATAATCAAAACTGTGTTCAGCAAATTGCTTTTTATAAATTATCTGATGCCATTATCATCAAAGACAGTAGTGGAAGTCCCATTAAGGTCAACTGTTTGCATAGATGTTATTTGGTCTCTTGGTTCAGGAGTTAAAGTTGTTGTATATGAATAGGACAATGCAAAGATAACTAAACTGAAAACTTTCATAGAAATTGGAAACAATTTTGGCATGCTTCTTATTATTTTGTGGAAGTTATGATGGAGGAAAATTATAACAGACTTCTTGAAGAAGAAACTAATACTATGTTTTTCATCCTCAACTTTCTTCCCAGACTTTCCATTTTCATATTGTGTACTCAGTAAATTCCTCATCTATATTTTTATCTCATTTTGGTCCTGTTGAAACTCCAAGTGTGAATTTTAGCTATGAATTTAATCTCTTCTAGCAGTGTCTAGTGATCTCCCATGAGGTCAAGACTTGGTTTACACTAAACACTCTTCGAACACACAGCAAGACATGCAGAATGTAGTCTAAACAGATGATTCAAAGAAAAGTAGAAGTAGTTATTTCCAAGTAACTAAGAGACATTACAGAGAATAAGCAATAGAGCTGAGACAATCTTCCTTTCTCATTAGCAAATGCTATTTATTCCCTTTGTATGGAATGTCTTTGTTCTGAGAGTTGGCAGATAGGAAGAACCATGCCACTCAATGCTGGGACTGAGCACAGAATGAGTGAGGAGAAAGCAGGCAGCTTGGTGCATGGTCTAGTCTTTACACTTCCTGTCATGACAGGCCAAGTCTTAGGCATGGAACATGAACAGCAGCTTCCAAAAAACGGCGTCAAAAGCCAACAACAGAGTGCTCCCTGCTGGGATTTTGTTTGTCTACGTACATTTTGAGTGACCACTCCTCAGTGAATAGGCAATTCCAATGTTATAGTTTCTCATGGCTAAAGTTTTGCCCTTTACATGGTCTCACTTTCCATATGTGTAGATGCATAAATATATGAATTAATATAGCTGTAAACATGAAATATGCATGTAAATTTACATACCTAAATATCTAAATCTTTTTACATATGCACACATGTAAACAGAGGAAAAAAGTATTGTATTCAATTTTAACAAATGGGAACACTGCTGTTACTCTTACTTTCATTGTTAAATGAAGTCAGTAACTGAACTGTGAGCTTTGCATCCCGGAATTACAGTTTCTCACCTCTCTCTTAAACTAGGGAGGATTAACATAGTTTCCCACTGCCACCTGTTCTTTATATTATAGATGGAGAAAGTATCAGGCAGCTGTGAATTATAGGGCTATAATTCCAAAAAGAAGCTTTGGTGGTGCTATAAACCACTGTGACAATTGTTTTGAGCAATAAGCAGAACTCGGATATTATAAACTGCTAAATTATAAGTTTATTGCTATTATCATTATTATTGTTATTTTAGACTTTCTGTAGTACACAATAGGTCATGTAGGTACATTTCTGTTCTATGTGAACCCATGCACTCACAGCTCTTACACAGATTTTTTCAACAAACTTCCTTCTTCTCAAGTTTTTCACTAATTTATAAATTAACTAAAGAGCAGAAGCCAACTCTAAAATAAGTCAACACCTAGAGTAGGTGTCTTGAACGCCTTTCATCACAGAACRTTTATTTGAGTAAGCTCCAAAAGTAAGTTATAGCAGATCGCTGACAATCACCAAAGAGCAAGGTCATCAGTGTGTGTATTACTTGCACTGACTCTCCGACTGCTCCTTATTTGTTTCCCTGGTTCCACGGCTCCTTAGTGCTTTTTAATTCTACTTTGTTGGCCACCTCTTGACACAGTTCTTGGTGGCCTCTGGCTGGATCTGCAGTAAAGTTACTATGAAGGCTTAGATATTTTAAAGTAGGAATTGATTACTTGATGTCCCTGTAATTTCTCTTCTAAATGCATTTCTATTACCATGGCACTTTCTGTACCTTAGTAGAGTGTTGATTCATAACTGGACTACAAAAAAATGCCATTACTTCCTTAGTTTTCCAAGGCAGCCTGCCATGCAGTGATTAGCCAGGCAATGCCAATTTACTTAGTATGTCTGACAAGGTTTTAGCCTTAGGCATGGCAGATACAGGCACAACTGTGAGTTAAATTGAAACTCTTCTGTTTCATTGCCAACCATTATGTATTAAATACTTTCTCTTTCTTAGGGTTATTTATGTCCAAATGAATTTATTGCAACTCAGGGACCGTTACCAGGAACAGTGGGTGATTTCTGGAGAATGGTGTGGGAGACAAGAGCTAAAACACTTGTGATGCTCACACAATGTTTTGAAAAAGGACGTGTAAGTTTCCAGTGAATCAATTAAAAGCATTTGATATAATTGGAAATTTTGTATGTAGTCTCTGTCAAGATTATAATATGATAATTTTTAATTAATTAGTAATCATCTACCTGCAGATAAGATGTCATCAGTACTGGCCAGAAGATAATAAACCAGTAACTGTGTTTGGGGATATAGTGATCACTAAATTGATGGAAGATGTTCAGATAGACTGGACCATCAGAGATCTAAAAATTGAAAGGGTAAGCCAGAACTTGAAGTCGATTGAAAAAAATTCATCCAACACCCCAAAGAACATCAGATATGCTATATGCTATATGCCACACAAGTGCTCCCTCAATATTCTTCTTTTAATATTTTAGTGTATTTGCATTGTACTGCCTGGTTGTCCTGCATTTTGTTTTCATTCATGTTTTCTTTCCTGAGAACTTCTGTCACAAAGAGCTCACGAGTTTCTCCAACCTGCTATGAAGGGCCTATTAACGTTACTGAACCTGTGGTCTGTTGGAAGGTGAAGTTTCTACTTGGATACCTCAGTGTCTGCTCTAGAAAGGAGTAATCCTTACTATCCTGAGATCAGACAAATCCCTTGGAATGTATCCCTCTCAGATTAAAGGGCAAGATTCTCTGGTGCAGCTGTTTTGCATTGTACCACCAGCCATTGGCCTCCACCCCCAGGAGATTGACCCAGTATAAATGAGAATCATCAGTATTACTCCCACCCTTTGTGCTGGAATGCAGGAGTAGCGGTACACCAGAGATCTTCACTTTTGTTATGATCCACAACTATAGCTTCCACACTTTGGAAAAATTATAACCCAGCATTAAGTCAGAACAGCAGGTGGGCTCAAAAAAACAATCTGGTAATAATGACCCAAAATTAAGTCAACCTTCTTTAGCACTTTCAACATTGATCTGTGTTGTATGTAGTGCAGCCAGATCCTAGGGCCTGAACTAGGATCCTGCAAAAATTACCATCCTGTGGCATGTTCATGTGACAAAAGGCACACAGCAGCCTGGGGCTTGTTTCAACAGTCACCCTGCGAGGATATGTTGTGCACACAGTACAGAGAAGTTGAACATTTTAAAATTACTGAGAGCAGAKACACCATTTTTTCAGCTAAAAATAGAACACAGAGAAATGAGACCCAAAAAGGGACGATTTAGAATAAGAATGCATGCCAGCAAAATTTGAAATCACTTGTGTTAATGAGGGTGAGGCTGAAAAGAAGATAATCTGAATTGACTGAGTGATCCATTTCCTGCAGCTGAACTGCCCTGCACAAGAAGCTATGCTCTCAACAGCCATGCCATTAAATATGTTGTATTACTGGTTTTAAGATTGTACTTCCATTCACAAATGGATGGATGCTTGATGATCTTCCAGTGAAGGTAAAAAGCACATGAGAAGCAAATAACTCAATATCATGCCATTGTGCATCCAAATTTTTCTTTCATTTTTATGTCGATCTGTTCTAAAAAAATAGTGCAAAGCAAAGTAGTTGCTACATATAACTGTTCACAGTTGTTCAACACTCTGCAGTATGAAAGAAGAAAGTGAAGGGTTCAAAAGAAATTTTAAAAAATAGGAACTGGTTCATTACATAACAATTGATTTAACTGTGGTACTCCTTGCTCCAGGATACAGTTTTTAGAATACTAAAAACTTACAAAGATTAAAAAAATCTGCATAAATCAGTAAGAGAAAATCCTGACAAGAACTATTTCAATTTATTGTCTCTGGCTGAGGCAGCTCACAAGTCAGAAACTATTAAGAATGGAAAGGATATTCTGGGGAACTACAGATATATTCTTGTCATGTTTTATAATGTTCCCTAAAACTTTTTCTTGCTTACTGCTGGAAATAGCATATTGATCTAGACAGGCCTTTGGAATCATCCTATTCTTTCATTTTTACATACTTCTAAAGTAATCTAGGTATCAGATCAGAACCTCTTTTTTGAGGTTACTGTTGCTGCTGCTCAGATTGAGAGAGCATAAAGACTTAGAAAAGGTATCTGTATTTACCAGTCTTTGTGTGCTTGCCTTCACTACATGGGATCGATCTCAGAGTGGTTGTTTTTTCCTGAACAGATATGTCATCCCAGCTCACTAAACCTTTAAATGAGCCATAGAAACTTAAACCTGCAGTCTACAAATTACACTGATATAATGACTAAAGTCAAATGAAGAGTGAGTGCTGATGTCACTATCACTTCCTGAAAAATGCACTTGATGCCATCCGTCRAAAAACCTGCTGGAAGTTCTGTGCACAAAAAACTTATCTCTTCATGCCAATAAATCTTATAATTATTATGTCATTCTAATTTTTTTTTTACACAAAATTGCTGAGAAGGTTACATGGAGCTTACTGAACCTTCTGTAGGATTTCTTCTGTAAAAGCTGTGTTATTTTATATTTTCCAGCATGGAGACTGCATGATGGTGAGGCAGTGTAACTTTACTTCTTGGCCAGAACACGGAGTTCCTGAAACTACTGCACCAATTATCCATTTTGTAAAACTTATCCGTGCAAATCGAGCACACGATAACACACCAATGGTGGTTCACTGTAGGTAAGCATATTCACCAAATCATTGTTTAGTATCTTAGAATTCCAGGAGCATATTAATGCACACAGAAGTTGCCAGAAGAACAACCAGCAAGACAGAGTGCACAGATATGGTTCTAGAATGGACAGCAGTGAAGGTTTCTCTAGCAGTTCTTCTTACTCCTTTCTGGAAGGTAAAATGCCAACGTATGCCTGCTCTTCCATGTGTGGAAATCCATTGAGGCAATGTCAGGGAAATAATTACTCCAACAATTGCCATAAAGTACACCTGGATTTATCTCCATTTTCCTCTTTAATCATGAGAAGAATTTGTGATGATTTAAATTCTATTATAATTAGGGCTCTTCTTAAGAAGCAAGTATTAAAAATATATTTAAAATGTACATGCCATGTATCATAAAGAAGACACTATTTGGAAGCTACAGAGAATGACAAATAAGAATAAGGGTTTGCATAGACCAGATTTCAAGCATGGATGCCTGTAAACAGCTAAAACCTRTATTTAGGCTCCCATATAAATGATCTGGTGGTTAGACATGTTCAGCTGTCATTGTTCCCACTGATTTCATTAACACCCTTAAACTGCTGTTTCAAAGAGTAAGTGTGTGGGGAGGGCTAAGTCTTAAGGAAACCAGTGAGTGCGTTTGCATTTTTTGTGCAGGTCAGCGTTCCCGCTGAATAAATGAGCTCTCTCCAAAACAGGGATCTGAACTCATAGGTCTGCTACTGAGTCTTTTCCTCATTCTCACTTGGTGTTGGTCTGGAAATAAGGGGAAGGAAAAGTTGGTTTTGATGCTACAAATATTTTCMCAAACCACTTTATCATGTGTGGGAATTCTTTTTGTTCATCCTCAACATCTTATGGGTTCCACTCCCAAGGTGTGGTAGTATACCTTATTTATTTGATATTGTTGCCTTTGACAAATATTTCCCTGTACTGCAAGGGCCAGAGAGACTATTATAGGAGGGAATTACATGGTCTTCACATTTTCAGGGCCCTTATATTTTATGAGAACTCTTTAATGGATCTTATCCCTTTTTCAGAAGAGAGATTTTTAAAGCAGCCACCATTGGGCCTGATACTCCACATACATTAAAAATCCTGATGGTTATAAGGCATCACTATGTATTCTGATATCCAGAAAACTCATTAATTTATTTTTCTCATTATATATTGTAAGTTCAAGAGTTTTTCCATATATGTCTTGATTATCTGCAGTGATAAACTGTGTAATTATTACACCAATTGCTGTGAAGTCTGATGGTAATTTTGAAACAATCCTGTTCATTATCAGACCTTGAAACAAAACACTACCTATCAGCATGTCTTTCACACTCATCCTCCTTTTAAAAGTATTTTCTTTTAAATGCTTTTCTAGACCCCATGTTATTTTGTCTCAAATACAAAAGGTATCACAGAATCCCTGTGTGATTTCACAAAATTTTGTGATTCTTTTTCCTCTCAATTAGTGAGCTCTAGAAAATTCACAGAAAGGCAATAGGATCTTTTTTCCCCACTCAAACAGGTTTGGATTATAAGAATGTATAAATGAGTACTATCTCCTTTTATGAAAATGAGAAATCAAAAATTATGAAAATTTGAAATCAAAATTAGAAAATGGCTCAAGATACAGGTTTCACTTGATCCAATTCAGCAAGGAGATTCAGCAAGAAGCACACATCACAAAAAACAAATACTGAAGAAAAGACGTAGTGTTTTTTTCAAAAGTTTTTCTTTCCACAAGAAACTTAATTTATCCAGAATATTCTAAGATAAACTSACGGCATTAACATAAAAGCTTTATTGTATCTTGTTTATTATATTTGCAGTGCTGGTGTCGGAAGAACAGGTGTTTATATTGCACTTGATCATTTAACCCAGCATATGAATGACCATGATTTTGTGGATATCTATGGACTTGTAGCTGAGCTAAGAGGTGAAAGAATGTGTATGGTACAAAATCTGGTAAGATTTATCTATTCTGTTCTCCAGTAGTTGAACAAATTATTCATCTCTTCATCTGATCTACAAAAGAAGACTAGAAAGCTCATGACAATCAGATGTGTAACACAATTTCTACTAAATCCTGCTTTTATTTATTTCAAACACTGTGTAAATATGTGGTCTGTATAACTGCTGAAAAGAGTGCTCTTTACTTTTAGAACCTAAATAATAATTTTTCAGTCTCTAAGAAAGTTGATTTTAATGTAAGGAGACTTGCTCCAATGGGGATGCAATTCTGCTATTCCACATTACATCAGAATATGTAAAAAGTGAGTCAGAACTTTTTTAGTTCGCCCTTCTTCAGAAGATTTTATAAGACCTTCTGGTGATACTCTGACATGATATATCTTGTAAAGTGCAGTCTGATTACCATTTGCTCTATTTTTTTCCTTTTGAAGTCTTGGTGCATCTTAACAATTGCAAGCACTTTCTTGTGATGATGAATTCTTGGAATACCTTTTAGTTCTTGTTTTACAATTTTGACTAGAAGTAGAATCATCTAAAAATAAATCAAAGGCTGGAAGACAATTTAGTAGGAGCACTCCCAAAATAAAATCTTTAAACAGCGAGACATGCAATAAGATAAATGTATGTTTTAAAAATATGCATAGTTTTCCTGTACCTCTTCATTTGAATATTTTGGCAGGGGCTTGGAAAAGGTGTGCCGAAAGGATGGTGGTCAGAGTTCAGATTTCCTGACAAATCAAGTATCCATCTGTATGCTAGCTGCAAAATTCTGAGATAGTCTGTCCTCTGTCCAGGTCATTTCTAGCCATGTTTGCAAGACCATAAAAAGCTGGGTCAGCAACAAAACTTGCCCAAAGGAAATCAATCTTGTAAAGTTTTATGGTGGATTCAAAAGTCAAGCTATTCTGAGAGTTCTCTTATAAAACACTCTTGAGTTACCTATTAATGAGATTTTATGTGATCAATACAGAAGATATAAAAGAAAGGAGCAATTCCTTCACAGAACTCAGTACAGAAATCACTCAGTCAAACTGTAAGATCTGAGTAAAATAAATAAAAGCTGATTGCTCTCAGACCTTTATTTTTCTTGTTTATGGCTTCAAAATAATTTTTCATTTGCTAACAGAGTCACAGTCTGTTACTGTAGCCAAAGAATGAGAATAGTTAAGATTCTCATTGATTCTATCTGGGAAAATAACTAGTCATACATACATTGCAGGTAGCCTGCTTCACTCTACCCTGGAAAATCCAGAAATATTTTCATTGCTACATCATTATAAGTAGCTGTATGAGTACAAGAGATTATGGAGCTTTCAGAGTTCACATTCTGGACTGGAATAACCAATCTAAATTCCATTGAACCATAAAACCCTCATTCTAGAAATGCATGTTTGTCCAGTGCACATGTTATCTTCTTGCCACGGGCAAGGGGTAGTTTGAAGTAATGCCATGCTATTATTCCAGTAAGAAAGTTATTGAAAAGTGTAGTCAAACTGTGTGCTTCAGGGGGCCTGTGAAAAGCTGTTTTAATTACCCACTGCTCTACAGCTGTGACTATAAAACTTAACCTTGTAAGCAAATTTCTCTCACACATCTGAGACCCTTGAATTGCAAACTGATGGCAGTTCTGAAACAAAATAGCAATTACTGAGCAGAAAAATTGCATTAATACTTTTACCTGTGCAAAAGTCAAGGGTAACAATGTGATTTTGGTGGAGATGTTCCAAATCCATCTCAACAAGGTCCTGGGCAACATGTTTTAACTGACCTAGCTTGAGCAGCGGGCACTTGCACCAGGTGGTCTCAAGGGGTCTCTTCCAATTGGAATGCATCTGGCTTATTTTCTGCATCTACATATACAAYACTTCTCCTATGTGAATAGATGCTTAATCGATTTATTACATTTCTGTTTTCATTCCTTTATTTTGTTCTTACATTGCCCTATTTTGTTTTCCTGTTTTCAGACTATATGTCCTTGGAAGTGTCAAATTAACTTTAGTTGTCTGCTCTTTGTGCTGCAATCTGTTAAAAATGAGGGTACAGTTTGAGAACTATCCTTCAAAACATTGTGTTTACTTGCTCCTAGCAGTGGTGTATGCTCCTAAAAGATATAGGTTTATATTTACTTGAACTTCTGCATTTGAGTGCACCATGCTGGTTTTCTCTATGGTAGAAAGAGGAGAATTTCCTTATCTAAATATTACATTCATGTGGTTCAATTTCTTCAGTCTGCATCTAGTGGCAAAATGTCTTTTCACAGAACCAGTGTTCACAGAAAACTCTGGAATAGCCTATTAGTCTCAGTTATGATTAATCTAATTTCATRTATCTTACTGGGCATAAAGATTAACATGTTTTGACAAATTTAAAACATTATGCTTTTTAATAATTGAAATCATATCAGGCACATATGATAGTCTCACTGAAGTACTGAGATTTCTGAGTTGAACTGCAGTTATGTTGAGATTTTCTAGGTGTTATAGAAAAGGTTAAAAAGTTTTTTGGTATAAAAGTACATATTTTCTTCTAATCAATCATCTTTAAATTCATATTTTACAGGCACAATATATATTTTTGCATCAATGTGTCCTGGATCTGTTGACAAGCAAGGGAAGTAGTCAGCCCCTATGTTTGGTAAATTATTCAGCCCTGCAAAAGATGGACTCTCTGGATGCCATGGAAGGTAAGGAGATACTGGCCGTCTCAAAATTATTTTTTCATAGCAGGTGCAGTGACTTGTCCAGACTGAGAAGCAGGAAAAAATGCTTTTGACATGCTTCTTTTTGCTTCAAAAGGATAAATATCTAGCGTTCTACTGCTCTTTATTCCCCCTCATAGTAATAGTCATTGGTCAAGCTTTCCCCACTTTTTTATATACAAGTTCTTTTAAATTCACTGAAAAACATTTATCTGGCATTAGTCACTATTTGTTTGCAAGGTTGGTTAATATAATGTATTTGTTTCTTCTGCAGGTGATGTGGAGCTTGAATGGGAAGAAACTACCATGTAAATAGTAGGAACAAATATTAAAGAAAATGAGATTTTGAAAATCAAAATCAGATTTTTCTAAGCACAGGGGCCAAAGCGAATTCCCCTATTTTGTGATTAAATGAAATACARATGATTGAAACATCTTTTAGTCTATCAATGTGCCTTCATTAATAAGTTTAAGTATTTTATTCAGAACACCAAGCAATAATGGTTTGGAGTACTTTTGCACAGACTGTACTTCTGGTATTATATAAATAGTGCATTCTGTATGTATTTACATATAAAGTATATTTGAACACATTCCTTTTTTCTCAATTATCTTTGTGAAGAAAAGAGAGCCAAACAGGATGTAAAAAATTAATATTTCCATTAATTGTGTGAATTTGCTGTGCTCCGTGTGTCTTGGTTTTAAGTAAAAGCTACAGCTTCTTTCCTCATTCTTGCTAGATTGGCTTTCATGTTGTCCATTCTTGCAGAATAATTCTATTACCATCACAATGATCTTTACCTAACTGTATGTTCTTATGTTTTGATTTTTTTTTTTTTTTACAAGTGGTAGCATATCAGCTCATGATCCTGAACAGCTGAAGATTCACCTTCTGACATGGGGAGGATTACTCAGCTTTTACACAACACACAGTAGCTCTTCAGGAACACTTGGGGCTATTTAAGCTATTTTATAATCAGCAGGTTGGGGTATATAATGATGATTGCATATGTTCAGTGCAGATAAAAGTATTTTACATTCCTGCTACTTTTTCAAGCAGATAAAACAAAGTAAAATGACAAATCTGTTATCTATTATAATGAATGCTAGATTGAATAACTTAATAGAATGTTTGGAATTCATTTGCATTTCTTGAATATAAAACTATTCAACATTTTGAAAGGTTGCTCAAAATTTAATATCAATGTGTTTTATAACAAAGTTGTCAACTAAAAAAGTTTTTGCACCTTCCACAGATTTGATAAATGACTTCAGACACTGAAAATTATAGCAGCTAATATCTGGAGATTTAATAAAAGAAAACATCTTTCACTCCCAATGCTGCTGCTGCTGCTGCTGCTGCTGCTGCTGATGATGATGATGATGATGATGAATAATAATAATAATAATAATAATAATAATAATAATAATAATAATAATAATAATATTGGAAATAGATCTGAAACAGGAATGAGAGAAGCAGGAAGCTTTTGTCTCAGAAGAACAGCAAAAAATAGGTAGAATAGGAAAACTAGAGAGGTAATGAAACTGTGTGCCCTGGTTTTTACATGGAAGTGATGGTATTCAATTTATATTATTGGATGGAAGTGTTGATTGCTAAGTTTTTCTAGGTGTAAAGAAATGTATCATCTCTCTGAATAACAAGGAAACTGTGACCTTAATCTGAGATGCAAAATAGCATAAGAGACTTTYGAGCTGCCATCTTATACTATATTTAGACAGAATAAATCAAAGCTGCCTTGTTGAGGCATCAAGCTCAGGGAAGTCAGACCAACCTCTTTAGAACCTTGAAATAAGTATATGAGGRGCTGTTCTTGAACAGAATAGTTGATGAACAAAACTTCCCATTTCTTCACTGTAGCTACCAGACAGAAAATGCTATGCAGAAGGTATTGTGGTGCTTTGTCATAAACAAATGACAGTAAGTGTTTTTGGAAGCTGGCAAAGATGGTACAGTGAAGACCCTTCATAATTTGGCAGAAAGTGCCAAATATCCAAAATGAAAATGAAAAGTGTTTAAGGAGGTAGAAGTGGTCTACAGAGGTATTTGGGCAATCTGTCTCTTAGGAAGATCAACGGTATTGTAAACATCACCTGTCAGGCTAAAAAGAAAACAATGTCTTTTAAAGCTGGATAGGGGGAGAGAGAGGTGATGTCCACAGCTGTTCAAGTCTGGCAAAGTATTCGGTACAGCTCCAGTTTCATTTGGTTCCTATGAAACATGTGTTCTTCATTTATTATACATGTGCTTTAAAGTATTCTGACAAATTGCTTATAGGGACTTACAGATGTTTTTCATGATTTGTGGTTGTACTTGGTAGCAGTACAGGGAGCACTGGGATAAATTGACTTTATAGAGTCATAATCTTGTATAATCTTATATCCACAATGGTGGAATATCTGGAGGAAAAAGCTAAGCCTTATACAACTTCAAGATGAACCCCCGAAGTTCTAAATGTGCTGAAGTGTTTTCTGTTTTTCATAAAATACTTACTCCTTTAGGGGACCTGCCTGTGGTGATGCACTGCATTCAGTAATCATTTTACTGCATGTATGGAGCTATCCAGAAATTCACTTTCATGAAATTATGTGAAAGATTCATAATGTGAATTAATATGTGTAAAACCATCTATATACTGCTGCAATGCAGAGTATGCTCATAAGCAGCTACTAAAACAAAGCTGCAAAAAGCAATGAGTCAATCATACTTCATATTAAGGTAGCATGATGGGGAGCTTTCTTGGTTGAATATAGAAATTAAAAAGCATCCTAGATATGGATATAAGTTTGCAGGGATTCAGGATACAAAGCCGTGTGAAGTCTGTGAACAGAGGAAATTTTTCTGAATATATTTTGACAGCAGGTTAAAATAAAATTTAAGAAGTACCTGTTTCTGAGGTTGTTACATGTATTTTAAGCATAACRCAAGATCATTGTCTATCCATGGAAATATACAGTAAAATAGATCCAAATTAATTTTTCTTTTAAGACCTATGAGAAGTATTCAATTAGCTCATGGTTTAGGGGATATACATATGGTAATCATGAATTCAGGATTATTTTATAATTAAGTAATGTGCCCATTCAGCACTTCAAAATTTACAATGCATTGAATACAGTAGACTCTAGCTGGAAACCATTGACACATAGCACTGGACAAGTCTTCATTGGTTTTAATTTTAAGGAAATGAGTCAGAGAAAATGTGCTGAAAGGTGATGTTCTGTTTTGGCCATTTCTCTGTGACTGTCATGTCACCACTCTATGTGTGGTGTTGAAAAAAAACCAAATCCTCCCAACATKATTCTCCATGTTTTATTCTCTTTTCTAATGCTGTGTTGCTTGTCTGTATGTGTCTATATTAGAAGGAATTGTAAACAGCAGTACGGGTCATCTGAATTCAAGTACTGCAGGCATGATCTGCAGGTAGTGGTCTTACAGATGTGTAATGGTCTTCACATTTTCCCTCCATCTCTTTCCTATTTGTTAATTTCCAGATGATATCACAGAATATCAGCTGCATTTTTGCACTGACTTGTGTTCAATACATTTTCTGCCCTGTCCTCTCCGTGGCTATGGTTACCAGGCAAGAGCAAATCTTCTGTGGTGTGTGGTTCCAGAGCTGAGCTGTGTTACCAGTGGCACATCTTTGCAGCATCAGCTCTGTACATGTTGCAAGGGTAAGCTGGCTCCCTACCCTCCCCTTACTATTATAATAAACTCTGGTGTAAATTTTAGCACTGGTTATTGCTCAGTGTGAGCTTAAGAAAGCAGGATGGATTCAGTGCGTGGTGATTCTCTTCTCCCAATAACGTTTCCTAAACAATGCTGAACTAATTACCTCACACAGCCCCCTTATGATGTAGGCCCTTTCTCAGATTCCACTATGTAAATAAACCCCAAAATCAATGGTTTTCCACACTAACAGTGTAGGAAACATTTCAAAGATCCCACATCATCAGGCAGCTTGCATTGAAGTTGTGAGTCTGTATTTCAGTTGAAAGACAACATTTAGAAGGTTTCAGATATATTTGTATCATCTTACTCTGCTTGTTGATTGGCGTTACTAGGGTGATCTTTTTGTAGGATGACAGCTGCACTCAGCTATCCACTGTAATCATGAATAAACTGTTCCAGTACTCTTTACAGTCAATACTGTGAAAGCTGGGGGAAGTTTTACAAGGATGTTCCCAAAATATTTTTGAGGAGATGAGGTTCTGGATGATATAAAAAGAATACTTAGATACTGGATACCTAATAAGCAGCTAAAGCTGTACCATTCACAGTTGCATTCCATGAAGCCTGTTGAGCATGGGGTGTGTCCTAGAACACCCAGAGCATATTTGGGACACCATAACACAACTTTTGAGCTGAGTACTGCATGATGCAAGGAACTCTAGCCATCCATGCTGGAATGCACTTAAATAAGCTTTACCATAATATGTCCCTAGCTTACTTGAAAAACACAAACACAGGTAACACCTGTTATGACATATCCTTTGTGATTCAGCTTAGTGCTAAGAACCAAAAGACTCTATTTAGTCAATTCATTCACTAATCTCAAATATAGAAATGAATCCTTTGACACCAAAAGTGAAGAACATGGACAGTATATAGACAAGGTAGATTTTCATTCATTAATGGAGGCACAAGCATAAAACTAATTGAACCTGTATGTCCCTCTCATCCCCTCAGCCTGCTATCTGCATGTGCTTATCAGTTGGGAATAATATTCATTCACAAAATAACATTCATTCACTTTTCATTTGATTCCTATATTGGGAATSCCTTTCTCAGAATGCAGCATAAAGCAGTTACAGAACTGTGTCTTTTCATTTATCAGCCTTCCATCTGGATTCATAATAACTCCATCTAACTGTTTTTCTCAGAGAATTCTACTGATTCTCTATTACAGAGGGACAGGGACAATACCAGTGTGAATCCGGGCTTGCATATTGTGCACAGAATTCTTCAGTGAACTGCACTAACACAATACTGCACTCCAGGCTGGGCAAGGAATTGACCTGAGGAGAGTGGCTGCTCGGCCTGTGATCCTACTCCCTTTGACAACAGGATAATTATCTGAAAATGTACTGTCCCACTCAGAGATTCCAGAAAATATTATCAAAGCTGCCTGACATTTATATGCAGGAGTTTAATCTGAAAATTTCTCTGTTTATCCTAACAAGAAAATTCAGGACTATCATTGTCACTATTGTCAGCAAATCATCTTTGCTGCTTGGGACACCAAGAAGCAAATCTCTTGTTTAACTCCCATTAAAAGTGCTTTTAA